CTTTAATTTTGTATTTTTGGGAAGGTTTTTAAGTGAAGTGAAGTCCAAACGTCTTAGCGTACACCCCATTCACGAAGTCGTTAGGTAAAAAAATTCACCTCCGGCCCCCGATCCTGCAAAGACCCTAAACACCCGGTCCTGAAGTGTTTATACCCGTTCTATGGCAGCAGTATACTTTAATAAAACACAAAGCCAACTATGCTAAGAAGCTAACTATGTGTAGTTGAGATAAATGGAACATTGGTAAATATATTAACTCTTTAATCAGGTAGAAATTTTAACAAACCCGACCTAATGTCAGTGCACTAATTTGTACGGTACATTGTACCGCACTAAACCATCAACAGGGACCGACAGGCCCGGATTAAGTATTTCGTAGGCCCTAGGCACCAGTGTTCCGGAGAATGGAGAAGGAAGGGGAAAGGAAGAGGGAATAAGAACAAAGTGGAGAGTGTAAAAATTAAACACTGCTGCTCAAAACTCCGCGAAGCTAAAATCCTGTTCTGCAACCTATGTCAAAAGAGTGTACATTCTGTCATGTCGAAACAAGCTGCCGCGCGAAGTCGCTGGAACATATACGGGTGTTGACAGCTACAGCTGTGCATATAAAAATAAAAATAAAACAAAATTCCAGGATTTAAAGAACCCCCTTGCAGTCTGGGATCAGGGAACAGGCCTAAACGAGGAATGCGCAAAGGTACAGAGCATGTACATGCAGTTTTGCGACAATGAAATAAAAACATTATTGTTGGATTGAATTTTGTATTTTCGAGCAATTTTAAAAATTAATTTCGAACTATTACAGTACAAGCTCTCAATATAACAATTTAATCATTCTTGCAATTGTCCTCCGATAGAAAAGAAAGAAAATAAAACAAAAAGTTATGTGGCGATGGCCAAGTCTTCAGGAGTCGGACTTATGACCCTAACTCAATGAGCCCCTTACCGACTTCCATATAGAACTCTTCTGGGACTCGGTACCCGGCCCACCACACCTCCTTCCCTGTCCATCCATGTAACTCGAAAGTCAGGCACCATAAAGGGAGGAAACGAGGTGGCACCCTAAGCCTTGCTGCCGAGTCAGCAAAAGAACCCCGTACCTATACGCAGATGCCAACCTGGACTTCGCAGACAGTCCCAACTTGTGAGTCAGCTTACCGACCGACCGAGCTAACTGCTGTTGGTAAATGACGACAGGAAATTAATACTCTTAAAAGACCGAACCGCGGGCATCGAAAACCAAAAAACGACACCAAGCGGGTTCGAACCCCTAACCCCTGGGTCCGCTGTCAGACAGCTTAACAACTAGGCTGTTTCAGTAGGCGCTTTTCTCTTTGCGTTTAAAACATGATCGTTATTTCCAACGTGGGAGAGTTACTTTGTGTTTCACAGCTGCACGAAAGATGCGTCAGCATCGCGCTATACACATGAATGCTGTTACGTAACTCTTTTCTACAATCATTCTTATGTACTGAGAAGTTGACTATTCAGAGTCACTCGTCCTTATTCTGTCTCATCAATTATTGTTTCGCGTCGCGCGTCTTTCGGCCGGCACTGACATGTCGCGCTGATTGAGAGAAATTCTAGCAAGTTTCCCCTACCTCATTATATTGATATCAAACTACTGACCTGTTTACAAATAGTTACGAGGGATTTTTTTTGTCTGACTCTAATTCATCTCCTTTAGCTAGCTTGGGAAAATTCATGTTTTCTTGTACTTACGCTAAGTCTAAGGAATGATGCCATTATAATACAATGTCACATTAACGTCAGCCGGTGGCATGATTAATCGTGACCATGCAATGACGGCCAGTGGTGTAAATCTGTGCCGGCAAGTGGGTGGGGGTGGGGGGGGGTGGGGTGGGGTGGGGAATTACCGAAATCCTTAAATTCGGGCGATTCACATTGCAGTGCGCCACCAAGAGTTTGCCATGGAGAGTCAGCTTTTGAAATTATGGTCGACAAAACAAGGCCCATTTGAATGAGTATCATTAAACAGCTTTAGCCAAGTGGTTATAAATTTGGGTATAGCGTTCTGCCGCCTGACTGAAAACACCGTATTGATACAAAGAAAAGAAAAAGGCAAATCTATACTCGAATAATACGCTTACGAAACTACTGGCCGGAAAAAAACTAACGATTTCAAATGTCCGGCTCTGCGAATTATTTTTGTCGTCCATCTCCCACTATGCACTAGGAAAATGAACTCTCCGTGTCAAACTCTTGGTGGCACATGACACGCCCGAATTGCCAAGCCGTGGACATCCGAAGGGGGGGGGGGACTGGACACCACATTATGCTTGGACGCTCTTTATCAATTATGTATACTCGCGCTTACATTTCTAAAAGCTTTTGTTCTTTGTTTCTCCACACTTTCCATTGCTATTGAATACATTTTACAGTTGCTGGGACGTTCGAAAAATACCTCAAAATCCTCATTTAATTTCTCATTACAAAAAAAGCTGGGGATAATTCAATGGCCCATCCCTCGGTCAAAAAATGTGGGGGTATATAAATCTCGGACCATTTCGCACTAATTCAATAGCGCGTATGCAACATAATGCATTATTCACTGGCTTTTGCACAGCTGACGCAGTATCAACATGTTAAAGGGGCTTGTTTAACAATAAATCTTTATGACTATCGATTCTTTCCATTGAAGCTGTCTTGGAGGTTTTTTGTTTTTTGTTGCACACGAAAATGTAGGCCTACCAGGAGGCCTCTTTTGCATTCATTATTGCTCAAATGAAATGAATAAAACACCTCAAAAGTGGATGCTGCTGCAAAGGGTCTACACGTAGTGCACATTAAAGGACGACACTTTTTTCAGCGCATATGCCTAACATATACGTAGTAGTAACATATACGCATATGCCTAACATATACGTAGTGCCTAACATATACGTAGTGTACACAGAGCAAAATTACCATTCGTGCACATGAATACTTAATTAGCCATAATTCCTAAACCCTTTGACCTACAGTCATGAAATGTCATGTGTTCATGAAGAGTTGTTTTATGCAAGTACCGAGTTTCAACATTTTCGTCACTCCATGGCTGAGATCTTGGGGGGGGGGCGGAATCTGCCCCCCCCCCCCCCCCCCCCCCCCCCCCCCCGTGAGAGATGGTCAAAATAACCCGGCCCTTTTAGGGTTAAAGTTCAACAATGAACTTCACCGACGTATTTTTGTACACACCATACCCAGTGGTGCTCCGAGTGATTGTGAGAAAAACGTACTTGGTTGAGAATCGAACCTATGATAATCCTGCGTACTAGTCGAACCTATGATAATCCTGCGTACTAGTTCAGTCGCCTTTTTCAGTTGGTTTGCGGGTTTTCCCAAACGACATCTGGATTAGGTCTATATGGTTGTTGAGTGCCCTCTGCGATACATTTATGATATGTACATACGCAGGTATAAATGCCACGAATTTCCAGGACTTGTCGGGCATTTCGATAGCTCAGTTTGACAGCTAGATTGCGATTTGTACCGCGAGAAACCCTCGACGTTTTAAAGGTGAACGCAAGGTCAATTAAGCATGTTACTACATGCGAAAGAATTTTAAGCTTCACGTGTTGCTGTGGGCTTCGGCGTATTGTCAAATGATTAAAGGAGGTCAAACAAAGGTTTGGGAATCTTCTACATTGGATACAGATGTCCAAGTTGACAAAATCCAACCACTCTAACCTAAACTTGAACCTTATCCGGTATAAATCACCTCATTAAAATGATTGCGACGGTTAATGACTCAGAGAATTTACTTTAATTCTAATAAGTATTAATTATTTCATTTGATGGTGAGAAAAAATGCATGCACATAATTCTTATTCCTTCTGGCTTTGCATCGCCAGTCAGCCGAGTCCCGAAAATGAAACATTTTACTGGGGCTGAGTACCACAAGGTTTGGAGCTTGCCCAGCAAAAAAAAAAAGATATCTAAAAGCATGCAATTAAGCTTTATTTCGCATTATTTGTCGCTTTGAACTTATGTTTCAACTTTCGTTTCATTGGCCATGGGGAAAAAATTCCAATTTCGGTTCAGTATTGAATGGGAACCCAACTGATCCCATCTGTCTGAAAACAGTCAGCATGTCTGTTCAGGATTCGACATTTCATATCATCCTCCACGCTTCTTTCCCTTCTTAAGCTTGGTTTTACCAGCGGTAAGATACTTGTGAAGGAGAAACAACATATATTACCAATCGAAATTCCATTTTGATAATGTGCATACACTGTTATGATGCTGCTGGATACGGACATTTCCCAGGTTGAATAGGAAGATGACAAAAGTGTATTTCAGAAATCCTAAAAGGGATTTATTCCACACTTCCTTCTTGGTTCCGATTTCATGTCTTCCTGTTTGACGTTGCACATGTCCAGTCAATGTCAATGGAATCTTGTTCGGTGAGATTTTCAGAGAGACTTCATAGGGTTTGCCATTGGGATCCCTAAGCAAAAATCAGCTGGTAACCGGTCGCAAACAGTATAATTTGCATAACATTTTGGATGGTATCCTTTCTGCCAAGCAAATATGCTTTGTAAATTCCGATGTCGGAACCAAATGAAAAGACTCTCACCATTTGCTTAACATCACACACTATGATACCCCTGTTTCAAAACATCTATAAGTTAGCTGGAATTGCCAAAGTAAGGACCTAAACATCAGGAGAGGCCGGAACAGAGACGAATCCAAGGTTTGCAAACACCCAACTAATGTGATTCCATGATTGCCCAAAACTTGTATCTAGACCCCATTCTCGAACGGGACCTCGTGCAGTTGGGATTTCCTTCCACGTTGCGCATGAGAACTTCGTACTCTTAATGAACCTTAATTAACCGAGTCACCCGAATGATTATACTTAGTTTATCGAGTCCCAGTATCAAACACAGGTGTTTTGATTCCCTCCCATTGAAAATGTGTTTTGAGGAATTCAATAAAAGAAGCATGGTTCTTAATCTTTCTTCAGCACCTCCAGAGACAGCAACCAACAATCAACCATGCAGCTTTACCTCATTCTTGTTCTCAGCCTTATTGGCTTCGGTAAGTATGCCTATAGCTCGCTGAATTGTTTCATCCAAAATTTAAACTTTTTTCAAACCATTTACTAGTTTTTATTGTTCGGAACTTGTTGAAACCGGTTCATTGTTATGTTCCACTCTGGTATTTTTTGTATTAGTGTGTTGCCAGTAATTAGCATCACACAATCATGAAGTGTTTGAGACAAATTTCATTCAAAATACCCCTCATAGAAACAAACACACACATTGACACATTGTCCTTTCTAGATGCTTTTTCATATTACCCTTTTTAATTTGTATGTTTCTTTTTCCCCTCTTTTCCCACCTGGCTTTCAATGGATGCAGTCAGCGGTAAGTCAAACTTTGATTCCAAAAGTTATATTGGCACATAGAACCGAACCGGAGAAAATGTGCTCGGGTTTAACAACCCAACAATCCCCAATCTATCATGCAAGTCCGACTGTTGTGTTCTCAACACTTTTTTGAAATTTTGTTTCAGTTAATTTATTCCGAACCCCTGTGGCACTTTGCTTGATTTCACAAGAAATGTGCAAGATTTCCCCCTCCTGTATCGACCCTATGACTATCTAAATTTCAATTTTCATTTAAAGAGCAAAACATGAGCCCGTTTGTTTGTCAGTTGACAGTGTCTGTGTTTTCAGAAGCCATCAATCCAAGCACCTGTCACGTTACAATTAAGTGTCTACCATAAACACAGAGATGCGTTCACCAACGCTAACAACGCAGTCGTAACGTTTCGCGTTCCATCTGTAAACATCAAACGCATGGGGTCTCGTTCAAAAAAGTTGTTAGCGTTAAAGTGAAACGCAACCCTGAAAAGTCAGCAACTAGAAATCGCTAAAGTTTTACGTTGCTTTTTACTTGAAATGACCATGCATGACCTTTTCACTTCAAGCTGCTGACATCAACTGTGATGACGATCCCTGCCAAAATGGCGGCACCTGCAAGACGTTCCTATTTAAATCCTACTGTTCCTGCCCATTGGGTATCCATGGTGACCGCTGTGAAATCAGTAAGTATAAAAAATGTGTAACATTGTATTCTTTACGAAGTTGGAGATTTGACTTCCCTTAACCTGCGATGGAGTACGGGAAACTTTTGTTGAAAACTGTGGTAAACGTTATACACTCAGGTAATATTCTGTAACATGTTTTTTAACAACATTCAAATTTTCACTAAGAATTGGGAACTAAACAATTCAATTTTTATGCCATTGCCCCATTTTATAAGCTGGCACGATCTTTATCGCTGTTGCCTGCAGACATCTACTTTGAAGTTCGGAGAGAGTATAAATAACATTAAATTTGAATGAAGTTGGTTTTAAATCTGTATAAAATTTGGATCAGTGACGAGACATATGTTGCCAAATTTTGACAAGTGCTTTATTGCCTCTAGTTTGGTTTCTTTGGGTAAAAAATACAATGCAGATATACATTGTTATGTGCAGTTGTAGATTTCTTTCTCAGAAATTAACAAATATATTCATTTCTTTACAGACGCATGCGTAGACGCGGGAGATCCTTGTCAGAACGGCGGGACTTGCAACAACAACATTCTGTCTCAAGGGTACACGTGCCTGTGCCCGTTTGGCACCAACGGCCAACACTGTGAAAACGGTAACAAAATAAATTGCGATTATTATTAAATTTGTCTGTCCTCAATGTGCATTCAATGTAGTCCTGAACTTTCTTATAACGCGCATTGTTCTAATTCTGCCAGAAGGTTCAATCTAGTTGTCTTACGATGAGTAAGAGCGTCGATATTGAAGGACATTAGACGCCATCGCCTCGCAAGCTGATATATATACACACACGCTTACAGTACACTGGCATAGAAGTAGGGTACTTCCTTTGTTCTCGTGTACTAACATTTTGCAATGTCGCACACTAATTTCAAAATGCTCTTATTTTAACCAGAATTAATTTCCTGGGCTGAAATTCGGACTTAATATCCCTTTTCTAAAATTCTTCCATTTTGACGGATCAACCCACCTTGGAAGTTCCTAGTTTTTGAGTAAAATCCACATATCTATTTCGAGAAAAACTTGTGGGGTACCAAAACGGTACCCCGCAAGTCGGTGGGCATTCCTTGTGGGGTACCTCCCATACATTGTTCCGGTACCCCATAAGGCAGTGTTTATACGTTCACGTAGATTATACAAGCGACGAGCGCGTGAGCCAGTGAATCCCTCATTGTCAAGTATGATTGCACTTAGCTTCATAGTAGCTTGCGCACGGAGTAGGTTGTGAGTTTTAATCACCCAAACTTTTTTTCTGAAATTAGATTGCTTTGAGTTTGAATGCCTTTGATTGAATTATTATTTTGCTCTATAGTTCCGTGTCAGGGTGATCCCTGTGAGAACGGTGGAACTTGCTACCCGAGCCTCTTTGATAACACCTTCACCTGCAGCTGCACCAACGAATACTACGGGGACACCTGCAGCACTCGTAAGTATCCTTTATCCCGTGGTTGGAGCCTTCTTCGACACTTGGCGGCAGCAGACAACCTATCTTTTGTTTCATTGTTACCGACTGCTTTTCTTTTTCAAATACCTCTCCAGCGTTACATGAGTTTGTGGAAATGGCAATAAAGTCAATTTTGAAAAGAGTTGCACGCGGTTGAACACGAACATCGATCTCAGTTTAGACCGAACAATCAACACATGGTGGCATTAACAAGAATTAAGCTCGTACATTTAAATGCCGGCAACATAGCGAATTACTGGGATAGATCGTACAATCGCTTCCAACTTTAAAATGGTACAATATGTATGTCCTTGTCAGGTACCATTGGTCAAAGGACAGTACTGTTGTTGATGTCCAATGTATAAGTTCTTGAATCAAAGTGATGAAAATGCCTTTGATATTTACAGAGCGTTGTTAAAGAAGCCTCAGACATTTTTTTTAGATGTTATGTTTTTAACATGACCAAATATAATAGCACCCTTTTACCATGTCCGCAATTACCTCAAAAGGCTAACAACTGACTGCTATGTGACCCGAATTAAAGCCAAATCTGTATACCTAGTTTTCCCAACTATCCAATTTTTATGTTCTGACTCGTTCCTTTTTTCAGGTAATGATTATTGCGATGCTGCCCCTTGCCAGAACGGCGGATCTTGTTATGTTTATGGAGACCAGCAAGCGTGCGTCTGCCCTGACGCGATCAACGGTGATACCTGCCAATACGGTAAGAAGGGAAAACATGAAATTGGTTTTCTCAGAATCGACATCTCCAAAGTTTAATAATAGTTTCGCTGTCCGATCCGACTTGTGAGCGATTGCATGTGGGTTGGAACCCTGACGGGGAACATGGTGCTCCGTCCTCGTGTTCTTAGGCAAGACACTTTATTACAATTATCTCTCTCCATCCAAAGTCTGTGAGTGTGAAGACCTCATTGTGTGCTGATCTCGAACTGGTGTGGAAAACTTGTCTCACGGCCTGATGAACAGGGGTATTAATTGTAAAGTGCTGGGAGACTATGGTATATTACCCCCCCCCCCCCCAAAAAAAATGTTAAAATTGTGCTTTTTGGGCTTTTGACGATTCGCTTCAGACCCTTGCGGTCCCAAGCCGTGCCAGAACGACGGCAAATGTGTGCCGGGACAAGACGGCGCTCACACCTGCCTCTGCCCGCTAGGCTTCCACGGTGACGACTGTGAAGTCGGTAAATATCCATGAATATGCCCTTCTTAAATTATTGAAACTTGAATTTGAACACCAAACACGGTCATTCATGATAGTTCTGTAAATACAAACTAGTCATGCTACCTTTTTACCCGCTGTTTTAGCTTCAATTGACAAGCATTACTAGTGTTTTTTTTATGTTGTAATTTTTAAAATAAGAAATCTTTGTAATGTGCTTATTGTACCCGAAACATTCTAGATGTACACCATGAACATCTTTGTACTACGTTTCTCTTCTTCTTACAAATCATTTATATAAAGATCCTTGCAGTAATTCACCATGCCAGAACGGCGGAACTTGTTCCCGTAACATCTTTAGCGATGGCTTCGTTTGCGACTGCACCAAGGAATACTACGGCGACACATGCCAAACCCGTAAATATACTTTGTCGTTCATGGTGTTTATATTTCAGTGGTTAACTTTCTCAGCTATTGTGCATGATTCCAAGTTTTCTAACCTAATTTTTGTTTTGGTTGGTCTAGAGTCCTCTTTGTACGTCACTGACTGAGCCACTGTTACTTGTGAACTGCCAGTTTAGCTGGTTGACGAGGATACTCGGGCAGTGCTATGTTATGGTATTACCCTGTAATGAACTCAAGTCGGCCCAAAATTTGTACACGCCAGATGCATGGGAGGGTTTTCGGTGAATATAGCCGCTCTGTATCAATTAATTAGAATTCGGTGCACTCTGCAGGAGAAGTTTCACTAGATTTGCCTCGTCTTGTTCAATCCAAATATCCACCACATTGCAGAAGAATAAGCTATTTCAAAAGGGGAAAATATGGGCCATAAGCATGCCAGTCAGCGTAAACTAGAGGGAGGGGGGATTGCAACTCCCCATTCTGCCGCTGACCAATGTTATGAAACTAGTAAAATGGGGCCAAAATCATAAATGCAATGTTATCTTTTCTAAATTCATTCTTGAATTGCCTTAGAATGCCAGAGAAATCATCGTAGACTTTCCAGGAGCATGAAACACGGACCCCAGTGGCAGGGTGTGATTTCGACAAGCTCAAGACTCATCCCTTCCCCTTTTCATATCCCAAAAGCTATAGATCCACCCCATACGCATACACACGTCGACCAACTTAAAAACTCATCATTTCTCTAAATGATTGACGACAATTAGCCGTATTGTAAGAAGGTCAAAAAGTAAGCAGTGAGACTTTTTTGGTTTTTTTTTTCAGGCAACAACAAGTGCGACAACAGCCCTTGCCAAAACGGCGGAACTTGCGAGGTGTTTGGGGAGTCCCAGTTCTGCGTGTGCCCGGCGAATGTCAACGGCCAAAGCTGCGAATACAGTGAGTAAAAAAAAAATAGGAATAACTAAAAACTAAAAGTTTCAGATATCTTTTCGTGCGATACATCATACAATGTGGTCGCTACGAGTGAAAAACGTTGGTGAAGATATAACAGGCGGGGTTTTTTTCTACCTGACTTTACCCTGACGTTATTGGTCAATTTTAGTACTATTTTCCCCCTTTTTAGAAGAATTTGTCCCAAATTGTAGGCAGCTGATATACCTGGGCAACATGTTGAGCAACGATTACCAAGCTGTCATAAGGGGGCGGGTGTAATAAGGGTGGATCAGCACGAGCACATGGCTTTTTGAAGTGGAAGATTAATAGACAAAAAAATGGCTGTAAAATTGTTGTCATCTATCCATTTTAAAAATGGTATTGGGTGTTTTGGGAATTTTAGTCAGCACCGTATCTAATCCCTGATTGCGGCCACACAGATCCTTGTGCCAAGTTGCCGTGTGGGACTGGTACATGCTTCGCAGCCTACCAGGACGAGTACCTGTGTAACTGCCTGGACGGACACATCGGCAAGTGCTGCGGCGGGTGAGTACAGAATGGTTTGAGTTTATCGTAGTCTTGGTTCCAATACTGGATTTGGTATTTTGTTCCCCTATATAACAGCCGGTCCAAGGCAAGCGTAGCCAAGCTGCCACGGTGGTAGAGGGCGCTAGCACAATACAAATGAATCAAATTCAGTCATGGGAATTTTCTTGCAATCAGACCAGAGAAATATCGAGCATACCTCGCGCGCGCTTATTAGCTGGATTGTAATATCATTGCGTCAGTGAAGGGTAACATTTACTATTTCAAATAGGGGCCTATGTTTAAGTTTATGTAGATCTAAACACGTTAATTTATTATGTATTTTTGTTCTGGTTTCAGGCATGATGCACCCGCACCCGTACCAGGGCAATAGCCACAGTAAAATTTACATCGTGACGCACGGTTCTTGGTGTACAGTCAAGCCCCAATTACAGAACAAATGCAGGACTAATGTTACAAGCTATTTAGTTGCGTAGACAAATTCAGTGTAGTTGCTGAGCTTCAATCCCAATTATTTGTCCCGATATCAATAGCTCAAGACTTAATCAGTTAAGCAGCTGCTCAATTTGTCTAAGCTGATCAAAACAATCGTACAGTGTTTTTTCCTCTCGAAAGTTATCAGAATACCGGGTTCTATCTTAAATTACCCGCTGAATCTCCTTGTTGTTTAACGAGTATGATCGGAGGTGAAACTGAACAATTTTAAAGGATTTCAAGTCACGATCTTATATTTTAAATGTACTTCATGACAAAACAACAATTTGTTGAAGTCGTCGGGTGCCCGGCAGAAGGGCATATGAGCGTTCTGATGCAAAAATCATTTTCAAGAAAATTGCATTGAAAGGTTCCTTTGTTCCCTCGCGCGCATTTTGTATCCAATGTTCTCCCACACGTAATATAAATCGTACGAATTTGAAATTTGTCACACGTATGAATCATAAGTTTTTGATCAACTTGTATTAATTTCTGATGAAAATGTTTAAATTTCATTCAAATGGAGGCAGTTTTCTGCATATGCCCTTTTGCTGGGAACATTTTGGTCATTACGCGCTGTTGCATAAGGGCATATGGACATATGCCCTTCTGCCGGGCACACGACGAAGTTATGTCGCTAGTTTCGTTTTTCTTGATCATAGTACATGTATACGTCTATTATATTATTTTCTTTTCAAAAAGGAAAACTTAAAAATTACGCCAACGGCTCACAGATAGTGGTATCCTGCACACGTACATTTTCTTCCAAAATGTTTGCCAGAATAAAAGAGTGTATCAGGCATAACAAACTTTCGTTTAGTTCTTTCATTTGCAAGGTTCTTCAGCTAGAGAATAATGATCCAAAAGTGTAAAAGGAAAAGCAGGTTAATAGAAAAAAAATACCTCAATGTTCCAGAAACAACTCCTCTGCAACCAAGTATGCTCACCGTCATGCGCATGCTTAAACATCTCACGTGATTGCAATAATATATCACGCGATTAGCTTATATGGCAGTTTTGATTCCAAGCGCAAATCGACGCGACACCATGGCCGGGATTGAAATAGAATTACGACAATTTAAGAAAATTAACAACAGACCAAACAAGTCAAGCAAAGGCATGTAGTTTTATTAAAATTCAAGTTCATTTTTTCGGACCGTCAGTCTTCGATATGTTTCACTTGATAATGGAAACGTCAAGCAGAAGAGCAAGTTGTTTGTTTTCTGTCAATCCACTTGGGTCTCGTCGGTATATCACGGTTTTTGTTCCTCCAGATTTGGAGGTTTAACAAAAACTGATCATGGAGACGATGGAAGGTGACTGGACAGAATCCAATGTAACATTGCTCTTCTAATAACGTTTCCATTTTCAATAAACCACATAAATACTGGAATCGATACGATCTGTAAATAAACAAAACGTCAAAGCTAATTACGGAGCATGCCACATCACTTTAAAAAAAGTATTGAGGCAATTAAAAGTTGGCTAAAATTGCGTTTTTCTGGTATTCGGTTTTTTTTCAGTAAAACTTAGGTCATTTTCCCAACAATGTCGTCCAAAGCTGATGCGCTTTTGATCAGAATATGGAGCAGTTACATTATTGAGCATTTCGAGTTTTCACCTTTGTTTTAAAGAAAGGAATTTCATTGATCAAAATATTTTGATTGAAAAGGGCCTCACTCACAACTGCAAATGCAGTGCGTTATCAGGATGAGCAAATTAAAAACAATCTAGAAAAGCACTTTTATGTGAACAATAACATCGACAAACTTAAACAGGACATTCGGACAACAACAACAACAACAATAACAACAACAACAACAACCACAACAACCACATCAACAACAAGAACAACAACAACGGGTACATAACACAAACAACAGAGAATCACTGAATACTGTTTACTATTTCTTATTTCTCTCAGTTCAAGACAGTCAGACAGACTGGTTTCAAGATGGCGACTCCAGACCTTCTGCCATTTGGCAGTTTTTTTTCATCCAGCAACAGAGTCCAGAGGATTTATCTGATTGCCTTCATTAATAGGTGTGGAAGCGCCCTCTTGAAATAAAACCCACGAAGTCACCGGTCAACTAAAATTATTGAAATGAGTTAAACGTTACCCCTCCCCTTTTCCTCAAAATGATCGCTTCTGCTGATAAACGAAAGCCAGCTATTGAACACAGAAAATAACTGCGTCGCCAAATTATGTTAGTCATGTGACGAAAAATTGCTGTGGAGTTTTCCCTTTTTTCCATCTTTCTTAATTAAAAATATTTTAGGTACACGTGGGGCCGTTCTTTCTTGAGAAAGAACAACTGTACTGCCTGACTATCTTAACTCTTAACAACCTCTAAGCACTTATTCTTCGTTGGCATTGCCGCAGACCTCGGCCATGGCCGGGTCCGCGGCTCAGCTCCGTCAGACGCTGGCCCGGGGGCTGCCAGTGCCGGCCGGCGCGTCTCAGCTCCGTCAGAGAGCGCCGGTCTCATCGGCACCGTCCCTGGATCAGCTAGCGCAGCGGGCCGCCTCCGTGGTCTCCGCGGGGCCTGCGGGGCTGAACTCCGGTCAGCATCAGCTACCGCAGACCTGCTGCTCGGCCGGCAGGTTCTTGGTGGTGTTCTCTGCCAGGCGGGCCCTGGATCAGCATCAGCATCAGCTGTCCTTGATGCCCATGACGTTGAGTTGGCGGCACGTGGCCACGTCGTGGTGCTGTCATTTCTTCGGATCGTACTGTTTGTCGTGATGCCTAGAACGGTGGACCAAATCAAACACCAATAAACCAAAGCTTTATCAAATTTTATATTCTTCACACCACCGCACATATCAATGATTACATTTCCCTAAATTTTATGGCAGTTACTCCCTTTAAGCATTATCCCCCCCCCAAAAAAAATGATGATGCCAATCCCCAACATCATACCAAACGAGGTCAAGGACATATCCGCCTTGAATGAAGTCTACCTGTTTACGTTACAACCATTTGAGCACAAAAAGGCACATCTCCCTTCCTTGTCGAAACATTAATGGTACTCTATTGCAAGCCTCTCACCTGTGAAGCTTCTTGAGTTCCTTCAGCCGAACCTCCGGCTCAGTTTCCGGCTCAGGTTCCGGCTCAGATTCAGGCTCAGATTCAGGCTCAGATTCCGGCTCAGCCTCCGTCATGTTGCTTGGGTTATTAGTTGTCCTTGAAGAAGATGCAACTGTGATGTTGCCAGCCGGCTCAACTTCGCGTGACGAATTCGTTGTGATATTTGTTTCAAAATCGTCACTCTGTTAGGGTGAAAAAAAATTCAAAACAAAATAGTCTGTGTGCAGCACGGGAGTTGCATTTTGTTCAATTCCTGAGACACAGTTGGTACCGAAATAAACGCGGTCAAGCCGCCGAGGCGGTTCATCAATTAACAATTCAAGGTGAATCAAATCCAGTTGATATAAAAACTGAAATGTGTATCAAATAAAACCACAACTACCTGCAAAGTTTCATTTCTCTTCAGCGCCTGGTTATCCTCCATCCCGTCTTCCACAGGGGGCACTTTTGTGGTCATCTGGCTCTCCCCAATACTGCAATTGCAGGGGTCATCACCATGGTACGTGACCCGGATCGCACCCTCCACGAAGGAATAGGTCAAGAAGCTGTACGGCATGCGCAGTTGATACGTCAGAAAACCACACCTGAAAACAATAAGTAGAAGGTGGTATGACGATGTAACAAATGGTTGATACTGCCTGTATATAATCTGCTTACTTAACCATTGAGTGTATAATCTTACCCGGCTTTTTTGTGCTCAGGACCTTGGTGAAATGCGTTCCGAGAGTCCATCAATTCACATCATGGTCAGTGTTGGGGGGCCAATTACACTGGTTCCCGGACCCTCCATTGTCCGTTGGACTTCGAACGTAGGGTCTGGGAGCCAGTCTAGGGGCCAATGTGAGACTTTTGAAATGCTTGGTGGCAGCAGACACACCAATCATATTTCAATTTTTAAAATTGTATCCGCCCACCACGTGGGCAACAACACATGCACCTCTCCCATGCCGCACTCGACTACACGCACGTCTGACTTTTGTAGTAGACGCATGTTGGACAATATCATCACGATTGTGATTGGTCAAAACACCAGTGGGTGGGGCGTATTGATCGGTCTATTGGCGCTAGTCATTACGTGATGGATTGCTCTTGGCTGGTTCTGGTCAGCTTGCTTTATAGCTTATAAATTATTGGTTTGGTGATGCCTTCTGCTTTTGCAGCCAAAGGCCTGATGAGTTGCAATAAAAAAACTTTGTCTAACCTGTCATACACCAGTATGTCATCCTTGCCTCCATGCAGTGTCTCCCAAATGCTGGTGAAGTACCCTTCCTCGTAGACGGGGAAGGACACCCGGTTACTGAGCTGGTAAGACAGCAGGCGGGACCGCCACCCGCCAGAGTTGACGACCAGGAAATCGATGTCCGCTAGGCCGTCTGCGGCTAGGTCTTGTCTCAGTATCTCCAGCCTAAGATATTCGCAGATGGGAAAAGAACGTAAAGCCGTTTTCATGGACAAGTTTTCAGCCATCATGCAACAATCTCAATAATGTATTATTCTGTTTATTGGTCCATACGCTCTTATACAAAGGCCAACCAATAAGGCCAAAAAAAAAGTCTCCGGTTTCTGGTATGCGCGCGCGTCGCCGTAGCCATGCGCGTCGGCAAAAAGAAAAAGGTTTTTTTTTCAATAAAAAATGATGTCTCAAAACCGCCAAACTCACTGGTTTGACTGGAATCCTGCTGCTGCACAATTTTAACGTGTTTTTAGATGGGGTTATGATCGAGAAGAAGCTTTATGTGGCCTCTCTGGACTCCCATATATTTGCCATATATTTGCACTAAGTTTAGTAGGTCACCATTTGCAGTCATCAGTCTACAATTGAAGCAAAAAAGTCATGTAAAAAAAAAAAAAAAAGCCGCGTCGCCGCACCACTTTTTGGACAAGCTCCATACCAGAAACCGGAGACTTTTTTTTTTGGCCTAAGGCTGATTGAAAATGCGACAATTTTGAACAATTGAAAATGTAATGCTCGGTTGAAAAGTATAGGCCTATGCAGACTGTTTGTCGCTTAACAAAAAAATGGTGCCCGGTACGTGTTGTCAACATAGGAAATGTATTGGGTACAAGGCTTTAGGCCTCGCTTTGTAACATTATGTCTACATGTTTACGGGGGAAATTTCCGACCGTAAAGTGTGGTGGTCATTAGCTGAAGGTTGAAATCACTGATCAGATGTGGTCGATCAGGATATCATTTTACTTTCAATAATAATGAAAGGAACGTTTAAAGAGTCCATGAGATGAACTTTTCTTAAGAACACATTTTGTGCCACATTCTACTCCCCCTTAATGTATGAAAAACATTTGACACTCCTTTTTGGTTATTTTCATTGACAAGTGCATGCACTTCTTTAAACATTAAACATTGTCCATGCTTTTCCGGACAACTGAGTGCACTGTCGCTGTGATTTCAAACAAGAAGGCACTGTATTCAGTTTAGGGATTTTCTGCTGAAATTGTGAACCCGCATATTTGTTCATTAAAAACATTCGTGAGAAAAGTTTGCTCATTCGCTCACTGATGCATGTTCTGACACAACAACGAATCATCAAAGAAAACAAAATATCCAAAATTATGGTAACTTTTGGTGCTGAAAAACATTGAGGTTTCTGCCTGAAATTACATCACACTTTTGTTCATGAATATGGAAATTGGCATTAGCATAAAAACCCAAAAGGCAACAAAATACCCTTGAAAATGGCAAAACGAAAATTGAACATAAGGTTATAAATAGAACAAATGTGCATTTTCAAGGATTGCATTAAACAAAGTACATTGCATGAGCCCTTAAAGAATTAACATCAACCCCGTGCCACTATTTTCGAGGAACGTTTATAGGGCCCATCCGAAATTTGGGATGAAAATGATCGAAATGAAACAGATCTAAAGAAATAACCTACCGAGAGGCCTGCGAAAGGCAAAAGGATCAGCTAGCCTGCAACAGCGCCACCACTGTCACATTTCCCCGTCCTTCCGTCATCGGACTGACCCCACCGGAGCTCCAATGGGGCGGCTCGACGCACCGCAAAGGCGAGTCGAAGGGGTCCGCCTGGGCCTGGCTCGCGTTGCCGCAGGCCAGGCGAGCCACACAGAAGAGGACCGCTAGCAGGAGCGGCCCCCTCGGTGTCGGGCCCATGATTGTGAGGGTTTCTGTCTGGTCGGCCTGGGAAAATTAAGACGCATATATGGGAGGTTTATGAATTCTTTAAATTGGGTTTGAAACTGAACGTACCAGGATGGTATGACCATGCATGGTATGACCATGAGGGGAAAAAAAGAACACTTTTTGGCAGAAGCCTATAAAGTCGCCGCCGAAGACGTGATTTCGTAAACCCCTTGATATAAATTTATACAAATTAATCGGGGTTTTCGAAACTCAGGCTTCTTTCTCTGGTTCGGTTTCAATGGAATTAATATCGAGCTACATTTTGTAAACTTTACGACGCATTGACGCAAACTTTCTTAGCGAAAAATAAGAGGGCCTGACGTTCTGTTCTTTGCTCTAGGCTTATGTTCAAACACATTTTAGCTTCTGGTAAAGTTTCTGCCAGGACATTTTACCTCCGTGAGCATATGCAGTAAGCCTACATGAGCTACCATGGCTACGACGTTCTACCCTCACGACGTAAAAAGTTTCCATTAGGCCCCCCCAAAAAAGTCTCCGGTTTCTGGTATGGAGCTTGTCCCAAAAGTGGTGCGGCGACACGGCTTTTTTTTTTTTTTTTTACCTGTTTTTTTTTTTTTTTTGGCTTCAAATGTCGGCTGATGACTGCAAATGGTGCCCGACTAAACTTTGTGCAAATATATGGGAGTCCAGAGAGGCCACATAAAGCTTATTCTCGATCATAACCCCATCTAAAAACACGTTAAAATTGTGCAGCAGCAGAATTCCAGTCAAACCAGTGAGTTTGGCGGTTTTGAGACATCATCTTGTATTGAAAAAAAACCTTTTTCATTTTGCCGACGCGCATAGCTGCGGCGACGCGCGCGCATACCAGAAACCGGAGACTTTTTTTTTTGGCCTTACACGAACTTGAATAGTGACTTACCTCAGACGGGCCAAATTTTATTCAGAAAACACGTTCCGCAGAAAAAAATTCTTTAAAGCTGTCTGGACGAACGAACAACTCGAACTCTGAGAAATAAACTCGTTCTTCCAATCCGTTGTCTACAAAATCGGCCGTTTACAATCAGTGTAAACACCGTTATCGCGGGTATTTACAACAGCAGTTCCTCCCGACCAAAATTTGCACACAATGGGTTCTCTCTGGGCCAAGGATCATCAGATCAGATGAGGTCGGGTCGAGGTTTAAAAAAACATACGCTATACCTGGAAAAGCTACGACTTTGGGCTATGGCACTCAATTGATTTAACATTGCATGCATTGTGTCCGTGTTGTGCACGTGTTGTGTAAATGTTGGCTGCTGGATGGGCGGGTTCAGGATTTAATGGTGGGGAGGGGGTAGACACTAATACTTGGTGTTCAGTGAAATGATTTTAGTTGTCGGAAAAAGGGTTTGAGCTATTTTGGGGCCAGAGTTTTCCTGCGGCTAAAAATAACAATAATGTTAGGGAGATTTGCAAACAATACCGAAAAACGTCATATGCTGACGTGTGACCAATCCCAGGTCTCTGTTAATGTTATATCGATTTCAAGGGCGCAATCGAAATGCAATCACTTGTAATAAAAACTGTTTGATGACGTTTTATTAGGCCATAGGGGTGCACAAGGACAGCTTATGCAACTGTTTATGACATAATTACTTTTTTAAATGCACCCCACGTACAAGAACGATACATTTTAACTACAAAGGCATGACAAAATGTATCGTTCTTAAAGTCGAATTTTAATTAAACAACTTTAATTACATTCACGAAATAGTTTTAAAAGAAGACGCTTAAACCAAACCATGCATTTTCAACTGTCGTTCACGAAAAAATGCTTTGACGACTAATGCCCAATACGTGGACAATACGTTAATTGAGCGTTACACATCAGTCAAACAAGTTTTCCAGAGTTTGTTATATTTTTTAATTGCTTCATGTATACTTTACATATAATACTGCATTATTTCAAAACGATATTAACAAGCATTGCATCATACAGATACCAAAAGTCACTGCAGTGCTATTGCAAAATATTTCATCTTATACACACCTACAACCATTATATTTACCAGGCACTATTGAAATATATCCCACTATCTCACATACAGTCTGTTTGCTTAGGCTAAATTGCCAGGCTGTCAATTGTCATTATTACCTATGAACCTAAAAAAAAAAGTCCCCACATAAGGTTGTCACATACAGAAAGCAAAATTGGTATTTTTCTTTAGGCAAAACAGTATTCCCTTAGACAGGCACATAAGGGTTTAATTTGCAAAGTGGGAGGGGCGGGGCCTAATTATCTAGAGGGGGCACTGGTGGGTTAACAAATAAGCTCATTTTTGCCTTTCCTAAATTCTGGGGAGAGAGGAACAGGGAAGGGGGGGGGGGCACAGGCATGCCTAAGTTCCCCCACCTCCACCCCCGACCCCAGTTTCGCCACTGCTGACCAGCCAGCCTTATTTATGACAACAGGATAACTATCATCAAGCTCTACCGATAATCCATCTAGATCACATTGCCAGCCTAAATAAGTTACATATAGTATAAATTGAGCGTAACAATAGTTAACAAGTATATGCACTAATATACAAAACTTACTGTATAATTACATATCTACCACTGTCCATCACTAAAGCTGTATAACACAAAATATGCTGCAAATATTATTTGGAAAAATAAAACTCAAACAAGCAATACTATCACACAATGGCACATCATATATTCTGCATAACATGTGGCAATCAATTATCTATACTATGATAATTATTAAAAAATCTCAATTGTTCAGTCTTTTATAAATGATGGTTTTCTTTAATAAACCAATTTCAAGATTAACTAAATTTTCAAAATTACAAGATTACACATCATTTAAATAAACTGTTCACTTTCTTAATGCACAAACAAAATTTAACAATCACAAACACACAGATACAAAAATACTTGGCAATATTTAAATTATGCAATAGCCCAACAATAATAATGTACAATTTGCTGAGTAAGATAGTAAACACTTTTTTTTTCAAACAGCAAAACACAGCATCATATTATGTACAAATTTGGCATGAAACATTTAACTTATATCTTAACAGAAAAGATTGCAAAACCTTAATTTTAGTGCCATAAAAAACAAAAAAGATTTGCGTGTAAACAGATTTGCGTGCTCAGCAATCCGTTTGTTAACCTTTGTTCGTTTTGTCCCCACTTAATTAAAAATGCGGCTGGAAGTGTGAATCAGCAATCATGAAATGTCTCTACTAATATATTCAAGAAACTAAGAAATTCCAAAGACCAGCTTGTAAAAACATTCACTTCAATTCTGACCTTGGGTCAATTGGCTGGTGCCAGGCCTGATTATTATTCAGTGTACTCGCAGGTCCTGGGAACCAGTCATGGTCGGCTCATGCATAATGCATAGGTGTAGGTGATGCATCCCAGATGCCAGTTGTCAAACCTATGGAGATCGACTTGAACACCGCCCTCTCTTGTCTATCTGAAGTTGGCGTAGGTCTGGTTCTCTTCCAGGTAGGTACTCAGGACATCGTAGCAGAACAGATACTGGTCCTGGAAGGACAACAAAATTGGATGTGAAATGTCTAATGTTAAACACAGCCTCATTAGATCAAGTCCCCTCTATGGCTGGCTAGTACGGTCATTGTAAGTGACCTATCCAGCTATTGGGCATTTCTAGTAACCTGCCAGTGTCATTTTGACTGACCAGTGTCATTTTGACTGACCAGTGTCATTTTGACTGACCAGTGTCATTTTGACTGACCAGAGTCATTTTGACTGACCAGTGTCATTTTGACTGACCAGTGTCATTTTGACTGACCAGTGTCATTTTGACTGACCAGTGTCATTTTGACTGACAAGTATCATTTTGACTGACCAGTGTCATTTTGACTGACAAGTATCATTTTGACAGACCAGTGGCATTTTGACTGACAAGTGTCATTTTGACAGACAAGTGTCATTTTGACAGACAAGTGTCATTTTGACTGACCAGTGTCATTTTGACTGACCAGTGTCATTTTGACTGACGTGTCATTTTGACTGTAACCACCAACAACTTTGTATTAGCTCCTGATTGTTTTTTCTTGGGAAAGCAAGCAAAGATTGAGCCCTCTGTGCAACCTAGGTCATTTTGACTGACCCGACGTCATTTAGACTGACCTAGGTCATTTAGACTGACCTAGGTGATTTGGACTGACCTAGGTGATTTGGACTCACCTGGCTATCCACCATCGTGTGTCGATTCCGTCGCAGGTTCCTGACAGCATGGAAGACATCCACCACTTTCTCTTCCTTCAGTTTCTCCAACGACGCCATCGCTGTGCAGAAAATTCCACTTCGGCTCACACCGTCACTGAAAAGCAAAATAAAATATATAAAAACATTTCAAAATGAGATGAGCTCTTTACATAATGATAACCATTGGTTAATTGGAGTTCACCTATGTTCACTAAAACCCACACAAGACGGCCACAGTCAGACTAGTCTAGTTGACTTTTTGGTACCAGCCTGCTCTGGTCTGACACATGCCCGGTTATAACACAGCCGCATAATATTATGGATAGGTAACCGTTGAGGGGGTACTCACAGACAATGGACTGCGATGCGTCCATCTCCGCCCGTCTGGCGGTGGCTCTGCTCCACCAACTCCATGAAGCCCAGGAACGGGACGATAGAGGGCGGTATTTCCTCTTCGGGGCTCCATTCTAGGAACTCAAAGTGGTGGATGGTGCGGGGCTTCTCTGACTGAAAGATGGAACAAAGTTAAAGGCCAAAATGTCAGATATTTGCGTCTTGACAGGAGTCTTCAAGATTGACGATTTGAATCTTATATTGTTTAAACGGAAAACTATAGTAAAATAGCTTTTGCAGGGATGTAAGGGACCGTGACCATTCAGCCCTGGTATGAAAAGGGCCCCCCGGTACCTCGTCCGGTCCAAAGCCAGTCCGGTCTTCAGCCCAGTCTCGTCCGGTACATGGTCCTGTCTGACCAGAAGTTTTGAAGTCAGTCTCGTCCGGTACATGGTCCTGTCTGACCAGAAGTTTTGAAGTCAGTCAGGCGCATCAATTTATTGCCCTTCAGAGAACGTCCAGAGCAGAACAATAGCAGACTTACCGGATTAAAGATAAAATCTTTCCATAAAGCCTAGGTAATTTACGGTCCCACTGTGTGCGAAACCACATGGCAGGGGTTTTGATCTGCGCCGACGAAAGTGTTCTATTGTTTCGCGCTGAGAGATGAAAACCACAAGCGGGTTTCTTCTGGGATATATTACATGTGTCAATACTGTCAAACAATAGACCCCAGGATAGAGGAGTTCCTGATTAGCAACCGGATCAGCTCCTGGGCCGGTAGCTGGGACGGTGCGAAATGACTTCTTGGGAGGGGACGAGCTAACCGGGGGGCCCTTTTCATACCGGGGCTGAATGGTCACGGTCCCTAAGGCCCTGAAAAACGATTTAACTTCAACCCAAAGTAAAATTGTGGCCCAACGAAAAATATCAACTGAAGCATTATTTGAAACTGCAACCTCTGTAACTGTACCGTACTGGCACTCTACAAAATGAGCTGTCCTGCCAAATTGCAGTCTCCATGTTTGTCTATATCTCGGTTGTGTGGGTGGTTTTCAGGAGGCAATGAATACAATCCAACCAAAGTTACAATGCTGGCAACACAAGCAATGCATGAAATCATGGAAATGGCGCTTGCAGATAATTCTACATGATATGAGAAGTTTTGACATCAGCTATGCAAGTTCTAAATTAGTTTTAAAACAATTATTGGGTTTTTTTTTTTACATTTGGTAGTTCACTTCTTTTTCCTTATATTACAATATATATATTTTTTGGGAACAAGCCCATTCATCACCATAACTGGTACCCACCGCCTTGTTGGTGTTCTTCAGTTTGAATGTTCTGGCTATGGTGTGCTTGAAGTCCTTGCAGTCACGTAGCTGCACCTCAAAGATCCCAAACAGTGCTGTTTCCTCCGGATCGTCAATCCAGTACGGTGCACATGTCTGAAAGTCAAGTTGATATGATAGTGAGCCACTGATAGGAAAAAATTGGCACAATTGCAGAATACCCCGCCACTCACCTATCCAACCTCGTATCCGGATACGCGGATACGGAGTCACGCTTGGATGCTCAACCAAACCACACGCGTGCGCCACCCCGTATCCACGTATCCGCGTATCTACTTCCCGGCACCTACTTTGGACTTGGACATTTTTCCCCTGCTCCCCATTCAACTGACGTTGTCTTTGCCTTCGTTATTTTCCAACATGGATATGGATGCCTCGTTCTCAAAAATATTTTCCTCCGCTAAAGTCCACCTCGTATCCCCGTATCCGCGTATCCACTTCCCGGCACCTACTTTGGACTTAGACATTTCATTTAACCCCTGCTCCCCATTCAATTCACGTTGTCCCTGCTGGCTGCATTTCTTATTACAGGGAAATAGCGCCCTCTTTAGACCCTCCACCGCTTAAATCCACCCCGTCGTATCCGGGTATCCACTTCCCGACACGTACTTTGGACATTTCTGCAACATTTTCCGACTTCGTTGCCATTTATTTTTAGGGGGTAATTTCCGCGTGGCGGGGTATTCTGCAATTACTCCAAAATGTGGTTGGGCACACCGCGTACGAACAACTGCTCATGGGAACGGGAGCAGCGGCAAGTTACCCAGTCTCAAGTCAAGTCACAAGCTATTCAAATACAATGATTCACCCCTGTACTTATGTCGGGACTTGAAGTCGGACTTGTGATTTACTCGTGATGGGAATTGTGATTTGCTTGTGAGTTAGTTGTGACAGGACTTGTGATTTACTTGTGATTAACTTGTGATGGAATTGTGATTTGGTTGTGATAGGACTTGTGATGCACTTGTGATTTACTTGTGACAGGACTTGTGATTTACTAGTGATGCACTTGTGATTTACTTGTAGCAGGACTTGTGATTTACTAGTGATGCACTTGTGATTTAATTGTGATGAACTTGTGATTTACTTGTGATGGGAATTATGATTTGCTTGTGATTTGGTTGTGATAGGACTCGTGATGCACTTGCAATTTACGCATGACAGGACTTGTGATTTACTTGTGTGCACTTGTGATTTATTTGTGATGGACTTGTGATTTATTTGTGATGGGAATTATGATTTGCTTGTGATTTGGTTATGATGTGCTTGTGACAGGGCTTGTGATTTACTAGTGATGCACTTGTGATTTACTTGATTTGGTTGTGATAGGACTTGTGATGCACTTGTGATTTACTTGTGACAGGACTTGTGATTTACTAGTGATGCACTTGTGATTTACTTGTAGCAGGACTTGTGATTTACTAGTGATGCACTTGTGATTTAATTGTGATGAACTTGTGATTTACTTGTGATGGGAATTATGATTTGCTTGTGATTTGGTTGTGATAGGACTCGTGATGCACTTGCAATTTACGCATGACAGGACTTGTGATTTACTTGTGTGCACTTGTGATTTATTTGTGATGGACTTGTGATTTATTTGTGATGGGAATTATGATTTGCTTGTGATTTGGTTATGATGTGCTTGTGACAGGGCTTGTGATTTACTAGTGATGCACTTGTGATTTACTTGTCATGGACTTGTGATTTACTTGTGATGGACTTGTGATTTACTTGTGATGAGAATTATGATTTGCTTGTGATTTGGTTATGATAGGACTTGTGATGCACTTGTGACAGGGCTTGTGATTTACTAGTGATGCATTTGTGATGGACTTGTGATTTACTTGTGATTGGAGTTATGATTTGCTTGTGATTTGGTTGTGATAGGACTCGTGAAAGGACTTGTGAGGCACTTGTGATGTACTTGTGATGGTAATTGTGATTTGCTTGTGATGCACTTGTGATTAATTTGTAATGTGCACTGTTGTTTACCTCATCCGATCCATCAATCTCATTCAACATGACGATGACCCTGGCATTGTAATCGTAGACCATCCTCCAGAAATCCACCACGGTGTTTGGCAAGGGGCTCTGGGCTGCTAGGAAGCCATCTTTCCTTTTATATGCCTGCAATACAAACCAAATCATGTCAAATTCATGCTGTTCATATCCCAGATTTTATCTTCCCCTTTTGATCTCAGAAAAGTCAATGGCGATTCCATACTTCATGTACAAAGCATTTGGTAATTCTGGTCATTAATATTCCATGCTTCTGTCCCTGAATAACTGCATTTTTCCTTTCAAATTCAGGGAAAAAATAACATTTGTTGGTACACTGCCTTCTCGTACAATGCCTTTTTGAGTTTGTAGACTGATATTCTGCAGACACTTTGACACTAATTTCATAAACATCAGACACGGCATTCACACAAAATGCCAAATTTGAGAGATGGGTTAGACAAAAATCTTGTGTTTTCCAAAAACCAAGTATAGCAAAACGGTTATATGAATGTCCCCCTGCTGTAAAATGGCCAAAGAAACCCAGCTCTTTTTAGAGTTTTAAATCTTGAAGTGTTATAAATCCATAACAAAACAGTCTGTACAATATGAGAGTAGACCAAACAAAGTCAGGGGAAGACCTATAACGGTGTTCAATTCAATTCACCATGGTTTATTAACAAATCACGAATGGCAGCCACAGCTGAATTGCACATGATTTACATTTAAAAAAAAATACATTTTTAAAAAAAGTTAAAGGCCTACCGAGTTAAAAAACAAAATATGACATTAAATACTAATATTAGAAAAAGTTTAAACATTGTGCATACAGATCTGACTAAAGAAAATTGTCTATATAGAGAAATACATTGATCTTACTTTGAAAAGGGAGCATTTAGATTGCATTAAAACTTATAAAAGACATTCAAAAAGGTTGCAGGTAAAAAATTTATAGTTTCATTTAGGATTAGAATTATAAAAATGAGCCAGATGAGGAATGAGTTTAAAAATTGTGCAAGATGTGTGGCAGTCTAATTATCGTGTGGTATGGAATGGGTAACCATGCTCAATACTCACATCGATGAAAGACGCATTGATGTAGTTTGTACTGCCCTCCTCGCCTGGAGACATGAGGTAGGGACGGCTCTTGTCAACTGTAGCAGGAAAATTATTTCATCAGTTTGAATAATATCGCCACAAAACAAAAAAAAGTCTGTGCCTTGACCTGCTACACGGTTTCGGCTTCGGATTTTGATTCAAAAGTTCTTCATTACGTGAGAAATTACAAGACATATGTTCTCCTGTGTGCAATTAAAAAAGTAGTTTGCATGAACATTCATGACAGTATTTCGAATCACTTCGGGCCCGTGACCATTCAGCTCCGGTATGAAAAGGGCCCCCAGTAAGCTTGTCCCCTCCCAAGAAGTCCTCTCGTACCGTCCCAGCTACCGGCCCAGGAGCTGGTCCGGTTGCTAATCAGGAACTCCTCTATCCTGGGGTCTATTGTTTGCAAGTATTGACACATGTTATATATCCCAGAAGAAACCCGCTTGTGGTTTTCATCTCTCAGCGCGAAACAATAGAACACTTTCGTCGGCACAGATCAAAACCCCTGCCATGCGGTTTCGCGCACAATGGGACCGTAAATTACCTAGGCGTTATGGAAGGATTTTATCTTTAATCCAGTAAGTCTGCTATTGTTCTGCTCTGGACGTTCTCTGAAGGGCAATAAATTGATGCGCCTGACTGACTTCAAAACTTCTGGTCAGACAGGACCATGTACCGGACGAGACTGGGCTGAAGACCGGACTGGCTTTGGACCGGACGAGGTACCGGGGGGCCCTTTTCATACCAGGGCTGAATGGTCACGGTCCCTTACCTATGGCTAGAAATAACACGCTCATCTATGGATGCTAAAGGCTAGTGGCTGCAACCACTTCCCATAGACTTATGTTTTAATGCCGGCCGTGGCAAAGTGATTCTGACATGGCCCGAGTCATAAAAATTGTGAGGTAAAACATTTTTGCATAGGATAAATAGCGCCCCCTTTCAGTACTTGCACCGGACAACTTTATTATTGTAATACTCACGAGGGATGCAGTCCTGGTATAGATTCTTATCCTGGTTCATCTCGTTCCTTCCGCCGAAGCAGTTATCATCGCCCGGTGCCACCGACATCGTGTCTAAGACCTGGCCAAGAGTTTAGAGTCCATTAACCCATATTAGTCCCTGTACTGCCTCAAACTGCCCTGTCTGCTACTCCTTGTATTGCCCCAAACTGCCCTGCCTGTTACTCCCTGTACTGCCCAAAACTGCCCTGCCTGTTACTCCCTGTACTGCCCCAAACTGCCCTGCCTGTTACTCCCTGTACTACCCCAAACTGCCTTGCCTGTTACTCACTGTACTGCCCCAAACTGCTCTGCCTGTTACTCCCTGTACCGCCACAAACTGCCCTGCCTGTTACTCCCTGTACTGCCCCAAACCACCCCAGCAGACCATGGTTTTATGGATCCATCAAGGAGAAAATTATAACTACACTCACTTCACTGCTCCACTCAAATACTAAAAAATCTATTAATCTTCTTCTCAAAAACATTCAAGTCTCATACATGTATGTGCTTATATTGTGCTGATATTATCTATGCTCGTCAGTTGAACAATTTTTGTTCATGATTTTCCTGTTAAACGATAGAAAACTGCATTCCGCACACACACAAAAACCACTTGCTAAAATCTACACTAAATTTGATATTTCAAAAATTTTGTGTTGGATTTGAATACATAAATAGTGCTAGAAGCTTCTAATTCAAAACTCAAAAATTACACCCAAAACTTACATCTGTTAATTATTGAGGTCTATTTTTTAGGATGTTTTGAAAGCCCACAACTTAGGTAGAGCTCAAATTATCAGTTAGACTCCTCGGGGTTGAATTGGGACACACCATATGTAAGGATAACTCTTTTCCAACAAAATTGGACATTGGCATGTTTCAGCTACTCACTCTGAAGTGTTCCTCCACGTAGGAGCTGCCAGTGAGCGGGTTGCAGTCTCCCAGAGCTGCGTACTGAGCAGGGAACGTGGAGAGATTCATGACGGTGTCGCCACACAGTAATGTCTCCAGTAGCACCTCAAAGATGAACATGTACTGTTCCTGAAGACGGCAAGAATTAAAATACTGATTTTGAGTCTGACTTCGGTTAAAATAGAGGGAACTTCCTCATGAAAAAGGAGGTATTCAAAACTCGGTGCGCCACGAAGAGCTTACCATGGAAAGGTGATTCTTGCAATAAGGGGAGGCCATAATTAAAAGGGATTGATGACTGACTGACTATTGTAAAATTGACTAGATGGCGGGGGGTTGGGGGGGGGGGTTGGAGGAGGGGTGAAGGAGGGAGGGGTGGAGGAGGGGCAGGAGGGGTGGACCCACTGGACGCTAGACATGCAAGAGAGCTAGATCACACCTGAGTCTGAACCATTCTGGGTCTCTTCTTTCTCATCTCGTAGACAAAGTCGATGACGTTGATCTGTTTCTCCTCAGCTACCATATTCAGCATGGCGTCCACTGTGATGAAGGTTCCCGTCCGACCCACACCAGCACTGTGTCAATGACGACCAATAATAAAGATCTCATTATTACACAATAGATTGGTTGTATAAAGAGTAGACGATTCTTCATGGCGACTTTACTGTTTGCGGAACACACCACAGGTGTGAACTGGTTGGCACGGATTTGGTGGTACACACAACTACTTTGTTTCTAATGAAACTAATTTCAGCAGCAATGTCCTTTTAATCCCTCATGAACCCTTTAGTGTCCAATGCTATACGCCCTAAGCATTTAAACGATTCAAATTCTGTGACCTTTTCCAAAGTTGAAATATCTGACAAAACATCAAACATATAGTGGCATCTTTCTGAAAGTTCAGTGCCTAAACTGTTTCGTTCAGATGTTTCAGTTTTCATGTGCTGCAAGAATCAGAAGGTTGAAAATCCTGACCATCTGCAGATGCTATGGGATTTTAGTTCAGTATAGGTCAAAGGAGCATGGAGTGATCGTGTACGACCTGTGTGCAAGCGGTGTGTAATGTCGGTATTATTAAACTAACTCCCTAGGTATTGTGCTAGGATGTAACCTCAATCCTGCAAAATCCTCCGCCTGCCTCAATGTAAAGATAGCATACAGCCTCAATCCTGCAAAAAATCCTCCATTATTTCTTGAATGTGATGCTTGGAGGGGTAACCACTGCCTCAATCCTGCAAAATCCTCCAGCAATCACTGTCAATATGTTAAGGCAGAGCCAGTGACATTCTGGAGCAGTGCGGAGGATTTCAAGTATAATATAGGCCTACATTTATGCACGCCTGAGCATAAACAACACAAGGTCCGGCCCAAGACCTTCACAAGGTGCATCCTCCGAAATCAGCAACACCTTTTTGCCTCAATCCTGCAAAATCCTCCATTTTGCAAAGAGAATTTTGGAGGATTTGGGAAGGTTAGAGTTAAAAGTGTTGAAATTGTGGTTGCAGGATAGGTCTAGAGGAACCAGTGGGGGCGCACTGCTTGAATGCCATGGGGATGAGGTTGGATCGTTTAGAGGATATTACCTGCAGTGGACGACCATCGGTCCCATGCCACTCTCTTCTACCTGCTTGACCTCGTGGATGAAATTCATGAGAGGGGCGGGGGAGTCCGGTAGGCCCATGTCAGGCCAGGACGTGTAGTGGAACTGCTTGACCTCCCGCGGTAAGTCTTCCTCAAACTGAAGAGAACAAAGTTAAGAATTGTTCGTCTTCTTTATACAAACTAATCTTGAACCAAAATTTCATACTTCCGGATAGCCCCACACATAAGAAGGCATGAATAATTTAATATTTAGAATTATAAATAAAACTGTTTTATTTCTGCATTGTATTTTTATTTTTTTATTTTTGATATTGTTAGTTGTTCTGTTGCCCTGACCCCTTTTGCATCAATGAACTTCAGGCATGCAACTGGGAATTAAGAAAAAACGACTTTGTACAGTGTTTTTCAATTTGTAATGGCATTCATGAGAAGTAAAAAACGAGGAAATCAGGGGATCCGAGGAAAAGTTGCATGCCTGGAACTTTTGTATCAATTTCCAAAAATGGTTGACCGACCATCGTTGGAAAAAAACTGGCTTTTTTTCAATCATGTCCCCAATTTACCAATTTGTTTTCGTCCACATTTTGTATGCAATCTGTTAAGCCCGGTTCATACTTCATGCAAATGCGAATGCGAAGCGAATTTGGCGTCATGAAACATTAACTGTGAAATTCGCCCGAGTTAAAATATGTTCAACTTTTACGAATTCGCAGCGCGAATACTTGCCAAATTCGCGTTCATTCTCGCTTTCGGGCCGAGTATGAACCGGGCTTAACACATCCGTGAGTGGGTGCAGGGCAGCTAGTCTGGTTGCCTGACATGAAAATTCCCAGACGTCTATATATTGCTCTGAAGTAGGGTTAGGGAAACAGACTACAAGAAAAGCATTTATTTTTCTTGGTTTTTCCAGCATCTCTGAACACAAAACTTTTAACAGGTCAGTGAAACAATATTTGCTGTAAGATGCTAATCCCCAAATCCATCAATTTCTGAATATCACAGCAAAATCAAATCTTATATATGACCTTTAAACGGAATCTCTAAATTCAAACTGCTTGATATGCCATTTTAACAAAAGCAATTAGGGTGATTTTTTCCAGATATTTCAGTCTTGTTTCAAAAAGAGCTGATCACAAATTCGGTAAAAACAAGACTCACGTTCATGTTTGCGATGACAAAGACTCTCTCGGTAAAATCTTGCTCTACTCTCTCGGAGACTTTCTTGACGACGATGCTCTTGTAATCCAACTGGTCATCTGGCCAGTACTGTATACATTTTTTCTTTAAACAAAAATTTCAAAAAAAAGAAAAAAAATCAAAAACCTCTCAACACAAAATGTGACATTTTCTGTCAACTGAAAACAAGGCACTTCCAGGCAAAGTTATAACATAGAGTTACAACAACAAAAAATAAGAACTTTTTAATTTTTTCATATTGTTTTGATAAATTTGTGATCCTAAATGTCTTAATATATTTTTTAAAAAACGCACTGTTGTTTGAAAAGGTGGTATTTGGGGTGCTGGGGGGGGGGCATATCAGTCATGTCAGTTCAAGAATCGTAAAACCAAAATCTTTTAACTGGCAGCTTCTCCATGTTTCCTTAGTGACTTCATGAACTTCAAATTTGCATAATTTTGTCAAAAAGTCTGTGGTTAAAAATTAAATAAACAATCTAAAGGGAAAAATCATTCACTTAACTTGGTGCTCAAAAGAGTCTATTTAAGATAGAGTACCGTGGTCCAATGGTTGCAGCGTCCTACCCATGTACGATGGTAGATGCAGGGTTCAAACTCTGACTGTGAACATGGTGCTTGTGTTTTTGGGCAAGACACTTTACTATAATTGGGTCCCTATCCAGGAGTATAAATTAGTACCAGTGTCCTACCCATGCACAATGGTAGGTGGGTGCAAACCCTGACTGGGAACATGATGTTTGTGTTCTCGGGCAAGACACTTTACTACAATTGCCTCTCTCCAACCAGGAGTATAATGGGTACATGTAAAGGTAGAAATCAGATTGTGCTGATCTCGAGCTGCCGCAGAAAAATAAGAGTAATAATTAAAGCGCATTGAGAGTTTGTTATAAAGCACTAAATAACACACTATTCTTATTCTTGTTTTTGACAGAACTCATGTCAAATGGTCAACGCAGGAACAACCTTGACAGTTACAAAGGATTATATCCAAAATGTTAGGTTAAAAAAAAAGGTAAGCCCACCTTTGCATTCTCAACTGTGTTGGTCAACATGACGATAATGGCAACCTCCTGTTGCCAGACCATTCGCCAGAAGTCTGGAGTCGAGGATTTATTGGGACCTGAAGAAAAATGATGAAAAAAAAGAAGAGAAGTAAAGAATTTTAGTGATGATAAGCATTTTTTTTGGGACTTTTAACAATCTTATTCAGCATATTGCTTTTCTCGGTCTGTGGGCGGGCCGTCACCGCATTATGGGGAAGTTTTTTGTTAGGCAAATTAGGACCGAGTTATGAGGACTTTCTGCTGTCCCCACAGCGTCTTCGGTCCCCATAGTACAATAGGACAACTCGTGTGTGTCCCCGCAAGTATGCGTGCATTTGTTTATGGTGTAAATCAAGGACACACATGTGAAACATCATCGATGAATCGAGGATAGAAACCAAATCGAGGACTCCTTGGTTGGAAAACGTGTACAAAACCAATGAGAGCTATTGCAAAAAGTACAAACAAAAGAAAAAGAGAAGAGGAACAAAGAAAATCCTTGATTTACACCATAAATAAACGTGTGTGAACTAGTATGGGTATTTTTTTTTTGGCAAACTTGGTCCCCATGGTGGAATGGACTGTTCCAGATTTTGGCAATAAGCTCCGCCCACCTTTGGTTGGTGACCAATCTTGGCTGAGCTACCATAGTAACCTAACAAAATTCTGGTCTAATTGGCCAGTGCACTTATAATGATTGACAGGCTGGAAGGTTCCATTATATGTGGGTACTATCAATGTGGTTGGCAATGACTGTCACCCAAATTACCCCCCAAAAATTCAACGAACGACAAAAAATGATTATGCACAGTACAGAAAGCAAAAAGTTACTGCATTTATTGAATGCCGCATTCTTTTGTCCACTGAAGATTTGAAAATAATTTTATTACGATGATCTGGAACTTACCTTGAGTTGCAATGTAGGCATACTTCTGTTTGTAGCCCTGCAATAAAAGACACAATTACTGATTAAAAATCACCAAAATATCCAGTATGTGTGTACAAGAAGGGATAAGAAAGCTGGTAAGACAAATTTCATGTTTATCTAAAAGTGCCTCAACGAGATTTAAAAATATTTGTATATTTACATCGATGTAGGAAGCGTTGATATAGTCTGTCTCTGGATCGTCATTTATCGGGTCGAGGACAACACGGGAATGGTCATCTGAAAATAGCGGAAAGAAAAAAAAAATGTGAGAAATGAATGCCTTGAACAGGAAAACAAAGATTGGCTCAAGTCCGATTGTTTAGTTTACATATGTACAGCATCACAATACAGTAAAATCCATCAAACCTAAGGGGAATGGTGAAAAAATTTAGGTATCCGGAGTTCCAGTTAAGCAAGGTTCCCGATGTTTCTACTATCAAGTCCGATTTACATTTACACATACATGAAACCAAGATCGCCCGATTCGGTCCAATTGGTTTTTGTTCTAGAACCTATTTTGTGAAGTGAGGTGGATGTCATTTTTGTCTCGATGAATTACTAAACCGTGCCCAGGAATTTGACTTTAGAGGGATTGTTATCTAATAATACCCACATGAAAGAAGTGTGCTTCACCAAAAAGGCTCTGCAGCAAAAAGTACTGGACGGAATCGGGATATTTTGGGATCATAATTCTTTTAAAAAGATTCTCCATCATGAGTCTCAAGGTAGTGGAAGTATGCCCTTCCGATTTTTGTGTGCGTGGACCACCCTGTACAATGGAATACATTCAATGTTATACGGTTTGATGCAAATGCTAATGGGTCAAAGCATATTTTATACATAACAAGAATTTCACTACCAACAATGAAACACAATGCCCACTCACATGGAATGATGTTGGCGTATCTGTTCTTGTTCTTATTGATGTCTTTCTGGGCAACATTGCTGGAGTACAGCTGATTGTCAGGAAAACTCTGCAATTGGATGAACAGTTTTAAAAAACATAACAATAACAACGGAAATTACCTTGGCCATCACTGGGGCCCTCCATGATCGTACAATAATTTGGTGCTAATATTGATCAAGGGTTTAAACTTATGATGCTTACGGTTAAGCAGGAATGTTCTGCTTACCACAGAATTGTGTGCTTAACCGCCCATTGTGTGTTAATAAAACTAGGACAGAAATAATATGCTATTCCAGTATGCACAAAATCTGTAGTGGTAACACAAAATGTGCAAACCACAATTCCTTGGTAACTAATAAAATAAGTTAACCGTAAGCGCAGAGAAACCACTAAAATTATTAAATGTCAGGTTTTTAATTATATTTCCGTTTTTTTCCCCCCTAAAATCCTGACCTACATAAGGTTACTATCAAAATACACATTTACAATTTCAGTTAGGAGCGATTATTTTGTTTACACAAGGAATTGTCCCTAGGGGGCTAGACAATAGATCATCTCCCACCCCACCCCCCAAAAAAACCCAGAGTGTACTTAATTCTAAATTTATTCAGAATGGCTAATCACTAGAAGTCTAGAAGTGCCAACGTACGTCGACAACCTTCTAGGTGTTTCTATGTTTATGGAACAGAAACAGAAGCCTTTTCATGTAACAGTCCACACAATTGTACGGGTTAAGCCCATTCATTGGTGCTACGGGTTAATCACATTTTTTGGTATTTTTTATTGAAAAGTTCTAGGGTAACTACCTTTTTATATTTCTATACTAGGGTTAATACCTTTTTATATTCCTATGCTATTTATAGTAAGTAAACGTTTAGTTTTGTTTTTATTTTTACGTATCTTGTTTTTAATTCCCTCCCCTATGGCCATTCAAATCAGACCTCCCCAATGCTAATAGTATGGTTACACTTAAATATATTTGGTCTTTATATTTGGTCTTTATATATATATTTTATAACTTTTTTCCCCTCAATCTTCATATTCGTATTCACACGCCATTCACTGTAATTTCAATTATTTTTCTTGTTTCGATTAACTTTATACATTTGTATTTTTTAAAGCTATTTTTAACTGTAAGAATGTCTCAATTCGGCCTTTGGCCGCAATGACGTTTTATTTTAATAAACCATTTCAAATCAAATCAAATCAAATCAAATTAAATCCAATAAGAGGGCACATGTGGTCCAGCGGTAGAGCATATAGGATTCATGATCGTGAGGTTGTGGGTTCGAGCCCCGCCGTGGCCATGCATGTTGTGCCCTTGAGTAGGGCGCTTTACCTCAATAACACCCGTCAACCCAGGTGTCTGGGTCCTGGCATTATTCAATGCTGGGAAGGTCACAGACTCGCTGTGGAGGTGTGGCGATCCCCCCACAGCAGCATGACAGTCTGGCCCAATTGCTAATTAAAGGGAGATGGGCACTCTGTTCCTGTGAACACAGGTTCGTCCCCTGTAAGATAGCAATTACTGCCTTACAAGTGTCTGTCAGTCAGTCGGTGAGTCCGTCAGTGAGACTTGGTACCAAAACCAAATAAACCGAGAGAAAAAAACAGCAAGTTTTTTTACCGCGTAGTCCCTGATGAAACCCTTGTTGCCGTTTGCCTTCTTCCTCTTGACGTACTGCGGCAGGTCCTGCAAGCTGACGGCCTTGTGGAGCTTCCACGCCTTCTTGGGCGGGGTTGCCTCTTTCTGCGGGTGTGGCACAGGCGTGGTCGATTCACCCTTCACCCCGCCCGAGCGCCTGAGCTGAGAGCGGACCATTTCCTCCACCATGGCTTGGTTCTGGAGCCCGTTGGCGCGGGCCTCTGCCTTTTCTGAAACACGGACAGTATCATTCTGGGTACTAAAATTCAAACTCCAAGAACAAACTCGAAATGATCTCGGAAGCTGCGGCTCAACTGTAGACCTGCCGTAGCCTATAAGTCATGTACATAATGTAACAGTCTGTTCGTATAATGCGCAACTACTCACGTGGTCGTGACTGTCAATTGAAAAGGATTCCCATTATTTTGTTGAACATCAGTTGGTGCATGGAGCATTTTAAAGCATGTACAGTGCTAGTACCAAGTGAAATGAGCGACTTCGTGACCAAATTTTCCATGACTGCAATTAATTGGGTGCTGGTACTGGTCAGTGGAGACCTACAGCACAAGTTGATGCGAGGGTCTGTAGGTCAAAGTGACTGATGGCCAAAAAAGGCACATGCTGACGTTTGCCACTAAAAAAACAACAAACGGAGAGACATGATGAATTGTTGAGCTGCTTTACCCGGCTAAAAAGTTGATCATTACGGACTTTAACATGTAGTTTAAGCTTCCACCAACCTGAAAATTAGTGGGCAAGCTTTCATCCACTCCTGTGGACTTCCTCAAGCCAAGTGATTGTGTACTCAGTTTCTTGCTGTCTGTTGTCCCGAGATCACGGACAACAGACAGCATTACGGACTTTGTTTAACAGTACCTCCTCAACGGTGCATATAGTCTTTGGTAAATGGATTCAGAAACTTTCTGAAAACGCTTGTGGCTAAATCTTTTGTGGAATATAAGACGAACAGGATTGTTTCGTGCAAGAACCTTACCCATGTCTGCCAGCACCATTCCATTGGTTCCCTGGGTTGACTTTGTCGACTGCCGCCTTAAAGACAGAAAAATGGAGTTGATTATCAATTCAATAAAACCCTAACTCCCTAGGCCTTTTTGCTAGGATGTAGCCTCAATCCTGCAAAATCCTCCATTATTTCTTGAATATGGCCCATGGAGGGGTGACCATTTCAAGCACAATCCAGGCCTATTTTTATGCATGGCTGAGCAAAAACAACACAAGGTCTGGCCCAAGACCTTGACAAAGTGCATACTACAAAATCAGTAACGCACTTTTGCCATGTAACCTGAATCATCCAAATTCCTCCACTTTGGCAAAGAGGATTTTGAAGGATTCAGGGCAGTTAGGGTTAAACAACATTATCAAGTGTGTATGCCTTGAATTGAAAACAGAGTTTTCAATAGATAAACTTACTTTCTTGATTTTGTCTAAAAGACCCTCCCCCAACAAAAAAGAATCTGTTTTCTTCACGTACTTTTACAATAACAATAAGCCATTTGCAAGTTAAATTTGAATAAAATCTGGAACGCTGACTTAATCCAATGCTTTGCACATTTTAACTTTGCATTCTCCCAACCAAAGAGACTGTTACTACATCACGTGATTCAGGGCAAGCCTTATGCTAGCAACACCCAGCTCTGGCATGGTCTGGTGTCTTTGTGCCATTCTCACCCATTGTGAGCGATGTATTGATGCCGAGCGTCTCTTACATAACTATGCAAGAGCTTGCCCCAAATCATGTGATTAGCAACAGTGTCTTTGGTCTGGAGAATTCAAAGTTAAAATGTGCCAAGCATTCTGAGCAAGTCAGTGTACCAGATGTTATTGAAATGTAAATCCCAAAGGGTATAGGTTACTCGCAAATGGCTTATTGCACAACAAAAAGTGACATTTTTGTCCAGGATGTGAAAAAAAAAGACAAGCCAAAAATGTTTGAAGAAATCTGCAAATCTGATGAGTGTTCTATATCATATTGGTGGCACAGTCTCGTGGTCAAGTCCTTTTCTGCGTCCGAGAAAAGTGTTTGATCTGAGTGTTTGGACAAAATGGAATGGCAAAAAGTCCAAGAAATTGAAGAAGTCTATTCAGAAATTGTGGTGGTACCTTTTACGAATGACCACCATGACGACCAAGACTACGGCAACCAATACCAGGACGGCTATGACCGCAGCAAGGATCACTTCTATTCCTGGACCAGTGTTTATAGGATTAGCTGTTGGATTGAACAAAAAAATACAATTAGCATGATGTTGTCTGTGAATCTTTTGAAAACATCATTTCAATACCTAGGCCCAATGTCATGGTGCTTAGGCCCGCTTCAAACGTCAAACTTCTGCCGTGTCTAATTTTCATTGCAGTGGACAAAAAAGCAGCAGAAGTTCAGCAGCGGCTTCAAACCTGTTGAACGTAATTCAGTCGTTCAAGATGGCGGAAATCAAAAAGCTTTCAAATCCAATTATATTTTAGATTATTTTATAGGACAAAATGAAACACTACTCACTAGTGACACTGCTTTCCTCACTGCAACTGGACTGAGTATCCTGACAAATAAAAAATTGCAAGAAAAAAGACATGGTTACCTCAATAATCAGTATTTCTGACAGTCAGTGTTCATTTTGTTTTAAACGCTTGATTTTCATTTATTCACATTCAATATATAATTTGTTTTAATATCAGCAAGACAGTCCCATAGCCAGTGAAATTTAATCGTTTTTCAAAAGTGTTTTCACGTTTTTGTGTGCGCCTTACATTTTTTCTCAGACAACTTGTTTTATACACTTGATTTTCTTTTTATATTCAACTTCAATTTTTGAAAATTTATTTTTACTTGCAAAACGTTCCCCGTAATTCGTGAAATTATCCTTTTCAACATGTAGTGTTTTCTCGTTTTGTTTATACCTTGTTCGAGTGTATACTGTGACAATAACAGGCATGCTGTAAATATTAAATTATTATTATTACATAAACCAAATCCCGCAAAATCTGCCAAAAGGTTTCGTCGGACTGTAAGGATTGAGGAAAGTACAGCTAAGGATTTGAAAATATTCAAAACCAACAAAATTGTGGGAATTTTGAGTTAAAATCTGTTACCTGTTGCGTTTTGCCGACCCCACAGAACTGGATAGCGTACGTTGTGCCCGGTTGCAGCGCCGCGTTGTGGTATCCGCCGTATGTTTTGTTGTCGCCCACTTTGAACGTCGAAGGAAGGTCGGTCTTGTTGAATTCCCCCGCGATGTAGTTGTTGGGGGACTGCTTGTAACTGCCGGGACGTTTGGCGTCACGTTTACCGACGGCGGTGCTTTTGGCAACCGTGACTTGATACACGCTGCGTGAGAAATGAGTGGGTTTTATCTCTGTTGCTATAGCAATGCGCTACTTTTAAATAGACAGTGAATTGAGCATATGGTCGTGTCCAAAACGAGCAAGAGCTACAGCTGTCTATTGGCTTGGTCCCACGTAGTTGTAATTAATGAAGATCTAGACAATAGCTCCAGTAGACAGGATATTAAGATAGTGTTGAAACTGATCATCCAGGTTCGGTTCGGTTGCGGTTCGGATTTTTGAATTTTTTTCGATGTTTATTTCTCAACGCCATCATCTACAGCAATGCTACATTGTACAGATTATGCGCACCGAAGACGGACAATCATGGAGATTAGCCCCCCAAACAATGAAGATGAATGAAGTGACTTGTTAACACGGTAAAATTCAATCATCCATGCACTTTCATTGCAAGCATGCCCTTGTCCTTTCATTGCAAGCATTAGCATTATTTCTATCGCTACAAAAAAAAAAAGTCGAACTTCCAAACTGACCAGTTTGGTTCGGTTCGGTTCGGTAGGCAATGTTCGGCTATTTTTAGTTCGATTCGGCGGTTCGGCTGCAGCACTACATTAAGACATAGCCTAAGACCTTTGTTGCTGATGTTAAAAAATTCGGCTCAAGCTTAAGTCACAAAACATTTGAAAGCTAATATCCCAAATTCCCAAGATTTCTTCGTATCAGAAAATTCTAGGGGATACTTAAAACAACTTCTATGCACTTTACAGAACTGAGCAACTTTTCTTGGTAAAATCTATGTGATATTTACTTTATGGTATTAACTCCGTGCACAAGTACCCCCTCAATGGGCCTTATTCACGAGTCGGCCAAATTGAATAGAAAGTTAGGTTAAATCTTAATTTTTGGAACTTGAGAAGAGAAATGAAAGCAAGTTAATTCCTAAGTAATTCCAGTCGGCTTCAATGAAAATTTTTTAATTTGTAATTAAAAAATCCCTAATGTTTAAAGCCTGACTAAGAAAAAAGACATCATATTGAACAGTTAAGACTTAATGACATACGTTCAGGGAACTCGACAAAAATGGCCAACTCATGAATAAAGCCCATGGTTACAAAGGGGAGAGTTGGGGAGGCTACTGAGAGGGATATTTGAAGGCTTTGCTGACGTCACCCGACATTCTTGCAAAAAACAGCGCTTCAGATTCGGCACATTCAGAAACGAATTATTCCTGCGTACATCGCGCCATATTCAGCAAACCAATGAACACATGCCTCCCATCTCCCCCCACTGGAGCCCTCATATTGGTCATAAAAACAAATCTACTGTTCTTTCCCCCGCCCATGTATCACCCCTCCCCCAAGAAGTTTTGCTTAATTGCATGTACACTGCGCAGAAAGTATGCATACTTACCTGATGTATGGAGAAGATACGGGCTTCAGTTGTAATGTGACTGTGTTGTCCTCGCCGAGGGACGGGGGATCTGTCATCGTTGGCTTGTTAATAGCTGAAATGAAACAAACAAAACAACATCGTTTTTTTTTCACAGAAAAATATTCCATAAAGGAAGAAGTGATGATTTCCACCAAAAGGATGTAAAACACTTTTCAACAATTTTAACTAAATTTTCTTAGTATAGAAATCTAATAATAATAATAATAATAATCGGCATTTAAGAACGCTCTTATTAGTAAACTAAATCACAGCGCTTACGGTATTATTATTACCCCTGATCGTTGGGCCAATTAAACATTCCAAATACCATCTCAGCTCTCTGGGGAGTATACAGCTCGATGCTGCCTGTTAGGCGCAAGGAAGCTAATTCAATCACAATAACTATCTCTGCCCTCACAGGTACCCATTTAGTCCTTGGTGGTGAGAAGCAATGAGTGATGAAGTGCCTTGCCCAAGGGCACACGCACCATAACCCCAGGCTGGACTCGAACCCACAACCCGCAGATTTACTTGCAGATTTACCCGCAGACCATGGATTCAATGCCCTTAACCACAAGGCCATGGCACTCCCCAATCAAGAACTTTCGTCACACTCATGGTTAAAGTCCAAGTCTGTACTATATTTGGTTGTTTTTTGGTGGTCTGTGACAGCCAGTCTAGTCTTTCTACCAAATCACTGACTGACAGACTTTGTACCAAATCGCTGACTGACTCACCGACTGACTGTCACTTGTGAGCTGGGCAGTGCTATTGTATAGGATTATTTGTAACGCCAATGAATGGGCTAAATCTGGCCCACTGTGTAGACCAGATGCACGAAAAAAAACCTCCAGTGGATAGCCATTTTGAATAAATTGAGCAGAATTTTATGTGCTCTGGAACAAGCCTTACTAGCCTGGAGTAGTCTTGTTCTCCTAGAGTCTAGCGACAATCTCTTACCTGGAATCATAGTATAAACACGCCGTAGGGTAACATAGTCTCCGAATTCCACCGTCTTGGCTGCCAGTCGTACTTCGTATCCTGTAGCGGCTTCCAGGTTTCCTATCTGGTGTTCTGTAACATCTCGGCTGATTGTGATCACTCTGTAGGATTCAGACACTGGGGTGTCACTGGACGAGGACCCAAACGGACGGTCCACAATTCTGTGTTCGATCTGTTAGGACAGAAAAAATGGCGTCAGTCAGATGTGTGCTTATTGTCATCAGCCACACGTCAAGTCGCAAGTAACAGCGAATGAAAAATAGCAAAGGACTGCCTTTTGTCACAGCATATTTCATTAGCTCGTGACATGATATCAGACTGCGGGATGAGTTTTGACTGACTTGTTTGATGACTTTTGTGACTGACGTTGATTTCAACGATTTTATAATTTTGAAACTGGCTCAACCCTAACCCTCCAGGGTATTTTGGCTAGAAACCCTGCCAAGCGCAGCAACATGTAACATTTGTCTTAGTGACAAGTCTGCCCAGTGAAGCAAGATCCATCAGGCAAGAAGTCTCAAGGCAAAACTGCCTCAGAGTCTGTGGTCACTGAATGCAGCAGGATACAACTGTGGCATTGTTCAATGGGACTAGCTCTCGTAATGTCTCAGAAGCGGCCGTTGATGCACTGGTGTTGGTAGTGCACTGGACTTTCCCACCTGATGGACTGTGTTGCGTCTGGCAGGGTTAGGGTTAAGCAAAATACATTTTTTTTTGCAATAGGGATCAGGATACCGGAGGCAACAGTCTGCACCAGCACATTAAAACACGCATACTGAAATTTGTATCCTTGTGGAGACATTTCTTTGTTCTCGTGTACTAAAGTTTTGGAGTTTGAAAGTACAGTTTCAAAATGCTCTTATTTTAACCAGAATTAATTTCCTTGGCTGAAATTTGGACTTCATCCCTTTTCTAAAACTCTACCATTTGTGACGGATCAACACACCTTGGACATTCCTATTGAGTAAAATCCATATATCTATTTCGTGAAAACCTTGTGGAGACGTATTCATCTGTAGAAATTGCCCTGTGGAGACGTATACAATCATTTGTTCCCTATTGTGTGCATGTCTCCAGAGGGAACGATGTATCAGATCATGCCTGCAGTTCAGCATTCAACCTTTTCTGTTTACGTATGGTACCAAGAAATACATGTACGTACAATTAGAAAACTTTGTGAATAAAGCCATGGTTGAAATAAGATATCTTAACTTTCCCCGCCCCCCTAAAAAGGGAATTAATCTGAATCTTTGTGCAAAAATAATGTGTTTGTCAACATCTACTTTTTAATCACTTCGGTCAAGCAAGACTTTCAGCTTTGAATCGCTCGCACAGAAAATGTCTCTCCTTGACCAAGAAAGGGAGCATATTTCCAACAAACCAAACATTGAACTAATTACTTTGTATCCTGTCAAGACGCCATTGGGATTTTGGGGTTCATTCCAATCGATGGTGATAGTAGTTTCAGTCCGTTCTCTCACATTCACATTGGCGGGCATCTCTGGTGCTGAAAAAAATTGAACCACAAATTTGGTTAAAAAAAAAAGAACTTTGTATCCACTTTCTCAAGAAAAATTTAAAATTTAAATGTTTTTCTTTATGTTTGAAGCCATGATTGTATAAGCTCACAGAGGATTAAATCCCCTTAACCCTTGGAAAATTATAAAACTCAAAGCCATCAATTTAAACTTGTAAAATTTTAAGAACTGATTGCCACGTCTTCAGTATCTCTATTGGGTTTTTGAGGTAAATGTACGTACTCCCTTTTGCTGTTGGGACAAATGTACCTACCCCCTTGGTCTGTTTAGGTAAATCTACTTACTTCTTTTTGCTGTTGGGACAAATGTACCTACCCCCTTGGGCTGTTCAGGTAAATCTACTTACTCCTTTTTGCTATTGGGACAAATGTACCTGCCCCCTTGGGCTGTATAGGTAAACATACTCCCTTTTGCTGATGGGATAAAAATGTACCAACGCCCTAGGGCTGTATATGTAAATCTACTAACTCGCTTTTGCTGTTGGGACAAATGTACCTGCCCCCTTGGGCTTTTTCGGTAAGTCTACTTACTCCCTTTTGCTGTTGGGCCAAAAATGTACCTGCCCCCTTGGGCTATATATGTAAATCTACTAAGTCCCTTTTGCTGTTGGGACAAATGTACCTACATACCCCCTTGGGCTGTTTAGGTAAGTCTACTTACTCCCTTTTGCTGTTGGGACAAATGTACCTACCCTCTTGGGCTGTTAAGGTAAATCTACTTACCCCCTTGCGCCGTTCTGCTAGTGATAATTTCAGTCCATTCTCCATATCCCGCACCGTTTTTTGCCCGTATCTGGAATGGTGTAAAAGACCGAATGCGGTTCAGATTGATATTTGTTTGTAGTTCTACCATGTAATTATCTGTTAAGAAGTGCAGATAGGGTCCAATAAAAGGAGGTCATCTTAATATTTACACTGTGTATATTTTAGTCATCATTTAGCAACTGCAGCATTGTAAAACACTTCTGAAGGTAGGGCGACACTGCAGTTCTTTATGTGAACACAGTCACTTCAGGGTTTAAAAACCCTGAAGTGACCAGCCATATGGATGCGAAGGGCAATTTCTAAAGGTTATGTAACCCTTTATTTTGAATGAAACTACAAGTACACAGACATGTTCGCGTTGGCGGGTGAAATCTTTGAAAATTAATTTCTCCCGTTTGGGAGACCATTTGTGATATGTTCATTACTTTCCGTTGAAATTGGAAAAATAGGCCTCGCTACGTGCAATTTTGAAAATTGTAACACTGGCTTGCGCAATATCTCTCAATCTTTTCAAGCCTAACGAATATTAATGAGGTTCCTATCCATTACGGTGTGCAGTAAACAATTGCATAAAAGCCTCCTTCACGAGTTGTTAATTAACAAATATCACCCTTTTTGCCGGCTTCCATAGGTCGACACCGAGACCCACGCCATGTCAGGCTGAGTGATGCTAATGAATATGATAATCTACCATACGTATTGTGTTGCTTGACAATGACTGACGCTTTGCCTTTGCAACCATATGGCTGTGACTATGTTCACATAAAGTGGCAGTTGTGCTGGAGATAACAGCTCAACAAAATAAGTGTGTGACCTTTTGAACAGTCGTACACTACCAGGGTCACCAGTCACAATTGCAGGGAGGGGGAAGGCTCTTGGGAGGAGGCGCCCTCATTTTTGGGGAGGGGGCCCCCTCATTTTTGGAAGGGGGGCCCCCTCATTTTTGGGATGGGTTCGGTGGGTTTTGATCATAATTTCAACCACTGCAATTAGCCTTAGATTGCTTCTCCAAATTCTAAGAGGACGAACGAGGCTAGGGGGAAGTGCACACCACCCCCAACACACGTGAGACACAAGAAATATGAGAAAATTACAACTAACACTAACATGTTTGAGCATTTAAACTAATGAAGTACATATGTACATGTTAACACACCTGGATATTGTAATCTGTGTATGGCCTCAGCTCTGTGATGGTGTAACGATGGACTTGACTGGTCATATCAAACAAGGGTTCTATGGTATCAGCAGAACTCTCATCCAATGAGCTGGCCCAATACTTGATCTGGTACGCCGATAAAACTCCAGAGGGGGGCTCTGGGGGGTTCCATTGTAGCTGTAGCGTGAACCTCGAGACAGTTACAACTACGAAGATTCTTGGAGGGGGTGGCGCTGAGAAGATGAACAAAGTAACAAAAAAGTTTCACATTCAACAAAATCAAAAGATGGTGAAAGATAGTTTCATGATAAAAGTATGATTCGTTTTATAACAAGTCTATTACAGGCCAAAGAGCTTCAGAAAAAAAATCTTGATCTTCTAAAAAAAAACAACTCTGCATTATTCCTCCACAAACACACCTTTTCCTCTCCCTAAATTAAACCATAAAATGAACATTTTCGAATGGTTTTAAAATCATACAAAAATGCCATAATGTGAAGAAAAAAATTAAAAATTAAAATTAGGTCCTTTTCCTATTTGTTTGTGCCTTAGAATTGTCCATACCTTCAATATGTACACTAATGAGGTAACCAGGTTAGTTTTTTTCACAACCATATTTAAAGTTTGGTCTCAAAATTTAAACATTGATTCTCCGATAAGTATTTAAACAGAGAAGCATGGAGTATTGTTAAGATCTACTGTTAACGTACCTCCTTCTTCAGTTCTGACGACAAGATGGCTGACTGGCCCCGGGCCAATTGCGGTGTTAGCCTGCACGGAAAACTGGTACAGCACATAGGGTACCAGACCTCCGATCAGTACATCCATTGTCAATACACTGCCACTTTTCTGGGTCACATTGGTGCTTGGGTCAGTTAGAGTGTAGTTATAGCTGGTGATGATGCCATTTTGTAGTCCGCACATCGGCGGTTTCCAAGTGAAGTGAAGCTCCTTTGGTCCAATCAAACTTGTTGTGATGTTTTCAGGGGGACCCATTGGAACTATTTGGGAGCAAAAAATTGATTTTTATCACTTAAATCAATGATTCAATAATTGCACAGGGAAACTGAATTTAACTATACCAAATAGTGGCAGTATTACTGTAGATTAGATGGAATTTTGCGTCAGGGTGATGTAAAATCCAATTAGGTTTTGCCCTTCACCGACGTATGAACACTGTATACTCAGTGTGTTACCTCCCGAGTGAAAGTTGGAAAAAATCACTCTGGTGGGACTCGAACCCACGACCTCCTGCTTTCTAGTGCAGATGTCTTACCACTCGACCACCGAGCTAACGGGATCGGTTGGCTGGTTCGAATCTTTTTTCCAACTTTCACTTGGGAGGTAACACACCGAGTATACAGTGTTTAAACGTCGGTGAAGGGCAAAACCTAATTTGATTTATATCACCCCGACGCAAAATTCCATCTTATAATACATTATTTTGCGGGGTAAAAGTGTCAAATAAGCACGAAATGCTCAGTTTTTCAATATCAATGATGAATATTCTGGGGAAAATCATGAAGTTATTTCTTTCCTTCTCTTTATGCTAAAATTACTTCAAAAAGGTTTGCATCTTAAACAAATGAAGACATTAACAGCGCTTTACTCCAACATCACCTCAATATCTTACACACACATACAGTGTCAGAGAACAACCACCATACGATCATCCTAATGACCTCTGACACTGGGTCAACTTAATTTGCATATTTACCATCTTCAGCAGTCTGCAGCACAGCAGATGCTTGTTGTCCGAGTCCAGCAGCCGTTTCTCCCCTCACAGTGACAGTGTAAAGCGAGTAGGCCTGCAGGCTGCTCAACACAGCACTCATTCTGTCAACGTTGATGTACGTCCAATTGTAGCGGCTGGAATTCAGGCTACACTCCTCCAGGGACTGAGCCTTGTATCCAACCTGGTAGTTGCTGACGAAGCAGTCGTCAAGTGGGGACGGTTGCCATGACACTTGGATCTCGGTCGCCGGGACATCGCCTCGGCGCAAGGTCAGATTCTGCACCGGCTCTGGCACTGAAGGCGGCAAGATTGAGGTTTTAAAAGAGAAAAGTATTTAATAAACAGACATGCAACCTGGGAAGTCACAAAAAAAGAGGAAATTCAGATCTTTCCAAGATTCTGTACAGTGTTTTTCGATTTTCAATGGCACGCATGGGAAGTAAAAAAAAGAGGAAATCAGCTGATCCGAGGAAAAGTTGCATGCCTGAATAAACATGAACCAAAATGTTAATCAAATATGTATATCTCACCAAGAAACTATCATGGCAACATTTTATTACGGGAAAAGAATTTTTCAAACTGGCACAAATTTATGTTGATATTGCCATTTGCACAAATTATCAATCACACCTTATTCCCTGACGAATCCATAAAAGGGACACTACGTCCTTGAATCCGCCCAATAGCACTCCGCACTAATGACGTCAATTTTGCTCCGCGCCGTACGCACGCATACTCGGACAATCACGCGCGCAAATGCATGCCATCTGGCCGCATACATTTGCATAGAAACGGTGCTGCAAGCGTGTGCATAATCTAGTTCATACAGCATGCTTATCTGAGATCCGGGAACTTGCTTCTATTTTTAACATTAGTGCGGAGTGCTATTGAGCTACAAAATTCATTTTAAACGAAATGATGTTAATCGGAAAGAGCATTTAAAAGTAGGATATAAACATCCACACAACCATAGAATCTGGTCATTTTTGCGTTATTCTTGCGAGAACAAATTTTGAGGGTCAAAATTTTGACTCTCAAAAATCGAGCCGTTGGGAGTTAGTCGTGAATCCTGCCGCACATGTTCCACCAGTACATTTGCGGACGTGCAAGAAACAACATTTGTGTATCGGTGCTGTGTGTATAATGCGTGTCACACACACAACAAGTAACCCACATTGAATAGACACAGCTGGAAATACGTATGCCACAAAATGTTCGCTGCTTGAAAAGTAAAACAACTGGATTTATTTTTTCTTTTCTTGGGAACGGTAAGACATTTGGCTAGATTCCTTTCAACCAGACCTTTGAAATAGGATAAGTAAACAATCCAAACCATAAAATGTTTGTGGAATTCAGGCCGTAATTATTTTTAAACCACAGTGCTGGGGTGGTATGAGGTGGTACCGGGATGGGTTATGGACTGAATATTGCACATGCTGCCTGAATACATTGTCAAAGCAACGGTAAAGTCATTGCTCTATAATGGTTACATTACTAATATGTTACAGTGACTACAACGTACTGGATACAAGCTTGAGTACATGCAGTTGACTTCAAAAACATTTAAAATGTGAGGCGTTTTGTACTTACATACTGTGCTGGTGACTGCTTTCACCCAATCTGACCACACGCCGAGCTTTGTTTTTCCAATGGCCCGAACCCGAAACTTGTACTCAGTGCAGGGATGCAAGTCATCAAACGCAGCAAACAATTCACTATCTTCTTCAGAGTCTAAATCATCAGCGTCATCAGAATCCTCAGCATTCCTGAACTCGTATCTGTAGCCAGTGATTTTGTCATGTCGCGCTTCGCATTCTAGTTCATTCCAAGCGAACCGAAGAGAGTCCATGGTTGAGTTGGCAACACGGACGCCTGTGACCTGGGCAGGAACTTTTAGAAAGAAAACAGAGCAAATGTGAATAAACACTAACCAATAGAGTCGATTCTAAATCACTTTTATTTGCCCAAAATGAAAATTACGAATATTTACAAAGAAGCCATGTCAGCTTTACGGTCACGTGTTAGTTATTTTGGCTGACCCAATTTTTTGTGCTTGTCAAATCAACAGGCTCAACTTGTTAACGAAGTGAATCCCAAAAGCAGCTTAGCTGGAAGAATGTCAAATTGTTGCATTGATACTTTCCTCAGCTTCAAACTCTTTGACCCAGGTTTAAAGCCTGCCCCGGCTGATAATCTTGAGGCAGTTTGGCCTTGTGATTTTTGACCTCATGGATCTTTCTACATAGACTTGTCATTTTGACAAGTGTTGCATGTTGATGCGTTCAGCTGGGCTTCTAGCCAAAATAGTCTTGGGGGTTAGGGTTAATTCATGTGTCATCAACATAATTTATCTGGATTTTTCTTCTGACCTTAAAATTGAACATTTCCTCACTTTCAACAGGTTTCTTTAAGCTTTTGAGCAACAGTATCATGATATCACAACCAGCTAGATATGGGAAATTATCACAACTTACCAGCAGGATCTGTTTCAAGTTTATACTCATCAGATGTCTCGCCGTAACCAGCCATGGTGGATGCCGCTACTGAAACCTTATAGACTGAGTACGGCCGGAGATCCATCAGGTTTAGCTGTGTGTCGCTAGTATTCACTGTAAATGTCTCATCCAAGATTTCCAACTGACAGGCTTTCAACTTTTTGAGATAGTATGTCGATGTGTATTGCTGGATCGGACAAGGGTTGTCAGGGGTGACTGGAGACGGCCACGCAATCTGGGCAAAGGTGGAATTCTTGGAAACCAGTCGAGTTTCAACCTTTTCAGGCACTGAAAAACAAAACAAAAGGAAACTCAAACAATGGTTCATAATAAAATCCTACCATTATACATAGCCACCAACTGCAAAGTCTTGGGGCATGTTATAACGCCTCAACCACAGATTTTGTCCCTTGATTGGCCAAGGGCCTGTTGCATGGTATTTTTTTAATCCTTGATATTTTCTTTGACTATTTTACTGCACATGCCAAGAGATTATACTGCAGTGGGCGCATTCAGGACGTATGCATAATAACCAAACCGGCAATCAGACATCTGTCTCTGTATTGTTTAAAGGCGCTGCGGAGTTTTCATCAAGGAATGCACCATTTTCAAATAAATTGAACATAAACTGAAGTACATTTGTATTTCAAAATTGCTTAAAGAACAAGGCATCACTCAAAATAGGCAGTACTCTGGGTGAGGTGTTTCAAGTAAATACCGACTGGTTTTTTTTTTTTACTTGTGATGAAGAGAAACTAGCCCCTTGATGATCCATGGAGTGTTCTATTTTTCCTTGACACTGTTGTGGGAGAAAAAAAAATGCTAAGAGAAATGAACTCTAGCAAAAGACTAAGGGTTTAATTAAAAATACCTGCTGCTAGAGTTGTAAAAGGTGACGATGTGCTTTCCTGGCCAGGACCAGCACTTGTCACCGCATGGACGCTGAAGGTGTACAAGGAACAGGGTTTTAAAGCGGTTACCATGATGGAAGTGTCGGCTGTGCGTTCAGTTAATGGCATGGTCTGGCCACTAGATCCATCGAGATCAATGGTCCACACATATCCAGTAATGTTGCCATGGCTGTCTTCACACGATGGGGGATACCAGCTAAAATTGGCAGAATACCGGCCGACGGAGATGATGGAGACATTTGATACTGGCCCAGGACCTTGAACGATAAAATGGGGAAAAATATACAAGTATTGGTCATGTAGGTTTTTCTTCGTCCTTCCTCTTTTTACAGTTGGCAGACTACCAAGTTGGCTGATTTATAAGGGCATTTTTCTAGAATTTCTTTTCGCTTTGGGCAAAACATATTTCCTTGACTCCTTTGGCATAATTTCCTCATCACTAATTGTCAGAATAGAAGGGACAATTCCTATAGAACTTCCAAGCTCAAATTTCATGCAATGTACTGGTACATGTATACAGCTTGTCACTAATTCTCACTTATTTTACTATTTTATGCATATAATCTGCATGCCAAATAAATTGTGTGGATTAACTCTAACTCCCTACTAAGTTTTACTAAGAACAGTACCAAGTCCGTCAAAATCCATCACTGACCCTGCTTCACATAATGCTTTAGGACCGGCCAAATCCGCTGAAATCCACCACAAGACCCCCACTGCAATAGGTGGATTTTGATGGACATGGTACAGCTAGATGGCTTGTCTGCCAACCCCCCAACTCCCCCCCCCCCCCAAAAAAAAGGGGGGGGAGATTTTGATGGAAGGTTAGAATTAAGAATCTGTTTGAAAGCTAATTTCAACCCCAAAACTTAATATTTCATGCTAAAAGCTTCTCAAAAGGTAAGAATTTTGAGCCCCTCAAATTATCAGTAATATGAGTTTGAATGACCAACCCTAGTGATCACCACATTATGAGAGATTTATTATTTCAATTACCACTTTTGTGGATAAAGTTGATCAATCTGCAGACATTATAATAGCTATTTCTTTTTAAAGTAAACAAGAACAGTTTTCAGTGGTTCAAATGCAGGATGAAGTTTCTTTGAAAATATATTAGTATTGGTTAATGTATAAGTCAATGGAGTAAGTGTTAACTTCTACGTCCAACGATGTTTCCAAACTTATATAGTGGCAAAATTAAGTGCAAATCCACTCACCAGATTCCATGGTTGCTATCTCTCTACCCACTGGTTCCCCGCGTCCATGCTCATTGAGTGCTAAAACAGTTACCGAGTACATAGAAGCTGGCAACAATCCACTGATCACGTGTTCCCTACTTGAGCTACTCAGAGTGTCATTAAACTCAACGCTGTCTACAGTTTCCTCAGCACATTCCAGATGTCTATTGAGCTTGTATGTGATCAGATAGCCAGAGATGACACAATTTCTGGTGGAAGGAGGCGTCCACGTTACTGTAATAGAATGACTGGACGAGATGAGGTTTACATTGGTGACTGCCTTTGGTACTGTGGACAAATGAAAGAAAGATGGGTTCACTCTGAGTGACATATGAAAGAAAGATGGGTTCACTCTGAGTGCAAAATGAAAGAAAGATGGGTTCACTCTGAGTGAAAAATGAAAGAAAGATGGGTTCACTCTCAGTGCAAAATGAAAGAAAGATGGGTTCACTCTCAGTGCAAAATGAAAGAAAGATGGGTTTACTCTCAGTGCAAAATGAAAGAAAGATGGGTTCACTCTCAGTGCAAAATGAAAGAAAGATGGGTTTACTCTCAGTGAAAAATGAAAGAAAGATGGGTTTACTCTCAGTGAAAAATGAAAGAAAGATGGGTTTACTCTCAGTGAAAAATGAAAGAAAGATGGGTTTACTCTCAGTGAAAAATGAAAGAAAGATGGGTTCACTCTCAGTGAAAAATGAAAGAAAGATGGGTTCACTCTCAGTGAAAAATGAAAGAAAGATGGGTTTACTCTCAGTGCAAAATGAAAGAAAGATGGGTTTACTCTCAGTGAAAAATTAAAGAAAGATGGGTTTACTCTCAGTGAAAAATGAAAGAAAGATGGGTTTACTCTCAGTGCAAAATAAAAAAAAAAAGATGGGTTTACTCTCAGTAAAAAATGAAAGAAAGATGGGTTCACTCTCAGTGAAAAATGAAAGAAAGATGGGTTTACTCTCAGTGAAAAATGAAAGAAAGATGGGTTTACTCTCAGTGAAAAATGAAAGAAAGATGGGTTTACTCTCAGTGAAAAATGAAAGAAAGATGGGTTTACTCTCAGTGAAAAATGAAAGAAAGATGGGTTCACTCTCAGTGAAAAATGAAAGAAAGATGGGTTCACTCTCAGTGAAAAATGAAAGAAAGATGGGTTTACTCTCAGTGCAAAATGAAAGAAAGATGGGTTTACTCTCAGTGAAAAATGAAAGAAAGATGGGTTTACTCTCAGTGAAAAATGAAAGAAAGATGGGTTTACTCTCAGTGCAAAATAAAAAAAAAAAAGATGGGTTTACTCTCAGTAAAAAATGAAAGAAAGATGGGTTCACTCTCAGTGAAAAATGAAAGAAAGATGGGTTTACTCTCAGTGAAAAATGAAAGAAAGATGGGTTCACTCTCAGTGCAAAAGGACAGCCAGGGGTGAGATTTTGGGGAAATGAATAATCCACAAAATCAGCGGCAGAGGGTTTGAGGGTCACCAAGGGTCTTGGAGCAACGTAGGGTCTATGGTATATGTTTGTATGTGCCTAAAGGCACACCTTACAATACCCATGTCTTTTGTTCTATATAATTATTACGGTAAAGAGACCATTACAGTAAAATCTCATAAATTCCACATTTAAACAAGGTCGTTTTCAAAATCCTGAGAAATCTCACACTGGACAGTATCTTCAATAAAAATGTGCAAAAAAACCCCACATTATCACATCTTGTAAACATTACATTGAAGCCTGTCTCCGTTAAATTTTTTTTTTCTAATTTCAAATTGGATACTAAATACACATTAATCTTGTTCACATAATACATGTGTAATAACCAATTCCAATAAAGACAATGCCTTCGATATTTATCACATATGGTACTCTCCAGCAGCAGGAAATGTTATTTTCCACTAAAACTTTAGAGTCAAGACTGATTCATACTTCATGTGCATTTTTAAACGGAGCAAATTTTTAAGGGTATCAGCAAAGATCAATGAAACACTATTGTTGCCATCATAAAGCTTGCTACCTTTGGTATCCCAATGGATCATAAACAAAACCCTTATCCAAAACACAACTTGAATACCTTCTCCCTCTGTGAAGACATGAATTGCTCCACTGAAGGCACCTAAATCCGCAGATGTCTTGGCCCTAACTTTGAAGTGGTACTCCGTGCACGGACTCAGTTCATCCACGGTCAGTGAAGTGATGTTGGGCGGTACATCGTTCTCGTCAATTCTACTCCTTTCCTCCGTCTCCACAAATTTGTACACATAATTCAAAATGACACCGTTCATCTCACTGCAAAGTGGGTGTTCCCAAGTGAAGGTGAGGGATCTGGATGTTGCCTCATACAGGGTGACGTTTGTTGGTTTTGCTGGAGCTGTAAAACAAAGAAGAAATTGAAGAATTCAAAGGTAAACTTGCAATTTCTTATTTCACAAACATCCAGAGGAATTCTTCATTGCCTAAAATAGAGAGAAGATAAGTCAGAAAATAGGAGCCTCGGGACACAGGACCTCTTATACATGTAGTCCGCACAGTCCCCCCCCCCCCAGGTACACAGACATGCACTAGTGACCTCATTACCAGTCAGTATTATGTATAATATTACCTGCTTCCAAAGTGTCCACTTCCAGACTTTTTTCTTCACCGACTCCACCAATAGTTTCTGCTCTCACAGACACAAAATACCTTGACGCTGGTGACAGCCCAGATATTGCATATCCAGTGCGCAAACCATTTGTTGTTTCAATGACCACGGGAGCATCGATTTCGTTTTCTGGGCACTGGAGATGTCTTATCAGCTTGTAGGAGATCAGATAACTTGAGATGTAACAGGTGGTGTTGACTGGTTTTGTCCATGTCAGTGCAAGAGATCTTGCTGACGGATCTGCTCCAAAATTTGTCACGGCATTTGGAGCTGTTGAATTTCAAAGCAAATATGCCAGCATTAGTGCGTGTTACAAAAAGGAAGCCAAGAATAAGATTAATTAAAGATGATATGAACTCCCTGTTATTTTCACAATCTGCGGGCTGCTCACATCACAATATGGGTGCTGTGCCTTCGTGGTCCGGTACCTTGGACCCTTCTATCTTGCCTGTCAGGCAAACAGTTCACATTGACCAATTTCGTCACGACCTTTGGTCAGGTAACCATGGGTAGCTCAGTCTAAACCTGGTCACAAATACCTTGAGAAATGTACTCAAATCCAAGCTGGGTGGGGCTCATGGCCAAATCTGGAACACTCCACTGTGTGGCTTGTGGGTATGAGTCCAGTCTGGGCATTTGCTGTGCCTGTGTCCTTGGGCAAGACACTTTGTCACAAATTGCAGATCCCCGACCGGGAGGAAAATGGGTACATTTGTGGGCAGAAAATGGTTCTTTTATTTGCTTCAATATGGGAGCATTTACAGTACAATTCCCCAGCGGTGAGAAAAGATATCAAAAAAATATTGAATGGCCAAATGAGAAGGGGTATTAATAATGTGAAATGCTTTTATCTTTCTCAGAATTGATATAAGATCCATTTCATAAACAGGAAGCTCCTGCAAACCACTTCAAAGACATTTTTACCTTGGCCCTCTGTTGAAGTTTCTAACATCGAGCTGAACTGACCATTTCCTACAACTGTCTGGGCACGAACTTTAAAGATGTAACTATTGCAAGCCTTCAATCCTTCAAATGTGATACTTGTGACATTGCCATCTGTAGATTCCATTGCGGGAATGTCGGAACCACTGTCGAAAAATAGGTAGTGGTATCCTTCAATTATGCCGTTTCTGTCGGTGCAGTTTGGTGCGTGCCAGCTGAACCCTAGAGCTGAGGGAGTAGCCAGGGTTAGGTATACAGACACTGGAGGTGAAGGCCCTGTAGAGATACCAAGTTAAATTTATTGCATCATTCAGAGGCCGGTTTTGGCAAGATTTATTTTTTTTCTTCTCAGATTGTTGTTCACAGACTTTCTACAAAATCCGTTGTGCTGTTCAAAAACTCTTATGAGCATCTATGTTTTCTCATAGATTTTTAATTTTTTTTTACGTTTATTTCATTATTATTTTAACTAGATAGCCCATTCAGTGGAATCCACTGGTCTCCCATGGGGCCCAGTAAAGAAAAGACAATGTGAAGAAATTACAGAATTAGATGTGGGAGGAACACCGCAGAATAGAATATATTCTGTGGAAAACCCACGGAGTCAAGTACAGACTAAAAACCCAATTCACATTGCTTAGGCGGGAAGCAAACCAGGATCACAGCGGTGAAAGGCGAGGAAAGAAGCGCTTTGCCAACCTGATTCCTGAACTCAGCCTCATAAACCACAGGTTATAATATCAAGCGGATCACAATGTAGCTTTTACACTACCATTGCCGTACAATGTGAATGCGGTTTGTCTACATTTGATCGAGTGCAATCTGTTCTAGCCCAGCATGTTGACACATAGCACTTAACCAAGTTTCTTATTGGCTCATGAGCGACGATCAAACAATGTGTAATGCAGTTTCCTATTGGCTGGAAAAGTGACATGTGGCCATGTTTTTGTTTTTGTTTTTTCTTTTTTTCATTGTATTTTTCTTCATGTGCACAATACGAGGATATGCCTATGATGATGGGCTGCCAGATTTTTTCACCCAAACACGAAAAAGCCGAAACAACCATTGCCAGAAAACTGGCATCCCTGCACATGGCATGGATCGCAAACTCCCACTCCCTGAATTATCCTATATCACTGGTTTTGTAGACAGATGATTATATATTTGAGACTTACTGTCTTGAGAGGTGTTGGCATACTTGCGAGTCCAATTTCCCACTCCAGCTAAAGTCCATGCAGCCACAGACACCAGATACGTGGAGTATGGCGACAGGCCCATGGCTGAGTAGTTAGGATCTGTGGTTGTTACCGATACTTCATCGATATTCTCATAGTCGATGTCCTCGTCATCATCACACGCCAGGTGCTTGATGAGCTTATAGGTGACGTTGTAACCAGTTATGTTACACAGGGTACCCGTTGGAGGTTGCCATGTAATCGTAAGGGTCCTTGACCCATTATTAAACTGGATATCTGTTACTTCTTCAGGCACTGGTTGAAAAAAATGAATACAAATGTTTATAAATATATTCATATCTAACGACGATAATATGTATGAACAAGTTAAAAAAGGGAATAAGATTTAAAGTAACATGAATTTAGATTCAGCGCCGCTACCCAGCTAAATGCAACAAAGCTCAACAGTCGCAAATACTGCCGTTCATACTGCCGTTCTGTTTCCACTATCCCCATAGACGTGCGTGCATAGATATGCCGTCTGCATCCTGAACTGAGATAAAACAGGTCTCGTTCAAATGACGTCATTTCCTACAGACCATCCAAGTGCATCTTGCGTAACAACTTGCGTAACGCCCATCAGTATTTCGAACACATTTCGAGCAACAAGCACGCGTGTTTGGAACATTTTCAACACTGCGCAATGCCTGCTTGATTGCGTAAAACACGCAGTTGCACTTCTCCTACAGAAATGGCCGTCATTGAACAAGCCCTATTAAAGTGCCAAACTGGTTAACCATTAGCACCTTTACTACATTGTATTACAGTGTATCAATTCCCTGATGAATTCACAAAATCATAGAGTGCTCAGGCTGTTTCAGTCATTGCAAGGAGTAACAGGCAGGGCAGTTTTAGTTATGGGCAATACAGTAATGGGTTAATTGAAACCAGGGGCGGATCCAAAACACAATTTTGTTTGTAGGGGCCCCCAAAATATGTGGTCCCCAAAAGTGGTCCCAAAAATGACGGTGTGGGGTTCTGGGCCCGCTAAAGGGCCCCCAAAAAATGTTGGATTCTAGATGCTCTGTCGTGCGATCTGAGGCAACTTCTGACCACTTTGACCAATTTATTTTGAGGAAAGGATGGTGGTGTACGCAGTGCCTGCCTTCATTGCGACGTCACTTAAAAAAAAAAATTGGGTTTGTTTTTTTAGGGGGGGGGGCCCCATGGCCCCCATTGGCCCCCTTGGATCTGCCCTTGATTGAAACTTGCATTCAGGTCCCGTAGTCCAAGATAGCACATCCGTGATTGAACCCAATCCAGCGCTTGTTACTGCTCCAACTTGGAAGGAATAAGTTGTGCAAGCAAGGAGGCTCTCGAACTGTACATGTGTCTCTGAGATGGTTGTATTTTCTACGACCCCTGTATCTGCGTTCCACAACATGGTGCGATAGCTGGTGATCAGTCCGTTTCTTTCCGTGCAGACCGGGGGCTCCCACATGAAGATCAGTGAGGAGGATGTTGTGTCGTTGACCGTGACAGATGTTGGAGGGCCAGGAACTGAGAAAGATAAATAATGAGAGGTGGGAGTCAAGTGATACGGAAATACATGGATGTCTTGCATACCTATGGATATTCCTTCTCATATTAAAGACTCGTACAACATAAACTTGGGTGTTTGGGTTTAATCCTTTCTGTATAATCTTATACTTTAATTTGCAGTACTTGTTAGGCTCCACTTTCTCAGACTCTAGTTCATCAGGTGCCTGGCAGAAGGGCATATGAGCGTTCTGACGCAAACATCATTTTCAAGAAAATTGCATTGAAAGGTTCCATTGTTCCCCCACACGTATTATCAAACCAATGTTCTCCAATGCGTATCATAAATCGTGCGATTTTGAAATTTGTCACACTTATCAATCATGAGTTTTGGAACAACCTGTATTAATTTCTGACGAAAGTGTATAAATTTCATTAAAATGGAGGCAGTTTTCTGCATATGCCCTTTTGTCTGGAACATTTTGGTGATTACGCACTATTGCATAAGGGAATATGCACATACATGTATGCCCTTCTGCCGGGCACACAACGAGTTGTAAAATGTTCTGAAATATGTGGTAAAAAAAGAGAGCATGAAAGAACTTGGTTGTTTATGTATTCTGGACAACTTGCAACCTTGGGCTTCACATGCGGGACCTCTTCCGGGGCAAAATTAAGGCAAAATGAAACATCCATGAAATGATTTTCAGGGGGTTGGAGGGTTGCTGAGGACCCCGGAACAATGAAGGGGCTAGGATATATGTTTGTAAATGCCTCAAGAAACCTCTCACAATACCCATTTCAAAATGTTATACGTAAAAACACCTCTCCGGTAAAACCTCAGGAATTCCAGGATTTCAAAAGGGATTCTTTGTAAATCCTGATATCAGAAAAAATCCTGACAAAAACAATCTAAAATCAGAAAAACCCTGACAAATTTTACTCCTGCAGTTCTTATTTTTGAATTCCTCAATGGCCATATGCTCACCTCCTTCAAATGTTCTACCAGTCCCGTCGAACCCTTCCCCCTGCCCGGCTGAAGTCGTAGCTCTAACGTCCACCTGGTACTCTGAATCGGGCAACAGCCCCGGAACATCGACTGTTAACACATCATCATCTGAAATCATAATGGTCTCGGTGGTTTCTGCTGGCCCGCACCGGCCTTGTTGTAGTAGTGCGTATGATACCCCATACCCCACGATCTGACACGGGGCTTGCGCGGGAGGGGACCAACTAATTCGAAGTTGGGTGGAGTTGATGGAGGAGACATTCAAACTTGAGATCCTGTCAGGAACTGGGAAAAAAACAACGACATACAGTATTATTCAGAGAAGCAAAAGACAAAAAAGAAATACGACAGATGGTTGCAGAGGAACTTGTATTTTCTACTAAATGTTTTGGGCAAATATTAAACAGAAAACCATGAAAATACATATGGGAGACTGTTCAACTAATATACAGGTTGCTCTATAAATTTAGGATTCAAAAGTGTGGCGTTATTCATCTTAGTACTGCTCATAAACTGAAGTATACGGTTTTGATTACGAAAACATACAAAGAAAGATAAAGAAGCAAAAAATCTGGCACAAGAGTTCTTACAATTTGTTAATTTAATTTCACTATAAACAGATTAAACTTCAACAGTACACTGAGAATGTCAGCAACTTACCTCCCTCTTCAGTCGTTACATTTCGTGGCTCGCTGAAGCTTCCATTACCCGCCGACGTCCACCCTCGTACTTGAAACTGGTACTCCGTGCACGGCTCTAAATTCTCAAAGCCGACAACCATTGCTTCGTCAGATGACGATGTGACTCCCTCAGACAAGATATTGCCATGACGATGTAGAAGCTGGTAATGATACCCTAAGATGATGCCGTTCCGGTCCGTGCAGTCTGGTGCTGTCCATGAAAATTCCAGAGTGGTGTTTGTGGATGCACTTGGTTGCAGCATCGGGGGTCCGGGGACTATTTAAAAAAATAATTCAAACCAATCAATTTAAAAATAAGAATGCCAAGATGAATTGCAAGATTACTGAGGCATTACAAGACGTTTCTTAACCTCAATTGTTAGTGTTGCAGTCAGGGTACTTGGGATGGATCATAAGTACATCACAAGTCTGGTACCAAGGAGACCACAAGTCAATTCACAAGTCCAGTCACAAGCTATCGGGGATGAACAATAACAAAGGAATGCATTTGTCGCAGTTTATTTGAATAGTTTTGAGTTGACTTGGTCTGAATGACTTGTGATGGAATTGCAAATTGACTTGTGATGACTTTGGTATGTACTTAAATACAACTCTACATACAGGTATTGCACCGGAAAGAACATTAACACCGGTTGGTCTCTGTACTGTCCCAAACCTTGGTCCCCAGCGTTGTATACTTCATGGAGTCATCAGGGAACCAAAACAGTGTAATTCAATATAACACACGTGCTAATGGGCTAAAACAACACCAATTTTAAGCCACATCTAAGTCAATATATAAAGCAAAACCTATAGCCACACATTATTGGGACAGATAGAAAGTGCATTTTTCATCTGTGACAGCAACTTAAACAAACCTGACTGCCTTGTCGTGCTCCTCCCTCCAGCTTTTCTTGAAGATTCTGCATCAGTTTGAGACTTCACTTCAAATTTATACGAGGCATATGGCAGTAAGCCCCCAACTATCAAGGATTGGTCACTGGTTTGTGCAGTTTTTGTTGGTCCCAAATTTGTTTCACATTCTTCATATTTCCTAAACCAGTATCTGATGTGGTACGTGATAGCAGGGCACGTCGTGTCGGCTGGCCGCAACCAAGATAGACGGAAGGCGGTGGAATTGATTGGCCTGATATTGAGATTGGTCGGTTTCCCAGGAACTGTCAAAAAAGGGATCACAAACAAATAGACGAACCAACAAACAAATACACAATCAACTAACAAGCACAAATTTCAAAACGATTCATAACAAACATATGCAATGTGAAATACATATGAGTGACCACAATCAACAGCCAGACAGACAATTTATGAACAAATACAGACGTTTGTTAAAAATCAGACGAACAAATATTTTAATGAAACAAGATGAAACACAAAAAGGAAACAAACGACAAAACACAAACAAACACACCCCAAAATTAGCTTACACATGTACTGTAGATACACAAAGTAAATGACATTCTCCCAAAATGAAGAAATAAAATTACAATATTAAACACACCCAAAATTACAGAACAATGATATAAAATAGTACTGCCTGTCTGTGATTTGGGGAATATTTAATTTTGTAATTTCATCTGTAAGTTTTGGGTTGGAAGTGAGAGTACTTGTGTATCCTACCAGTAAACCAACAAACGATCATACATGGATATACCAACAATAAAAACAAAGACAACAAAACATGTATCCACTTTGTAACAAGAGAGGGAGCCCCGCCAGACCTCAACATCTTCCATGGATCAACTTATACTGGTATGTGCCCAAGCATATACCGGTATACACTAAACATACACACATACCTGCACACGAAGTGTTGCCAATTGTCGGCGGACTAGGGGGTCCAACCCCACCCACACCGGGCCTAACGGCAGACACTCTAAACTCATAACTTGTCCCCTCCTTCAGACCCGGCACAACATCTGAGAGTGTGTCCCCCGGGGTAATGATATCTCCTATGGTGCCATTTGCATTGAGTTCCCTATAGCTGATGATGTAGTTGACCAGGGGGCCCTCACCCCTATCGCCGGCTTGGGCGTCCCATGCTTCCCAGGTCAGAGTGATCGAACTCCTTGTGGATTCGGAAACGTTTGGCGGAGATGAAAGTTGTGGGGGCTCTGAAAAAGTAGAACAGGAAAAACCTTAAGCACTATTTCAATGCGTGGATGTGTGTAACGCATAGCTGCCAACTTTTCAAAATCCCAATTAGTAATCAACCCACGCGGTCATTTTCAACTGCTCATATTATCAAAAGTGTATGTACCAGCATTACTAACATCGAGTACAGGTACATGGTTTACATGTACACGTTCATGTGCATACCCTTCTTGTTGTGAATAATAATGTACTGTAGGCCAAAAGATAATTTAAAGAAAAAAAACAATTATTTTTTTTGTTAATAATTCTTTTTAAAATTAATTTTGTTTTACTGTCTGTATTTGTTTGTTGAAGTCAAATAAATAATAACAATAATAACGTGCGCATATTTTTTATGAGATGCATGCTATCGATGTTGAGTTTCGAGTTTGTATCATGTTTTTACACACAATGATTTAGGGCCACCGTATGCCGCCAACATACCTTGCAAATGCATGCTGATTTATCTTTTCTGGACGTTGTGATAAACTCAAACTCTTATTACCAATCCTTACAACCATACTCTAATCAAATTCCATGATTAAAATCTCGCACTGATGGGTCACATCCCGGCAATAAGCGACCAAATGTGCTCACGATCGTCACTGAAAAGTACTCACATACAGTACACACAACCACACATCCACGAAATGCACACAAATGACACACCATTGAAAAATATTTTTAGTCTGGTTCTCAAGTACTCCACTGCGCACACTGCATTGATGTCTATCAGGTGCTTGACCGCATTGCTTATTAGACTTGTCACCAGTCCATCCGTTATCGCAACATTGCGCCAGATGTTTTCGGTCATAAACGCTACTTTACAAGTATTTTTTATCGTTAGGTAGAAAATGGGAAATTCGTAATGTATTAGTGGCAAATCGTATTTTCGTAATTTAATAAACAATTCGTAATAATTACGAAAAATTCTTAATAGTTGGCAGCTATGGACTAACGGTTGTGTGCGCATGGACATTTCTATTGTTAACTCACTGATTATAAGCCAAGTTTCCCTCTGGGGCCAAGTGTGCTCTTTCGGTGCTTACTGCTTACGGTCTCCATGAAATAGAACATGGAGGAATAGACGGAGGCTCTGTTAGCAGAAAATCGTGTGCTTAGCAGTACCATAAAAATGTGCCCTGGATTCAGTTTTTATTAATTTTGGGTTAGCGTGTCAGTCAGTTTCCCCTTGCGGTTAATTTATGATTTAAAACAAACAGCTGTTTCCTCTTGGAGCGATCATTAACTTCCTTTTCCTTGTTTGCATATTATTTCTTTTTCTCTCACATTTTGGCCGTGATCCAAGGCCACATTGCATGTTTGGGCTTCGTGGCTTGCGACTAGACAAAAGAAAGATGTTAAAATAATTGGATGAATACCAACATGTACATCTGGCAATCTAATTTCCTTGTTCAACCAAAGTTAATTTACAGAAGAAATGGCAAAAAGAAACTGACAAAGAAAAAACCAACCTCCACAACTTTATGCCAGTGCTCTGCCACATGAACTAACCAGACCTATGTTAAAGTTCCCCCAATTTGGGCCTTTTCACACTATCGTCTAGTGATACCCCCGTCACACAGGAGGTGCGGTGCCACTGCGATGCTTGTACAGCATAAACCGCAGTGGCACCGCCATGATCGCCGTGGTTTCGTCATTGATCGCTGTAGCACCACGGAAAACTGTCAAAACCGCGGACTTTCGCGGTGGCACGGCGTAAACTTTGAACATGTTCAAAACTTCCGCAGTGCCACCGCGGGTTGGGCCAATCCGCAGTGGGATCGCCGCGGCACCGCCATGACCGCCGTGGCACCGTACAAGGACCGCAGTAGGACTTCTATCACCCCCGTGCCTCCGCAGTACAACCGCCGTGCAATCGCGAAGGTCCGTGGTTTTGAAAGTTTTCCGCGGTGCTACGGCGATCAATGACGGAACCACTGCGGAACCACAGCAATCATGGCGGTTTTGACCAAAACCGTAGTGGCACCGCGCCTCCGGTGTGACGGGGGTATGACTTATAAATGACTTAAAGGGAATGTACATGTACATCATTGGCTTTTGCTGTAATTTTCTGAAATGAACTATTTGAGGGGTTAGTATAATAGATCAAATTTGAAATTTTGTGTTCGAAAATGTTGGAAAAACCAAGAAAAACAAAAATGTTCAAGTAGTCTGGTTCCCCGACTCCACTAAAGATGAAATGGATCAATTTATAGATGCCAGAAAATTGTAAGGTAAGGAAACCAGTCTAGCTGCTCTGCACCCGTTCATGAACAGCAGTAGTTGAAAAACAGTTAGGTTTTTCCAACGGTGGACCACCGTTGGAAATGTATACAAAAATACGATTTTCTTGAAAAAGACTTCACACCTGATGCCATAATTTTACAGGATGCTTTAGACTGTCATTTATCAACATCCTAGTAAGGTATTTTGTAAAAACTTGGTAGTTTTATTTTTCGATGTTTGCAAATGTTGTATATTCCCTTTAAAGGTAAACCTATGTAGTCAGCATCTTCCCATATTAATTGGAAAATTTTTAAAAATTTGACGTACCGAAGGCTGTCACAGTGATGGTTGCGTTACTGTCCATGCTGACACTGCTGCACGTGTACGGAGCAGTTAACGAATCGGCAACGACAACAAAGATGTACTCCATGGTGACGGGAGACTCATATTCGATGAAATAATCGGCCTCTTTTTCCCTTCCGTCTGGCAGAACCAGGACGAACTCTGATTCATTCAAGGGTGACGCGTAGTTCACTGAGCAGGTCACGTTGGTCATTTGGTTGATGTTTACCTCGTTATACTCTAGAGTTATCATCACACCAGTTTCTGCGGAATGGAATTCAAAAGACTACAGGCTAGATCAGGCAAGTCTTGCTAGATCACGTTCACTCTTTGTGTGAGCGTTGTGAAATGAAACACTGGCAATTCTAGTCACAAAGTCCCGAGTTTTTCTTTATCCAATACTAGCGTACATGATTGGTTCAAATTTTCCATTTTATTATGGTCCTCAATGAAATTGTAATGCTGTGGATGCTTCAAAGAACACTTATTTACAAGATACATGTATATATTTCGTGAAAATTATTTTTAGTTATTTCCCTTAACTTGATGTTGATGTTAACTTAAATACTTTCTCTTTAAAGCAATTTGATCTTTTCTAAAAAATGTTGTTTATTAACACTGATTAAAGTTTGATTCTTTAAAGGTATCCTAGCTAGAAAGAACACGAGATAGCTTTGTAGACAGTGTTGTAGTGAAGTCCTCATAAGTCCCCGAAAGTCCTCACGAGTAGTCACAACTCCCCACAAGTCTTCACAGGACCGGAATAGTCCTCACAAGTCCCAATAAATTTCACAAGTCCTACAAGTATTCACAAGTGCTCGCGAGTCTTCACAAGTTCCGAAAAGACCCGAAAAATCCCAGCAAGGGCTCTCATGTCCTCACATGTGCATGTACGTCCATACAATTCACTCTTGTCCATACAATTCACTCTTATCCAATCATCCAAATCAAAAGCTATTCAATCAACATGTCAAGCGACATGGTCAGTCAAGTTATTGTGACCAGACTTGTGAATTTACGGTACTTGTGATAAACTTGTGATCGGACATGCGACGGACTAGACTACAACTCTCAAGTTCATTAACTTGTTCTTCTTCTGTTTACCTTGGCAATTTGGTCCATCCCATCCTTCGAGGCACGGTGAGCCATCGCATTCCCCAGTGTCTGCCAGGCAGGTGGAGTTATCCTGGCAATGACAGATCTGCTCACAGTTGGCCCCATACTTTCCCTCCTCACATTCTGCAATACAAAAAAAAACATGTAAAGCTGTGAATTGAACACCAATAAGTCCGGATATGACAGGCCTTTTATGACAGGCGATTATAATAAGTCAGTAAAATTGTCCATTTTTATATATTTGTACACCATAACTTATGAAGCCTAAAATAACTGAATGAGTTACAACATAATGCGTTGAGTAAATCGGATACGCACCGTGAAACTTCAATGAAATGTGTCATAACTAAAAAAAAAACATGTAAAGCTGTGAACGCCATGGTCCAGTGGTTACGGTGTTCGACTCACGCATGATGGTGCATGGGTTTGAATCCTGCCAGGAAAATGGTGTTTGTGCCCTTGGGTAAGACACTTAACTACAATTGCCTCTCTCCACCCAGGAGTATAAATGGGTGCCCATGATGAGGGTCGAAGAGCGATCGAGCGTTGATATCGGCTGCTGCGTGGTCTCATGGCCTGATGAACAGGATAATTATTGTAAAGCGCTTTGAGATTGTTGATATCATGGAAAGCACTATATAAGCACTACGATTATTTATAATGTATTATTTGTTTAGGACATGTAGAATGTTGCAAAATGTGTATCATTGTGTAATAAAATGTAGCAAGAATTTCAGAGGCTGACCTTTGTTGTTTTAAAGCTATAGTCCATCATTTGCAGCCATCCGAAAAGTAACTGGCGTAATTATTGTTGAAAAACATACTTGGTTGAAAGATAGTAAGGGGACTAAACTCCCTGTGAAATTATTCTTTCTGGCAAGCTGTCATTTTGAAGTAATCAACGAAAGAAGGCCTTTCCAACGGTGCGTCTTAAGACGCACCGTAGGAAAATTTAAATTAGTAGTTCGTTTTGTTATTCGGCGAAGCGCGCGCAAGCATTGGCAGGACGCACACGTGTGCGCGGCTGCTATAATTTGTCGGATCAGTGCGCGACATCGCGTATAGCTGCAATCGGCTCTGTGAGAACGCGTCTCGGACGCTGAATTCAAGCCATTCAAAACATGATTCAGCAACTTTTGATTTGAAATTGAGATCCTAGAACGCTGTTTTTCTCGGAATATACAGCTGAAGCTGAGCTGAAACTTCATCAGGTTAGTTGTTCAGTACCCTTCTTTAGATTTTGAACACTTTTGTTGCTTCAAACGAACAAAATGCACAAATTACAAATGATGGACTATATCTTTAATCTAGTACCAATGAATGCACCAAAGGTTTACTCATGCCTACCCACGCATTATAAAACTATAACTACGCCTTAACGCATGAGGTCTATTGCGTAAAGTTTCCCAAAACCGGAGCAGCACCCGATTTCATCAAACTCTTTGTAACTTATGATGCATCGCAGCGCTGCGATGCGTCGTAACCCTACGATGCGTCGCAGCTGCGACGCGTCCTACGATCCATTTCACAAAACACGTCATAAAAAAGTGCGACGTGTCGTAAGTGTATTTATAGCCCAACTCTGTGACTGTTTCATGTATTTAGTCGGCGTACAGTAAAAAGTCGTCTGATATTCAACAAAGAGTCGTCAGATCTCAACTAGAAATTTGTTAAAACGTAAAACAGAATGGCAGTCGTGCGATGCAATTTTGAAGGAAAACAAGCTCTCAGTGGACTGTATAGCTACTTTGAAATTTCAACTGCAATATTCCAGTCTAATTCATAATTATTCAATGAATTTTCTATTTACAACTTTACACACATTGCCTCGGTATTACAATCTCGCTTATGTAATGTTTATGGCATTAAACTGGCTAAGAAAGGGACTCTTCTTATTTTGCGATGACCGCTAGACACGTTGTAACTTGCGACGTGTTTTAAGCCGTTGTCCAGGAACTTACGACGCGTTCAACACATCGCAACTTTCGTGAAATGGATGATACAACGCGTCGTGTGTTACGACGTGTTACACGTTGTAACTCGATTTATGAAGCGTCGCAGCACTTCGTGAAATCGGGTGCTGGTCTCATTTGACAGTCAATCAGAAACACAGACATGACAGAGTGTGTTTTCCATACCTTCTGTACAGCTGATGCCTTGGTATCCGGCGGCACACGTGCAGCCAAACGGTTCAGGAAGACAGAACAGCTGGCCCCGGCATCCCTCATGGTGAGGGTCTGCGGACCCGCTGCAGTTGTACTGGGCTAGCTGTCCAAAGACATTCCTACCATGAACTGAAAGAATATTAAACAAAAGACACGATACATGAGAATATACGCATTTACGCATATCAGCAGATGAAATCAGACCACAAAACTGCTCGGACAAGAAATGCCCAAACGATGCCCAAAAGATATATGTTTGCTTTGTCATTGTACTTTTGTTCATTTGTTGGCAGAATAAATATTAATAATAATAATAGATGTTTGATGTCGAACTGTTTTCTTCGTGGATGACTTTATGAGGAGTGCATCAGATTTACTACATAATGGTTGTCAGAGGTACGGTACGTGTAACAGGGGCTGGAAAAAAGTGGACCCCAAATTTGTAGAATGAACTTTATGAAATGCAAAGAGCCAAGCCTCTCCCTCCCCCCCTCCCCCTTTCACGCCCTGACCACATTCTTCAACCCAGGCCACAATTTTAACATGGACTGTCCGCAACAAGTTGGAACCCCCCCCCCCCCCACCCTGCAAATTGGATTTCGCCAATTTCCGTTGTACATGTATTGCCACTATCGTTGTTTTTTTTCTCTCTCAAAATCTATTGGTACATTTTTTTTCCAGTGGAAAATCTGTCGTCGTGCAACAAAACGTGAACATCTCTTTATACCGGAACCTAAATCTTTTAATCATCAGAGGTGTGAGTGGCCATTGATAAAAATAGCTGAAAACACCTGAAAAAAAGGTGTAAAAAAGCTGAACTTTGGAAATCTCCTATACTTTTGTACACAGCAAGTGAGGGAAAAAAGCTGAAATCCAAAACAAAAAAAGCTGAAATCAGCTTTAAAGCTGAGATTTCACACCTATGAATCATGTTAGTAGCCCGCCTTCGTGTTAGGCAATAACTATTTAACAAAGTTTTAACAACAGTTCTGTTTTCGTAACGGACTTGTGAATTTTGTGATACAAGTATACTAAGGTTATAATGGTACAAACTTGTACGCATGAGTTACACCAGGAAGGACGATCCCTTTTTTGGTTTAATGAGTTCCTCCACACCCTTTCCTCCAGCTAAAAAAAATGATGACACCAGTTTTGTAATCAATGCCCAGATGGTTTTTATTACATTCACAGTATGCCAAACATCCTGCTGTTAGGGAGTTTAACAAACTTTCATTAAACAGTTCTCTTTCGCAATGGGCAAATTTCACATGCAAAAGATGCGTTTACGTTTCGGTTGCTGGGCGGTTGTCTGTCGGCATGACATCACAGGGCACAAGGTCTATGCACATACACCAGATGAATACTTTTCAAATGAAACTTGTCCAATTTTGGTGTGCACATATGCAGAGTTGGGATACCAAACTGTCTTATGAGTGTCAAGTCGCAAAGAAATATTTAGAATAAAAAAATAGGAAATTTTTAGGTCTCTTGAACTTAATTTATGATTTTTTAGAATTTCAAGAGACCTTACAACATGGAGAGCACTTTGTAATAGTGACTTAGCGCTTAATACCGGAAGCTTAACTGTGAAATGATATGAATATTAGAACTGTTTTTGATAAAGACAATACAAAGAGGAAATGCATGACAAAGGGGTTGTCAAACTTTTATTCTTTGAACCATTTTTAAAATTTTGCTTCTTGAATCTACTAGTACATTGTACTATGTGTAATTCCAAAATCAATGCAGTGTGCAAAATTTTTGTGCTAAAAATTAAGCTCAGTATAGTTGAAGTCAAATTGTCACAAGTATCACAAGTCATTCACACTTCATCCTATTTCAAGCAGCTCTGGTCCATCACGAGCCCTTCAGTTTTGTCATGTCACAAGCTATTCAAAGGAAATGTGACAAAAGCATTCCGCTGTCATTGTTCACCCCTTTTACTTGTGACTGGACTTACACGTATGAAAGGACTTGTGACTGGACTTGCGAATGGACTTGTGACGGACTCGACTACAACACTGGTTTCAAATCAAGTACAATAAGCTATTCAAATGAAATATGACAAAGGCATTATTCCTTTGTCACTGTTCGTCCCCTATTTACTTGTGACTAGACTTGTGACTGACTATACATTTGCACACTGTAAAACACAATTACTTTAAAACTCCCCAGAGGGTGTGCAAAATCGTTTTAAAATTGGAGGATTCAGGACTGTTAGTAATTGCATACATTGTACATGTACATGTACCCGGTACTACAGCCTGTCTAAAAAAAAATGGTACAATCGAAAACATTTTTTTTTTCAATATTAAATCTCAACATAAGTAAGTCGTTTTGAGCATCACTTCAAAGAAAAAAGACCAGGCTTTCCAATATTTTTTGTTTCATCTCATTTGCTTTTGTCAATCCAGAGATAACTCCAGTTTACTGCGGAACACAAAAATCGAGTTTGTTTCTTTTGCCAAGTTGCAATCTTTTGTGAGCTTCAAGACAGCATGGCACAGTACTCGAAACAACTCTGCCCATGCATAAAAGTGGCACAAAATCGATTTTGGTGTATCGCACTAAATTGATTATATCTCTGAATTGACAAAAGCAAATAAGATCAAACAAACACTATTGGAAAGCCCAGTCTTTGTTTTTTAATATTATGCCAAGTAAGAATGACTTATTTTGAAATTTCGTATTTAACCAATTTTTTGTCTGATTGTACCATTTTTTTTGAGACAGGCTATAGTAGCAATTCAAATCAAGGTTGTACAAGTTTACATGCATGTATGTACAATTAGAAACCAGTGTCCCCATTTCCTGAACGTTTGTCTCGAAGCTACCGGTATTAGGAAGTCACGTCATGAATGGAGCACGCTGAGTGGTCACAAAGGAACTCAAACGTGAACAAGATATTCCTGTCAACTACATGAATTCACGGCAACTACCCTGCAAGTCTATCACCTCCCCCCTCCCCCCCCCCCCCAAGTCAGATGGGAAGTCGAAAACAGGAAATTGATGACGTCTTTGCAAAGGGGGGGGGGGGGTTATATATATATAGACCTAGACACACACACACATTGTACATACTTGTGCAAGTACCCTTATACATGTATATCTGGGCTCTGGAAAGCACTTGCGGTTAGATGAGTGACGATGAATCAACACGAGGCATACCTTATCAATAAAGTTCTGGAATTTAAAGGCCGTGTTATGTGCGCGTCATTTTTAAACATTTTTGTCAAATTCATTTTTCAATCTTTTCTTAAGCCTATTTGTACTTGCAACCACCACAACAAAAATGCAGTTTTGGCAACTTTCTTTATCTTACCATTTTGGCATTCAGAACCACTAAACCCCGGTGGGCAGATACACTCGCCCATCTGCGGATGGCACATCCCCCCGTTCAGACAAATGGAACAGTCCAGCTGGCAACCATCCCCAGGACTCCATTTTCCAGACGGACACTCTGAAAACAAAACAACCAAGAACAAAAATGTGATCGAAAAAAAGAGTAACGGCACCATTTATCGACTCAGTACTCCAAAAACAACATGAGAAGCTAAATAATTTCCGTGTAAAACATTAAGATTATACATTTGGGAAACTTTCAGTGTAATGTCAATGACAGAGCCAATTAACCATGATATCTAATGAATGATTCAGAGATTATGGTCCAAAACTCCTAATCTGTAATCTCCTTGACCATCACTAGATGATGGATGCATAAGATTTGAACAAAACATTTTCGGGTTTATTTAATGAGCCCTTTAATGCTCTGTCACGGACATTTACATAATGCTGAAATTTCCCATTTACTTCATTTCTCAAGATGTACATGTACAATGATGTAAGCTAAAAAAACAAGCATGTTAAAAACAAAAAACTAGGCAGCAAAGTAATTGAAAAGGAAGGGAATCACAAGTTAATCACAAGTCAGTCATAAGTTAGTCATAAGTTGATCACAAGTTGGTTGTAAGTTAATCACAAGTTATTACAAGTCAAGTGACAAGCTATTGAAAAGAATTTGTCATTCTTGTGTCATTGCTCACTGCATGTTACTTGTGACCTGTCTGGTAATTTGACTCGTTATTGACTCACATGCAAATCTGCGCTAACTTTTTTTTGTTTCTTTGTCCCCCCGAAAAACTGTCAACGTACCTCTCAACAATATCTGGACATATCCTGAGCGACTCCTGCCGCCTGTACAGAAGTTCTCAAACACGATGCTTGAACGACTCCCAAAACGATCGCTGTTCAGCATCAAATCTGGAGACCTAACAATTCTCTCAGAGCTGCGAACTTCAAACCATTTGTAATCCAGAGAACTTTCGCACTCGTCCCTTGCTGTCATCCGAATGTTGATTTCGTTGTCAATTAGGGGGTCAGAGGTCACGGTGAGACGTGACGGATAAAGGTTTGCTGTAGAAAGAGGAAAACAGAATCGTAACCAATTAAATCTGAATGAAAAGTGCACAAGGACGATATTCATTTGGAACAATCTGTAAAGTTTCTCTCCCTGAACTATTTTCAAGTTTCAACACCCTCCACCATTTTTTAACTGTTATTTTCCTTGCAATGCAAAGTTATTCATTTCTGAGAGCCATCACATGAAAAATCTGCCCGCGTTTAGTTATGAAATAAGAACTTCATAAAGTTTAATTTATTTGTTGGCTGTACAATAATCTAGGCATGTGTTATGTGCGACACAGGTGCAAAAGAAACCAAAAAATGAAAGCAATTTTTGACTTGTGATGGGTCTGTGATTTGACTTGTGATAGACTTGTGATTTGCCTTATGATACATTTGTGATATGACTTGATATAATATGTGTATGATGGAATAGTGATTTGACTTGTGACCGACGTGTGATTTGATCTAAGACGACTACAAATCTCTAATTGCACGCCAGAAAGTAAACTGTAAGTAAAGTCTGTCATGAGCCAATGTGGCCCATCAGGCCAGCGTTTATCTCCAGTTTCAGTAGCATGAAACGACTAAGAATATTTCTATTCCCTCTGGGCTGGATGCTAGTCCATCGCAGGTTACTCCCCAGCTAATGCCGGTACCCATTTAAACTCCTGGGTGGAGAGAGGCAATTGGGGTGAAGTGGCTTGCCCAAGGACACAACTATGACCAGCAGCTGGATTCGAACCCCTGACCCTCTGATCATGAGTCACAAACCCTAACCACTAGGCCACACATTCCCATTCAAGAAAGACATACCCTAAAACCATCTTGAAATTATACCCTTTAACTTACCATCTTCGGTTGAGATGATCACTGTCGTCACAGCCTCAAAATCTTCCGTTTCCAGGGAACAAACAAAGTCACCAACTCTACTAGGATTGAAAGACGTCCTTGTCTCCCCATCTAGACTGACGCTGGCATTTCTGAGCGGCGTATGTGCAGTGATTGTCACCTCGCCGCTGTGGGATGCTGTTGGAACCAGGGCTTGACTTGCGACACAGGTGAAGTCTAGGTACGGATCTGCAAGCATTTAAAGAAATATAGGATCATTTGCAAACAATAAAAAAAGCAACTGCCAAAATAGTATGAAATAGCCTGCTTGATTGTAAGAAAATAATAGTATGAAACATCCTGTGAAATCGTTGAGCCTGGCATGCTGTCATTCTCAAGAAAAGAGGAATTTTGTATCAGCACTAACGACATGAACACTGATGAACGATGGTTATAGGACCTACAATGTATAACCATTACCATGATTACCGAGAACAAACATTTTTTTCTCAAATACTACGTGCGCATCCATTAAACGGCTGCGAGCAAGCGATTGACTTCACGCCTACATATACACTATGCTAGGTACATACATGTACACGTATGTATGTACAATGTACATTAATTCCCCATGACAGAGCCAGCACTTGGGCACTGTCTGTGTCCCATGGGTAAGCACCACAGATTGCTCGAGCAACGCTTTGAAGGTTGCAAATATGATCAGTATTTTTTCGTGTTTTTCCGGCACCAATGGCAACAAAACATTGAAAAGCTCAGTGGAACAATGTCGGTCTTCTGTAAAATCAGTCCATTTCATGAAATTACGACAAACTTTGCAAAATGATCTCATGTCACTTTAAAAAAAATGGAAACTTTTCACTGCAGCTAGAAAGTTTTGAGTGATGCACAACTAATTTTGCTGGTCCCAGATGGCCAGACTGACTCACTGACTGACTCACTGATTGAATGTCAGTTGTGACTCAGACTGGTTGAAGAGTGGTAAACAGAGTCGGGCAGTGCTGTTGTATAGGATTACCCAATTACATCTACAAATAGGCTAAATCCAACCCACTGTGTAGACTGTAGACTAAATGCATGAAATGACTTCCATAGAATGGCCATTCTGAATCAATTGAATAAAATTGTGTGTACACTGGGACCAGTTTGTTTTGATTTTTTAAGGCACTAAAAAACAAACAAACAATTTTTTAAAGCCGGAGTCCATCATTTGCAGCTATCCAAAAAAGTAACTGGCGTAATTATTGTTGAAAAACATACTGGTTGAAAGATAGTTAGGGTACTAAACTCCCTGTGAAATGATTCTTTCTGGCAAGCTCTTATTTTGAAGAAATCAACGAAAGAAGGCATTTCCAACGGTGCGTCTAAAGAAGCACCGTATGAAAATTTAAATTAGTAATCATTTTGTTATTCGGCGCAGCGCGCACAAGCATTGGCACGACGCACAGGCGCGCGCGGTTGCTATAATTCGTCGGATCAGTGCGCGACATCGTGTAAAGCTGCAATTCAAAACAATTTAAAACATGATTCAGCAACTTTTGATTTGAAATTAAGATCCTAGAATGCTGTTTTTCTCGGAATATACAGCTGAAGCTGAGCTGAAAGTTCATTAGGTTAGTTGTTCAGTATCCTTCATTAAATTTTGAACACTTTTGTTGCTTCAAACGAACAAAATGCAGTAATTACAAATGATGGACCATGTCTTTAATAGCAGTGATCAGAAGCAACAATAGAAGAGTGCATGCCATCAGTGCATGGGCAAATGGCCAGGCAATTAACATCCCAGTAATTTGTGGTCACTGGCGGGATTAGAAGAAAAAGAAAGTACAGTAGTCATACATGTAGGCCTATGCGTATGCAAATGAAAAGTCAATGAAAAGGAAGTTTCGAAAGAATCATTTTTCTTATTAGAAATATATTGATTGTTTAACATGTTTAACTTTCGCTTTCTCTTTCATACAAACATATGTATACAGGGTGGATGAACAAAATCAAAACCGAGATATTATTGCTAATTGGAACAGAAGTAGGGCACATGGTATTCAAAGGGAGATATCCTCCGTTAGGGTTGAATCTCCTCTTTAAAATGACACCCTGATCATGTCCTTTCATTCACGGTTGACTGAGCAGTGACCAATTTTATGAACGGGTCTACTTAGAATTGCACCACTTTTTATGGCAAAATCTCTTTTTTTCCCCACCTGCCTTGATTGGCAACCATAGCCTTTCACTCTGTGACAAATGACACCACAAAAACCAGAATTGAAAAGTGGCGCATTTCTCTAAATAGACCCCTTCTTAAAATTGGTCACTGCTCAGTCAACCATGAACGTAATGAAATGATCAGGGTGTCATTTTAAAGAGGAGATTCAACCTTAACAGTGGATATCTCCCTTTGATTCACATGTGCCCTACTTCTGTTCCAATTAGCAATACTATCTCGGTTTCGGTTATTTTTTATCCACCCTGTACAATGTACATGTACATGTACTACATGCACATACCGGTACACACAAGTGTGTATTTGCCTGAAATCAGGGACCCCCTATTGTCTCTCTTTTGTTTGTACTATAACTTTTTAGGAAGACCTCCCATATGTTTTGTACACGAATACAAATTTGGGACCTCTCGGGCATTGGGGGCCCTATTGTCCTCTATTGTTCAACGTTCCCTTTTGAATGCAGAAACAAACTCATGTACACCCCGAGGCCAGACAGACAAAGGGAGATATAGAGACAAAGGGAAAGACAATGCCTTGTCCTCGAGAGTAAAGTAAAACACGACTGTGCGTTCATGTATGTTTCTCTAATTACAAATGATGCTAATGGCTTTCAAAGAAACATCTAACCTATTAAAGTTGCTGATTTTGACTAACTTCAACACTGATTCCTTTTTTCTTTGGGGGAGGGCTTGTTTTTCTAGTATTAAGTTGCAATGTGTGCATTAAATTCACTTTTTCCTCATTTAAAACTAACAGTCAAAACAAATCAAAACAATTTACATTGTTTGAAAAGGAAATTGGACATCATTATCTTTTGTTATTAGACATATCAGTGTTGAATTTATTTATAAATATACATTTTTTTTCTAATTCAGTCACTTTCTTTTTGACTCATACGTGTACTATTTCAGTGGAACTTGTTTACTCAATCAATAGGGTTGGGTTGGGAAAGGGTTTTTTTCTTCAGAGGTACAATGTACAAGTTTTTTACATGTAAGCCTTTCTATATTTTGCAAAAACTTTACTTTCATTTCTTGCTATTTTAAATTAAACGATTAAGCTCAATACAAGCAAGCCTTCAATTTATTACGTTTAAATCAACAGGAAAAGGGATGGGTTTGGGTAGGTTTTTGTTTCAAGGGTTGGGTTCATTATATTTTGCCAAAAAAAGTTTATTACTTTTTGATTCCATTTTTAGCTGTTATTAATAAAATGCTCTGAAGTCCACAAAACACAATTTTCAATAAAACTTCAATAAAATACACACCTAATCTGTGTCTAATGTACATGTGGATAGTTTGACATTTGATTCCGACAAAGAATGCACCCCAGTCATGCCAATTCCACTCCCTACCCAATTAAACTTGAGAGTTCTAGAAAATTTAAAAAAATAAATCCACAATTAAGATTGCAAACTGCAGATAAAGTTGCTTTCGCACGAGGCTTATTACCAATTTTTGTATGTTAAGAAAAAAAAAGCATCAGCTTTCCCTGCTGCAATGTGGTTATCCACAGAGGCGGATTAGTTACTAGGATGTGCAGGAAGTGTGTACAGGACGTTAACACAAGCAGGGACCATGACCTATTTTCCATCACATGGTTATCCAATTTCTTCCTTGAAATTCTTGCAGGAAGAACTTGCCCATAATGCAGTGTCTGCACTGCTAACCACTGCAGGAACACACAATTTAATGCACTATTTTGACCGACTGCGCGTGTTAATTTGTCATCAGTACTGTGCTGAAATAAGCTGGATAACTTTTCTAAATTCTATGCACAATGTTCAACTAGACCAGGAAACTGTAACATGTTCTGAAACAAAAAGCAAAAAGGATATAGTTTTCATTTTCGAGTAAGTTCAAGGAAAACAAGGGGCAGTTTAATTTCCAATGATTCAGTTTCAAAATTGAAAGGAAAACAATTAGTTGGGCGTGCGTGCGTGCAATGCTTGTATTATTTAGTGGCAGAAGTGATTACTACATGTAGTATCGAAAGTGGTTAGGAAGGATTATTAAATACATGTATAGTGACATAACAGTATGTAGAAAAGAAAGAGATCAGTTAAATAAAGTGTCTATTAAAGTGTTAGAAAGATAGACAATGTCTACTTTGCATATGCAAGATTGTACTGACATGACTGACGAGGGCCAAGCAGACATGTACCGGTACCTGTACAAGCGTGTTTTGTCCTTTAAAGAGGTTGTGGAATGCTCAAAGACATTTCCGTCATTTTGGGGGTATATGTAGCCTAAGGTGTGATGAAATAAAAATGACTATTGTTTCTGTCATGAAATGAGTACAAAGGGTACTTTTGAGAGCTATTTTTCAGGTCCTGTTTCGACCCGAATGTGCAATATGTGTAAAAGTCATTGTTGCGGGCAGCAAACAAAACACAGTAAATCATGACGTAATAAACAGGACTCGTTTATGCTACTCTGCATCGGGAGTCCTGTTTACAGTCACGATTTACTACGTCACGATTTACTGTGTTTTGTTTGCTGCCTGCAAAGACGACTTTTACACAAACTGCACGTTCGGGTCGAAACAGGCATGACAGGACTTGAAAAACAACTCTCAAAAGTAGCTTTTGTACTCATTTTATGACAGAAACAATAGTCGTTTTTATTTCATCACACCTTAGGCTACATATACCCGAAAAATGACGGAAATGTCCTCGAGCATTCCACAACCTCTTTAACATGTTTAATGTGTTGTCACTGTTTGCCGGGAGTGTACGCTTGTCTGTTAAAGGGTACAAAAGCAACTCACTTCACCTTATAACTAAAAGTTGTCGTTAATTACCTCATCTAGTATTTAAGATCTCTATATATTACACTTTTAATGACATAGGCTATTTATCTATTTTTTGGGAGATTGTAAGCTTACATTCTGATGAAAATTGTCAACTTTGAATTTTGAAATTAAAGTCCTACACAATAATAAGGTCGCCAGGATTTTTTTTTTTGGTCACCCGGCCACTGCAACATAAAAGAATGGGAGGGGGAGGGGGAGGGGGAGGGGGTTATGGGTGGGGGGAGGGGGTTATGGGTGGGGGGGGGGGGGGTTATGGGGGGATGGCTGGACAACATGAGGGATATAAGGTGGGGGGATGAACAACCGACTGTTCTGGGGCACAGGGGGCGATCTTTGACACTATATTGAATGTGTGCCGCTCTATGTTGTGGGATGTAGAACCACGCATAAATATGTCAGCATCCAGACTGGACTGACTACAGTTTTATGTAAAGAACTCCAGTGGGTATACTGCTCAAATCAAGATTAGTATTAGCTGGCCATCTGCCAAGATTCAGGCCTAAAATTAGGCCCTTTTGGAAATGTTCAATTTCCCGTAATAAATTAAAAAGGCAGTGAAACTCATGTTGCATCAAAACATACTTAACACTACCCTGTAGCTGTTTTGGATGTAAAAGGAAGTCTAATTTTAACCAAGTAAATTTAGAAGGGGATATGGTAAATTTAAAGAACATCAACCTTTTTGGGTCACTGTATATACATGTATGTACAGTACATGTATACATGTACCGGGGTACAAGGGGAATATTTTTTACATGTTTGGTCATTTGAAGTCAAAGAAAAAATATATGTTGCATTCAAATGATATAAAAAAGGGCAAATTTAAAGAACCGTTTCCAAGATAAAACTTTTTACCAAACACTAATGTAATTAAAAGAAATGCTTTTGAAATTCTTAAAAAATATGACGCAGAGCCGCACATGTATGATCAAGTATTAAAAGTACAAGCATGCTTCATCCCCCGGCTCAGCCCCACCCCCATCCCCCCCCCCCCCTCTCTCTCTCTCTCTCTAAAGAAAAAAAAATATTACAGCTAGGTTTCCGGCCCTCAGATTAATTGGCTTAGGCCTAGTTGTTTAATTTCCTGCCGTTCACCGAAACTGGAACTTCCTTCTCCGTCTTCTTTCTATTCCTTTCCAGACCTTTGAGATGTATGTGTTGGGTCATGCTTCAGCTGATTAAATATTGGAATTTTTTTTAATACTGCCCTTCACATTGTAATTCTATCAGCACTATATACTACATGTAATTGTGCTGTCCAAAGCTTATCAGCAAAAACATCACAAACTTGCTCGGGTGGGGCTCGAACCCGCGACCTCCCGCTTCCTAAGTAGAACACATTTTTCTACACCACTCCGCAATCAAGCTTGTTGGTAACTTGGTATGTGTATACATGTACACTGTATTTTCCTGTTTCTTTTTAACACAAGCTGTTCAGAAAAATGTCCAGCGAAACAACTCAAAACAATTTGCCAAGTAAGGACGACTGTCTACAATTAAGGAAGGAAGTTGAGACATCCTTATTGTGTCCTTATTCTATTGCAAACCGGATCAAGATGCGGAACTATTCATCACTAAAATGTTCAACAATGCATTAAAGTAAATATACAGAAATTAATTTCGAGGATGTAGTTCATGAGTACCAAAATATACACCTTTTACGAAGCTGTATGCAGTAGCAGTCGGGGGGGGGGGGGGAGGTAGCCTAAACCTCCTCTTGATGAGCCTTAGAAAAATAGGAGCCATGCACTAAAACACAGCAAAATTTTAGCGAATGCCTGTACCCTCCCCCCATCCAAACCTGGATCCACCATATTTTCAAACATAAAACAAGTACCAAATTATTATGAAATACCATACATTGTACTTATTTGTAAGAGAATACCAGTGTCTGTGAATTTATGGCACCAGTGGTGCTGTCATTTCAAAAAAAAGTGGAAGTTTTGTATTAATTTCCAACGATGGTCATGCCAACCATCGTTGGAAAGCACTGACTTTTTACAAATACTGCCCCCAATTTACCAAATTTAGTTAGTCCACATTTTGTTTGCAATCAGTTACACATCCGTGAACAGGTGCAAGCCAGCTAGTCTAGTTCCTTCACCTGACAATTCTCCTAAGTCCATAAATTGCTCTGTTTCGTCTGAAGTAGGGTCAGGGAACCAAACAACAAGAACTGCCATTTTTTTCTTGGTTTTTTCCAGCATCAATGAATGCAAAACTTTAAACAGATCAGTGTAATAATATTTGCTATACAAAACTAACCCCCATCCATCCATTTCTGAAAAAAAATCACAGCAAAAGCAAATGTTGTATTACCTTTGAAGTACTGTCCACATACGGTACATGAACTGGCCACACTTTGTTTTATTTTGTTCCAAACACCTTTTGTACAGCAAATTAAAGGCCTTGTACTTCATACATGTATAATCATAATGTATGGCATATATCCTATTCATTGTTACAATTTTTTATGCTGCACAGGACTTGTACCTTACCTTTTCCTGTGACAGGCAGAAACAGACCCAAGCTGAACAGCACACACAATACTGCCACCACTCCTCGCGTCGCAGCCATTGATATGCAGTTTAAATACAGTGGGTTCCCTCACAACAAGTTTGGCTGACTTAGCCGGCAAAAAGGGTTCAACCTGAACAACATCCAAACTACAAGGCTGCTACCGGTGAGAGACCCACGAGACTATACGTATGATTCATGCCAGACGAAAAGAAAGAAGACAGAAAAAAAAAACCGACAAGACCGTCTGATGATGACAAGCAAGGTGTTCACATACACTCACAAAACTTGTTGTACTAGAAGTGTTAACGCGGGCATCACACAACGATGAATCACACTAGTGTTTTGCCCAGCATCTGGTGCGGGATGTCACACATTTCTGTTCTCGGTCGTTTTCCAGGGAAGTGTTTCGTCGACGACAAATTTCCTCGTTCTCGTGTAGCCCTGAAGTACTTGTCATGCATGTATCTCTGTGGGATTATCACAACTGAGTACAGAAGTTTTTACTCAACCATCACAGTTTTGTCCTTTCTCTTTTCAGTTGACTGCTTTTCAGCTGACCTACCGGTACCAGTGCTAACGGTACTTGTACTTTAAGACAAAACTTTAGGACATCACAAAATCTTCTTTGTTTATTCCAAAATTTAAAAAAATTGTTAGCCTGTCAATGAGTTGGACATAAAGTTTCAGACAACAAAGTCACACACCGCGAGTGTATACTCACACATCCAGTAGGCCTACAGAATGTTGAACAGTTGTGAACTCACTACCTGAATGTCGGGCAACACCGAGAAATTGTCCACTGAAACAGCAAAACTGTGCTTGACTTGATGGGAGAACAATAAGTGACAACACACACCCATCCGTTAATGAACACAGCTGTCAATCATGTCCATAGAAATATGTGCAAAAACTGCTGGCAACAGTTCCAAGTTGAAAGTTGTTTGGGTGGAAATTTCCACAGGGTGCAATATTTTGAGATCCAAGAGTTGTCTCATTCAATATGGCGTCTCTTTCCAGGAGGTAGAAACAGCAAGCAGAATGAGCCGACATTGGAAAGGACAGCAAATCCGGCAGAATTGTGTTCAATCAGTGTCAAGGCTATCTGTTGTTCAGTGTACTGCACTGATCACAAAATGCTGGCATCGACAACGAACAGTCAGCACGCATACATGTACATCACAAAACTTGAAGTTGAACTCGCAAAGTTTTCAAACAGGTCTCAACACACCAGCAAAATCCACTTGTTGCTTCAATCGCAGAAAAGACAACATACATGTACGTACTCATCTGTTTTGGAAATCAATCTGATCCAGGAAAAGCTTTGTGTTTTAAGAGTTCTAGCACACACACACAGCATCATGCGTCTGTTTCGGTAGATGTATATCATCACCACACATGCCACAAGCCGCTTCCTCATTGTAAGGGAACAGACAGGAAATTCATTGGGTTGAGTGTCCGGGACCATTCGCTTAATGCAAGAACAGTATGGTACTTAAAAACAGGGATCCCTCCCCATGCATCGCAGTTGTACTTGGTATTTGGAGAAAAGGCAAAGTGTTTCCAATGATAGTACTGCACTCTACAATAATGTGTTTCACGGTAATATGCGTCATTTTGTTCACGGGGCAAAAAGAACATCCGCGTAAAAGTGTCTTTGAACAGTGGAAACACCAACAATTGCAGGAAATTTTTAAATGGCGAACATCTTGTAACAAATAAAAAAAAAAAAAAAACGCTTCCTCCTTTTTTTTGAAAACCCGGACGAGAAACATGTTTTTTTTTTATTCGGCCTTATTGGTAGTCTATAATCACTCATAAGTAGTGAACTTCCTGAAAATACTTGAATAGTTATAAATCTTAAAACGTAACTACCGTATGACAAATGTATACCGGTACGTCTCACTACATTCGATCAGCTGTATTTCTTTTTGTCATGTTTGTAAGTCAGAATGTGCAAGTTTCAACCCCCAAAAAAGAAAAGTTGGAATATGCCACATAAAAATTGCTGTCAATAATTGTGGGTTTGCAAAAATAATTAAAGAAATTTAAACTACTTTCCAAATGAAATATCAAACAAGGAAGTTAACAAATTAACTGCTGTCAAGTCAATTACAATATAGTCCTACATGACCAGGAGACAATGTTTTGAGATCATTTATTGACAATTGGCCATGCATAGGGCCTACCGGTACGAGCAATCACTTGTTTTAAGAGACACCATGTAGGCCTAGCTACACAGGTAGATTTGTATACATTTTTATTTGGGAATGTAAACTATTTCATGTGGATTAAAGATTCTCTAGTGCAACTATTTACTTGGTTATAATTTATTGGCATTGATCATGTTGATCAATGATTGTGATTTGCGGAACTAACTTTGCATTAAACTCAAGGGACATTAAAGCACCGTCGATATATCGATATTACTTGATTATTCGATAGCTATGCCTATTGTTTTAATATTGATATCATTTTTGAAATTATATCAAATTATTGAAAATTCCTAGAAACAACATTTGCCAGAAACAACATTTGCGTATGTATGTCCGGTTTGAATTTGACACACACATAACGTGTAAAGGAAATAGCTGGAAATAGTCAAACGTACCGGTAACGGAATGCCACAAAATGTTTGCCCGGTTTTCGTCTTTTCTTAGGAATGGTACAACATTAGGTTACTTTCCTTTCAACCAGACATTTGAAATAGGATTAGTAAACAATCCAACACTTAATTTTTCGGAAGTTTCAGGATGTTATAATAATATGCCCCATTAACTTTAATAGTTTCACTCATAAGGTCCATGCATTATGACGTCATCAGAGGTAGAGAGATTCACAAATTGACCTCGCCGAGGTCAAATCTCCATATAACTAGTTTACTGTGGGAAAACGGCCGTGCATGCCCCCATTCATGATTTAGCATGAGGCTAAAATAAATAATAAAATAAAGATAGTGGATATATTGCCGGAGGTAATGCCGGCAAGCTAACGTTTACTAAAGGTTTGCTGGCGGCAATGCAATCCTTATCAACAGAGGGCGCTGAACTCTCTAAGATAGGGCTGAATTATAAGCAGTGTTGTAGTCGAGACCGGATAGTCCGAGACCGAGACCAAGACCGAGACCTGAAGATTCGAGACCGAGACCGAGACCGAGACCAGCCCCTTCATGGCGGACCGAGACCGAGACCAATATGGTCCGAGACCGAGACCGAGACCGCTGATAATAAATAACAATAGTCGAAATAAAAAAACAAGACACGTTATTATAGTTGAAAAATGTAACCCTTCTATTCACAAAGAATACAGACCAAAATTTTGACCAGTGGCAGTGTTCACAAATTGATACATGACACCTTACTTGAGTAAAAAGTAGTTACACTTAAGAAATATGGGCTTTGACATGTTGTCTGCACCCAATCGTGACAAAAGTAAAAAGTTAAAGGTAGATGATTCATCTGTTATAGGAACTCGGATCCTAAACTCCACAGTCACCCCTTGGTTTCAGCTATGACTTCTAACGGATATTTAAAGATGCAATTTTAATTTTACATTGTTCCTCTTTTTTCCTAAAATAAATTTAGGACTTAACTTCTAACAAGACTTGTGTACTTGATTTTAAAAAATGGAATTAATTTTTAAATTTCTGTCATAGAATGTGGACTTGTACATGTAGACTTGTACATGTAGAGCCACAAGTTGCGAGGTGGTTGCCATAATGTACCAGATTTGGATTTTAATTTTTGAGGAATAATGGGGTACTTCACAATGAGCAGCCAGAAAATGGGGTCTCATCATACACTCTCATGGCAACAGTGAGTGGTAACTGGTAAGAGTGTGTGAGTTCAATGCTGGAAAATCAGGTAGAAAAATTTACTTTTTCTTCAAAATACTGTCCCAAATTAAAGAGAACATTGTGTGGGGTCGAAAATATAACTAATTTGAAGCACCTCATTTATTATCAGAATACAAAATGCAAGTGATTACGCCCACAGGGGTGGGCTAAACTACACAATCCTCGAAAATGGTTGACCCTTGCATAAATTGTTACAAGTTCATACTTTGCTTTATGTGCCCGACTCAACAGATAAATGCCGAACTTGCTCCAAATCATTCAGTGACTGGTACTGCTGCAGCTTTACATGTACTTTGGGGACTTTCCAACGTGCAGTCGAGTCCGGCAAACCGACCACGATATATAACAAGCTTGATCTACGGGCTAGCAAATGTTTTAACTAACAATGGTACTGAACGAAGTGAATCGATCGAGCTGTAAAAGCTACATATTGCTGGTCTCGACCCGAGACCAGCCAAAATATCGAGACCAAAGGGGACCGGGACCGAGACCAAGACCGAGACCACAGCTTCCGAGACCAAGACCAGCAAAAAGTGGTCTCGAGACCGGTCTCGAGACCGAGACCGGTCTCGAGACCTACAACACTGATTATAAGATATATTAAATTACCACCAACGGCTGTGTAGCACACTTGGTCTAGTGGATAAGCAACAGATCTCATGGGAGGGAAGACCCGGGTTCGATCCCGATCCCGATCCCCGCTGGCGACAATTCTAAGGTTTTTTTTCTCCATCCCCCCAAAATGAGAATATTCTCCTTTTATTATTATTTATTTTAACATGTCTCAAACATTTTATTGCAGAGTATTACATTTTCTTTTTCAGATTTGTGGCTCTGGAGGATTTTTTTTTTAAGGGAAATAAAGTCCGAAATTGTAAAATGGTCTGATTCCCATCTTGTGAATACGACGTTACAACGATAATGTTGGCATGGAGCCAGACTAAAATTTGTCACCGGAAAATGTCTATAGAAAAAAATAGTAACTGCGCATGTTCAGTGCATATCAGGCAAGCTAACGTTTACTAAAGGTTTGCTGTCTCCGGCAAAATATACACTGCCTTAACATAACAATGTTTTGTTAAATTTGTTCAGATACTTAATTGGAAAGAATGTTGCAACCTGACACGTACTACTTCAGCAGTTGTGTACACAGTCTATGGAGAGTCAAGAAAATTATCTAAGTATTTCCTTAGAAAATTGGAAATGTTCCTCAGTCCCAGATTCAGATCATATGTCTATGTCTCCTCATTTTTGCAATGACTGACCTTTCTAAATTCTAGACTTGAGATAGAAAAAATCAGTCAGGTTGCAACATTCTTATTTCTTTCCCTTTCCTTGATTGATGATGTATAACCCACAGGCTGTTTCAAGTGGCTGTGTTTAACAAACTGAAAGGATAATTTCGAGAATCAACGTTTAGAGAAAAAACACTGAAGTAAACAAACACAGACTAGAGTCAAAACTCACCGAAGCCGCACGCATACACATGACATTGACAAGTGAAAGTTTTGTAAAACCGCGGTGGACTAAAACAGCGCCCTCTGTCTTTTAATAGTCGGATTTACACCATTGAACAGGTGGCGCATGGCATTCATGGCATTGTTTACGTGACTCACTTTTCAAATTCCTGAGCGAGTGAAATTGTGGTCGAGTTTACGTGTAGAATGATCAGTGTTACCGTTTGAAGATTGCTTTCATAAAACACTTTCAACCCCAACTAGATTTTTCTCCTTGGAAGGTAAAGAAAATAAGGCAATCGACCGCATGCAACCGAGGTGATGTAATCCGTAAATGCCGTCGTGAAATCAGCCTAACGGGAGAGCGTGTTTGGAGCGGTGGAGCTCCGGGAGCAGAGGTCAAATTTGTCGGTCGAGATGGCTGAGCGTCGTTCGCCTAGACAACAAGGACCCACGCGGTGCCACTGCTGGGCCAGACAGATCTACCGTTACTTCTGGCTTCTTTTCCTTGGGATATTTTTCTCGAGCTTTCTGCAAACAGTGGGTGGTAAGTTCATGGGAGTAGTTATTTTAAATGAGATTTTTGAACTTAGTTTAATATTTTTTTTATTGTTCATTCATAAAAAAGAATGAATCTGAGTGAAATCGAAGGTTGAGAATGAGAATGAGACTTTGTTTGAGAGGAGGAATTAAATTTATTAAATCACATGGAAGTGTTTTATTTCTCCTTCCTAAATGAAAAATAAGGAATAATAACTTTTTGGTTTCAATAGTAACATACAATGTATAAACAACTTGAATGTATGTGTTGATTTGGCCTACTCCTAGAACTATGAGGTTCCACGTAGTGGAGCCTCATAGGTTCAGAAGCCCGCAAAATTGTTGTCAGCACAAAACACTAATTAAGTACAAAAACGTCCATCCCAAGCAGGCCGTTTTCCACAGAACCGCTGCACAGTTTGCCCCTAAACTCCATACAATACCTCATGACATACTCACGTTATGTGCACCCAACAAACATCGGTGGATTCTGTCTGTTTTTCGGCAAAAATGATGAAAAATATGCCCTTTCTGCACTGAGCCAACCTAACACTTGAAACGAGCACGCGTGCAGAATGATCGCAGTTATTTTCGGTTCGATCGCTCGGAGCGCGCCGTGGGGGGTATGGTGTAGGAGCGGAACGATAGTATGCACATGCGTACAAGTGCAAGTACGTACCCCCCGCGGCGCACTCCGAGCGATCGAACCGAAAATAACTGCGATCATTCTGCACGCGTGCTCGTTTCAAGTGTTAGGTTGGCTCAGTGCGGAAAGGGCATATTTTTCATCATTTTTGCCGAAAAACAGACAGAATCCACCGATGTTTGTTGGGTGCACATAACGTGAGTATGTCATGAGGTATTGTATGGAGTTTAGGGGCAAACTGTGCAGCGGTTCTGTGGAAAACGGCCTGCTTGGGATGGACGTTTTTGTACTTAATTAGTGTTTTGTGCTGACAACAATTTTGCGGGCTTCTGAACCTATGAGGCTCCACTACGTGGAGCCTCATAGTTCTAGGAGTAGATTTGGCCCTTTTATTAATTGTTGAAAATCACAGTTTGCATTTAAAAATGAGGGCTGGACGTCAAAAACGAAACAAATGTTTTCTGTGATGTCTAACAAATAAATAATTATTGAAGTCGATACAGATTCACTCTGTGACATTTAACGGGCTGTATTATGTCATTTATGATTATTAATTTCAGTTCATTCTGTGTAATTTATAAATTCCTTAGTTTTTTCCTGACAAATCTCCATTCTTCCCAGGTTTTAAATTATAGCTTTTGAAATTGTAAATTATGAGTACTTTTCTAATTTGTTTATGAAGGAACCCCCCGAATATTGTTTTCCGTGCGTAATTACAAAATGCAGTTTATGTAAGCATGAAATTCAAAGTTTAAAACCACCCACATGTTGCGCCATGCATCACGTACATTGGCAGGTGCAGTTCTTGCAGCGTGATGAATAATCAATAACGTTCTCTGTTGTGCGGGACTGCAATATGACTCCACCCAGTTCTCTTGTTACAAAGAGCTCATTTGTGAAGCACTAAACAATGACAGCATTCATTCAGTGGTCATTGGTATGATGTATACATGTACGTACATCACATTGTGTGCATTGCGAATAAGGCACACCCAAGTATGTAAGAGCAAGGGGTATTTGTGATTTTGTACGTGTACGTATTCATGATGATGGATACATGTATGTTCAACTTGATTAAAATATATAAAGGCATATTTGTGAAATTTGAGATCCCCTTTTGTTTTAGTCAGGCAATGAGAGTGTTTTTTTTTTCATTCCAATGACCCTATTTTTTTAAATTTTAAATAGTATTTTATGCAAAGTAGATGCCAACTTTGCCAAGGAAATTAATGGGTTCCGTGCATTGTGGTGATTGCCATCCTTAGTTTTGCATTTTTTCGTCTTTTTACCACAAAATTTCCCTCTAAAAATTGTTCACAACATTCCTTTTGATTTTCAACAGTGCTAACTAGGTACAATGTATTGTACATGTATGTATGTAGAACTTTCTAAGGTGAGCCCATAATGTGGAATTTGTTCTATTATCATGATTATAGAAAAAGGGGTTGATAAATGTGATAAAAAAAATATTTCAAACATGAGAAGTTACCGGTACCTGTAGCCTATTCCTTCTGGAATGACAATGAAAAAATACTTTAAAGTGTCACATTATATAATAAAATTTACAACAAATTATTATTTTGTTTCTGGTACTGAAACCAAGGGATCCTTAAAAGTGTCCTAGGCACTGTTGACTGTAAGCTTGCAAGCCTGAAGAAACCTGTGGAGAGAAGACAGTGAGAAGAAATAACAGTTTTAGAGGTGGGAGAAAAACCCCAGGAGAATATTCTGGGGGAAACCCATGGAATCAGTTAGGGACTACATGTAAAAAGCCAACAAAACTTGGACCAGGGCAGGAATCGAACCCAGGCCATAGCAATGGAAGGCCAGGAAATCAAGTAACCAAGTACGCCAACCTGACTCACCCTACAGTACATTTTTTAAATTTTTGCAGCGCGTTGGTGGTCTTTGAAATTTCACAAATATTTAAATTCGCAGATTATTCCTATTAGAAAAAGCTTAATGGTGGCCACTGATTCTAGATTTCAACATTTCATTGCTGGTTGGAGGCACACTTTTTTTTTTCAATGGATCTCTTTATGACTTCGGCCTGGTATAAATTGGTGAACATAACAAAAGCAATTGTGTTGAATATAGCTTTTAACTGTTGCATTACGTCAGTCTGATCAGAAAAACAGGGGATGCATGACCTAGAAAAACCGTGCCCTGTTGGCGCTATTGTTATGGACATGAGCACACATGTACCATGTACGTGTACATTGTATTGTGTACGGCTATCAATTGCAAGAATCATACTTTGTTATACTGTGGTTATTGTGTGTATATAGGATTTGGAAAAATTCTGATTCATAATATTGATTATATTTTTGGCAGTTTAATAATACTGCATATTTTTAATTTAACTTTCATCAGATCATGATTGTGTAAATCAGTATACATACGTGTAATAGTGGTACGAGAAAATCAGAGTTTTCAAAATCCAGTTATCAATGTATCTTCTTTTTTCCCCCCAAACCAAATAAAGATTATAAATCCCATTTCATCTGATTCCAAGTCCCCAATCAGCTAGCCCACAGTTATACAACAAATATTGAAGAGTGGTGTTGAAAAAAAAAAAGTTGTTGAAAAGTTTTGCCTCACATTTCCCCTTAGGAGTATTTTGCCTCGCGTTTCTCAGGCCTGGGTGAGTCAAAAACAAAGTGACCTGGATTATTGATTTTTGCCTAAAAAAGCAATTAGATTTGATACACCATTAAAGGAGCACAACCTTCCACCATTTGTCCATTATGTGAATACAAAAGTGACTGAAATTGATCCATGCTATCAGAAGTTATGCATGTAGGCCTATATCATTAATTTTGACAAAAACGGAAATTACATTTATGTCCAGTGTTTAATTCCTCTCTCTCATCATGGAGTTTTTTTTTAGATCTATACAAAAATATAGTTTTGTCCAGTATTTTGTTGTTCTCCCTTTCAAGGACTCATGGCATTATTGTTATACATTGTAATTGAAAACTTGAATCAGTAGGGCCTATGTTTTTGTTACCACTGTTCAGTGATTGTGTTTATTTACAAGGCAATGAACCAGAAATAATGAAAAATGCACAGAAAGTTAGCAAAATAAATTCTGTATACTCAGTGTGTTACACCCTCCCCCCCCCCCCCCTCCCGAGTGAAAGTGAGAAAAAATTGCAAAACCTAATATTGAATTTTGTAATGTGTAAATGTCACATCTATAGTCTGGACTGATGCTTTGAATGTTTTCGGAGTAAGGGAACCTAAAATCATACGTTTATGTTGCAAAATAAATGATTGACCCTTTTACACTTGCAGCTCAATCCTGTCTGGGTGCTGTGAGTCTGACAGCGTGTGCCAATGGCGACTGTATCTTCACGAACTGGATATGTGACGGGTTTGCTGACTGCGCAGACATGTCAGATGAGTCGGACGCGACTTGCGTAGAGGGCGGTAAGGATTATCAAACCGAATAGAATTATGCTACGCTTGGTTTCAGTAATCGCACGTTTGGGTCGAGAGTGGTGGTGCCCAATGAACAAAACTGGATCAATTACTGGTTCAGTTATCAATTTGAAATCACATTTTGATAACTGCCCTTTTTTTTTTACGGTAGATGATGTGTTTCTTGCAGTTATGAAATTTTATGAGTACATTTGTACATCTCAAAATATCTGAATTTGTATTTTAAGAAACTGTACATGCAGGAAATTCAGGCTCAAAAAAAATTTTCAAAACAGAAAAACCCTTAGCATAAATTTTGTATTCATTGGCTTGTTTTGTTTACTCTAGTTTTGACCTGTCGTGCAGGGATTTAACGTGTTTAATTATAGAGTCCATCACCAGTCCCTGCAACCCCTCAACCAACAAGCTAACTCAAATGAGTGTTGTCTGAAGCTTTGCATGGTGGAGTTGTAGGTAGGGAAGTACATGTAGGTTTGCGGGTACACCGTGAAAAAATCTGTTTTGTAGGGGAGTCTTGGCTCTGAAGAGCCGGTGGTGAGAATAAGGTCTCAGGAATGAGACGGTGTACCCGCAAACCTACTTTCCTACTATTCAAGTGACCTTTGACAAAGGTCATGAAGGCATTCCTTTGTTAGTGTTCATCCACTGTTTCTTGTGACTAGACTCGTGAATGGACAAGTTTGTGATTTACTTGTGACTGGACTTGTGATGGATTCGATTACATCTCTGCTTAAATGTTTTTACATGCCTCTGGAGGCACAAATTAAAACCATGGTGCTTGAGTCGATTACATTTTGTTTCATTTGATATTGCAGTGACTGCTTGTGTTTCCTCACCGTGTCTCAACGGTGGCGCCTGCATGCCGATCCCGAGAACGACCGACCACGTTGCCCTTTTCAACTGTACTTGTCCTTATCCTTACACTGGTGCTACCTGCGAAATCACGCTCACCACGACGCCGCCTTCGGCAATATCCACCGAAATGTTTGTGACGACATTTGCTGCAGTCACGACAAAACCCCCCACAGCTGCGCAGACTGAAACGCCTAGTACAGCACAGCAGAGACTGACAACAGATGCACCCATTGCAACCCAGCAGCCATTTCTTACTACAGTGGCGGTACCCATTGAAACCCAGCAGCCACTTGTTACTACAGCCAGGGCACCCGCTGAAACCCAGGAGCCACCTGTTACCACAGTGGAGGTACCCGTTGAAACCCAGCAGCCACTTGTTACTACAGCCAGGGCACCCGCTGAAACCCAGCAGCCACCTGTTACCACAGTGGAGGTACCCATTGCAACCCAGCAGCCACTTGTTACTACAGCCAAAGCACCCGCTGAAACCCAGGAGCCACCTGTTACCACAGCAGAGTTACCGGTATTACCCATTGCAACCCAGCAGCCACTTGTTACTACAGCCAGGGCACCCGCTGAAACCCAGGAGCTACCTGTTATCACAGCAGAGTTACCCATCACAACCCAGCAGGCACCCACCACTGGAATCCCAGCAAGACAGACTACACTTGCACCAGATACAAGAACTACGCAAAGCCAGCAGACCGTGCTTACGCAAATGCCGCAGTCCACAGATCCTGATGCATGCGGTTCCGGTCCTTGCATTAACGGTGCAACATGTGTAGCTACAGTAGATGGTTTTCAATGTCAGTGTCCATCAGGATTTGAAGGTAAAATTTACTGGTCTGTCTGTAATGATACAATTTTTTTCTCATCGTTTGCAGTGGTTTCCCTCACTCAATAAACTTCATCATTCCCTTTGTCATTTTGGGTCTTGTCTTTTAACATGTTTAAAGCCAATTATTTTTTCTCTCATGCTAAATCATTCTCTGTTTCTAAACAAACAATTAAAAATGTTCTACTTGAATCAACGTTATGGCTAATTGCTTCCAAAACATTTCTTTTTGCTCAGAGAGTGGTATTCCTGTTTCCATCCTACATGTATTCCTATTGCACTCATGTGTAATTTTAGCATTAAACATTGAAAACTTTGTGTACAGCATGCGTGTTCAAGCTTGACTGTGCACAATGGTGCATGCGTCATGTTTGCTTGAAAATAAATTTGTTATCCCACTTGTGCTCGTGGAACAGTACACGGAAAATGTAGTGCGTCTGTGGTCCAGATGCCTCGTGGCATATTTTCGTGTCCCACTCGGGCTTGTGGGATACAGTGTAACTAATAGCGCGTAATATAGTGGTTATGGGTGATTTGCTATTTGGAGTAACGATTGCTCAAGAAAAATTAATATACATCAGAGCCTGCATGCATGATGAAATTGCGCAGCTGTACTTGAAAGGTTTTGGGTACTTGAATCATCTCTTCATCAATATCATCATGCTTTAATCAACTTCTGTTGCCAAGATGTTGACCTCCACATTGACCTTTGACTTTTGCACCTTGTTGGAACCTCCCTTCACCTGCAAACCCAACCCTGCATGTTGTAAGAACGATTCATTCTTCATTTCTCCTCATCATGTGATATTAATATAAAACTAATAAATATAAAGCAATTCAAATTGTAATCTGTTTATTCTTAGATATTTGCTTTCTAGGCTAATTTTATGGTGGGGAGACTTTCTTTGGTGGAAAATTTGTTTCAAATTTGTTGCAAATTTTAGTAGTGTTGAGTTGGAGGAATATTCAAAATTTGCTTTCAAATTGCATAATAATGAATGAAAATGCATTAGAACATTTTTTTACAGTGCTTTGAACAGGATTTGTTTGATGACACTTTCAGCTTTTGATAGAGGGATGACAGATTTTACTTTACAATGTATGTTCTTTTAAATGTAAGATTTTTCATGCTATAAAGTAATACTTAAAAATTCACAGGTCTACTTTTGTAAATTGTAGCCCCATGATAGGTTTATTAATATCCTACATGTAGGTCCAGACATCAATTCTATAGTGAAATTCCTTGCTGACAACTTTTCTTGGTTATCTCTTCGTAGGAGTAACCTGTGCCCGGCCAGTCCTCAATGCCTGCAGCAGCTCACCGTGTAGTACGGGAGGCATATGCCTAATAGATCCCAACGGTTATCACTGTCAGTGCTTCACTGGATTCGCCGGCGCGAACTGCGAGACAAACATAGACGAATGCGCAAGCAACCCCTGCTCGGCTCCGGCAACTTGCCAAGACGGCATCGATCGCTACGACTGCGTCTGTCCCGCGGGGCTGTTCGGTCCGGACTGCGCAGACGAGGTGGATGAGTGCGCATCGGGTCCCTGTCTCAACGGCGCCACCTGCGAGGACCGACTTGGGAGTTTTGTCTGCCTGTGCCCGGCGGGACTGGCGGGGCTGACTTGCAATGAGAACATCAACGAGTGCAGGAGCCAGCCCTGCCAAAATGGCGGTGAGTTGTGGTTGTAGTTGGTGGGTTGGGGGATGCTGTCATGGAGTTGTTGTTAAGCTCAGAAATCTGTTAAGCAAGATGAAAAAGGTTTGCCTACTGATCTCTATATAAAGACTGGATAGCATACAGAGAACCGTGGAAGAAATCCATTTGAACCCATATTGGGGAGACCGGTTGGTGTTCTACATGTTTAAAGAACACTTTGCCGAATGTGGGTCTGGACGCAAGCCGGTTTTAAATGTACTTGTTTTATAACGGCCAAGCACATATTTATTCCCATTCATAAATACCTTTTAGTCAAAAAGTCAAAACAAGTCAAAAATTCTAAATTTCCAAGGTTTTGTTCAAAAGTTTAATTCATGTTTTTTTTAAACACCCCGCTAGCTATGTTTATGGTATGTGCCACTTGCGAGTAGTACTAAAAATGTCCCTTTATGGAGATTTGTGAAGGGGTGGTGCGTACTGCGCACTGCGGTGGGTGGGGCAGAATGCGGGTATGCCGGTGTAGTTTGAATTAAGGACTCTATGAAATATGGACTCATATTGGTAGTATTCCACATGCCTAAGTGAAGATTGTGAAAGTTCAACCAATAAGAGGGTAAAAGGGACCAGATTTTGTAGGAGTCCATCAAATCTCATGTGACACCGGAAAAGTGTTTAAGACCAGCCAGCCGGTGTTTTATCAATCGTTTAAAACCACCTGTGTGGCTGGCTCTCGATCAGTACATTTGTAGGAATGGGTAAACTTTCTCGGGTATTTATGTGTATAGAGGGTTAAGTCAAAGCAAGAATATTGCACCAGTTTCAATTGATCCTCAGTTTGCGTTAGATACAAAGGGTTTTGGAAAGTCTGTTTCTGGCTGGTTGCACATTTTCTAAAGGGTCTTAAAACAAAATTGGTACAATGAAACCAGGAAAATGTTCAGGCATAGTAGTGAGTAGAGGCTCAGTCCCTCCCCCCCCCCTCCACCTATTCCCCCCCCCCCTACATGTACATATTACACGTTTGCTGTCGTTGTTATACATTTCAATTTTTTTTTTTCAACAGGTGGTTGCGTTGACGGCATCAATGGCTACACTTGCAACTGCCTGGGCGGCTTCACCGGTACCCATTGCGAGAATGACGGGAACCAGTGCGCCAGCAACCCGTGCAACAACGGCGGGACGTGTGAGGAACTGGTCAAGGCGTATCGCTGCATCTGCCCTGTCGGTCTGGCTGGGTTACGGTGCGACACGGACCTCATCAATGAGTGCACCAGTAGTCCATGCCAGAATGGTGGTATGTGTCTTAGACTGACACCTTGAATGGATATTTTTTTCTTCTGCTGTTTGCTACTTTTACGGAAGTTGCCCATTGCAAGCATGTGTTAGTTGTCAACCGAATGGTCTCAGAATTTACCTCCCTTTTAAATAGAGAGACACGAATCAGAAAGCAAACTGAAATCTACTTAAAGGTGCAGTCCTTCATTTGCAGCTATCCAAACAAAATTACAAAATTATTGTTGAACATGTATGAGAACGTGTCCCGGATGCTGATTTCAGGCGTAATTTAAAACATGACTCGGCAACTTTTGAATTCAAATGGAGACCCTAGAATATTTTTTTTTTCGTGAAATATACAGCATTCACTGAGCTAAAAGTTCATCGGGTTAGTTGTTAAGCACCCTTCTTTAGATCTTGAGCACTTTTGTTGTTTCAAACAAACAAAAATGCAGAAATGACAAATGATGTGCTCTACCTTTAGGCAAAAAGTGGGATTTGATTAAAAACAATAACAGTTAGAAAATATATCTTGGGAAATTCCACTGCTAATGACGAGAATCTCCAGAAGTTAAAAAAATAGAAAGAAAGAAATTTGATATTTTGTTGTTTGTATTTCAGGGACTTGCATCAATGAATTGGGCAGCTACCGTTGTAACTGCACGCAGGGTTGGTTTGGGACTAGCTGTGAAGATGACGGGGACCAGTGTGCATCTTCTCCTTGCCTGAATGGAGCTACCTGTGTAGATGGCATCATGTCCTATGCATGTGAATGTGTGCTTGGTTACAATGGTAGGAGTTTGCAGAAGCCTTATCCTTCCGAAATTGTGGTCAAGTGTTTTTTTGTAGGAAGAGAAGTTATGATACCATCTCATACCAGTTTTGCCAAAGTTCTGAGCTTGATTTGTTTCTTGTATTCACATGTTCTCAGTGATGACTTTCACACACACAAGAAGTTTGGCTTCATAAGACTGCCTTTTCAATTCAATGTGAATGCCAACAGTTTTGATTATTAAGTAATTTTAAACTGGCTGGGTTTACTTTTGAAAAAAAGGGCAGTAGGTATTTAACTTGAAATTGAGCTGTCCAGCCTCATATTGCCAGTCTGCCAATTTTTCATTTGTTTTCAATTTTGTTGCCTCATTCAGTGCTCTGTGTATTCCTTATTTGGAGATAACTTTGTCAATTTGTGTTGTGTGTTCCAAACTTTTCAAAGTTTGTGCTCAGTAAACAATTAAAAAGAACTTAAGTTTGTAAATTCTGTATTGTTATCCTGTCGTGCTATTAGTATGTAAGAAACATTTATGAAAAGTAGCATGAGTATTAATCATGTTTATTCAGTGAATGTGAGGTTTGCTGTAACACCGTGTGAATAATATTTCTTTGTGAGTTGTGTGGTTCTGAATAGAACCAATTGGTTTAACCAAGAGTTAAACCCAAAGAGTTAAACCAACTACATGTAACGCACAAAGAGATATCATTTACATGGTGTTACCGCAAACCTCCCTTTTATTGATCATGTCCACCATGCAAAGCATAAATCTTGTTTAGCATTACTTTAAGCATTTGATTTTTTTCTCATCTCAGGTACAAACTGTGAGCAAGATCTTGACGAGTGCAGCAGCAACCCGTGCCACGAGAGCGCAACCTGCGAGAACCTGGTCAATGAGTATCGCTGTGTCTGCCCGGCTGGCTTCACTGGAGCTGCGTGCGACGTCGACATCAATGAATGCGCCAGCAATCCCTGTGTTAATGGGCTCTGCCAAAACAATGTGGCCTTTTTTATGTGCTTTTGTATTCCTGGGTATATCGGTACGATGTGCGAGACCGAGATCAACGAATGCGGCAGTAACCCCTGTGGGGTAAATGGAGTGTGCGTCGATCTTCTCAATCGGTTCCGGTGCGATTGTCAACCAGGGTACGCAGGAGTTAGCTGTGAGATTGATATAAATGAGTGTGCTGGGAACCCGTGCATGAATGGGGCAACGTGTAGCGATCTCATCGCAGGGTTTGAGTGCACGTGTTTGCCTGGTTTCACTGGGACCCTCTGCGAAATTGACGTCGGAGAGTGCGACAGTTCACCGTGCGGGAATAATGGAGTCTGCAACGAGGGGACGAATGGATACACTTGTTCCTGTAATCCGGGGTTCGCTGGAACGCACTGTGAGATTGATGTGGACGAGTGTGCGAGCCAGCCGTGTCAGAATGGTGCTACGTGCCGCGATGGCGGGAACATGTTTGAATGTGAGTGCACTATGGGATATAGGGGTACGCTATGTGAGCAGGACATCCCAGAATGCAACAGTGACCCGTGCCAAAATGGCGCGACCTGCATCGATGAAGTGGCGTCGTACATCTGCATGTGTGTCCTTGGCTACAGTGGGTCTAACTGCGAGATTCAAGTAGACGAGTGTGAAAGCGATCCGTGTATGAATGGCGCCACATGTGAAGACATGATTAACTCTTTCCGCTGCCAGTGTGTCAGTGGATACATAGGCTCGCTTTGTGAAATCAATGTTGATGAATGCGCCAGTGATCCCTGTCAGAACAGCGGCGTGTGTATTGAGGGAATTGGTCGGTACTCATGCATATGTAGTGGTGGATACGCGGGTATGAATTGTGAGAGCGAAATCGTAGAATGCGCCAGTTTCCCGTGCCAGAATGGAGCCACTTGCCTTGAACTGGTCAATGCTTACAGCTGCGTGTGCCCTCGCGGATACGTCGGTGTCAACTGCGAGGAAGATTTCAATGAGTGCGCAAGCCAGCCGTGCCTTTTTGGTGGAGTGTGCACTCAAGGTGTTGGGTTCTTTTCCTGTGAGTGTCAGCCGGGGTACAAAGGGGCAAAGTGCGAGGAGAATATCGACGAGTGCGTGAGTGATCCTTGCTTGAATGGCACCTGTGTCGATGCGGTGAACGGCTTTTCCTGTACCTGCCTGGCTGGATTTGAAGGTGAGCAGTGTGAAGTAGATATCGATGAGTGTGCAAGCAATCCATGCCAGAACGGTGCAGCTTGCCAGAATGTGGTTAACGGCTACACCTGCAACTGCATTCTTGGTTTTACGGGCCCGGACTGCGGGATCAACATCGATGAATGCATCAGCAGACCGTGCCAAAATGGCGCAACCTGCTCTGATGGGGTTAACGGTTACCGGTGTCTGTGTGCGTCGGGCTTCGTCGGTCTGTCCTGTGAAGGGGAGACGCAGGAGTGCAATAGCAACCCCTGCCTGAATGGTGCAAGCTGCAACGACCTTGTGGATGCCTATTCCTGCACCTGTGCTGCTGGCTATGAGGGGACACACTGCGAAAGGGAAATTGATGAGTGTGAGAGCTCACCCTGTTTAAACTCAGGCACCTGCCAGGACATATTCTTGGGTTTCATGTGTGCATGTGTGTCTGGGTATCAGGGCACGCAATGCCAGGAGGAGGTTGACGAGTGCAGGAGTGATCCCTGTCAGAACGGAGCCACATGCATGGATTTCTTTGACCGGTATGAGTGTCTGTGTGCTCCTGGGTATTCCGGCGCCAATTGTCAGGTGGATATCACAGAGTGTGCAAGTAGTCCGTGCGTGAACGGCCAGTGCATTGATGAGGTGAATGGTTACCGGTGTTCGTGCCCTCCTGGGTTTATCGGAACTCGTTGCGAGGAAGACGTAGACGAATGTATGAGCGATCCTTGTCTGAACAACGCCCCATGCTTAGATCTGATTGATCGGTTTGAGTGTCAGTGCATTATGGGATGGGAGGGGACTCTCTGCGAGAATGATATAGACGAATGCGCTAGTGACCCTTGTCAGAATGGTGCACCATGTACGCAATCAATTGGCAGGTATTTTTGTGATTGCTTGGCTGGCTACGCAGGGACAAACTGTGAAGTTAACATCAACGAATGTGCCAGTAATCCATGCCGTAATCAGGCTGTATGCTTGGATCTTGTCAACATGTACAATTGCACCTGTCAGCCGGGCTACGTCGGAGAGAATTGTGAAGTGGAGATCAATGAGTGCTCTAGTAACCCTTGTGAGAATGGTGCAGAATGCCGAGACAGGCCCAACAGTTTTCTTTGTGTCTGTGATCCGGGGTTCAACGGCGATCGCTGCGAGACCAATATCCAGGAGTGTCTCAGTAACCCCTGCCGAAATGGCGCAGAGTGCGTAGATCGTGCCAATGCCTACTCCTGTATATGCACTGAGGGATTTGGTGGAACCAACTGCATGATTGATATCGATGAGTGTGCCAGCGGACCCTGCCAGAATGGAGCTCGCTGCCGCGACGTGGTCAACGGGCACCAGTGTCTGTGCCCTGCCGGGTACCAGGGTAGCCACTGTGAGATTGATATTGATGAATGTGCAAGTGGACCTTGCTTTAACGGAGCGACGTGCATGGATGGTCCTAACAATTACACCTGTTTGTGTGCTCCTGGGTTTGAAGGGATCCGGTGTCAAACAGATTCCGATGAGTGTGAAGTGCAGCCATGCTTAAATGGCGCTCAGTGTGCTGATGGTATCAACAGCTTCACCTGCACGTGTCTGTCCGGATTCACAGGATCAGCTTGTGAAATCAACATTGACGAATGCGAGAGTGACCCTTGTGTTAATAATGGCACTTGCAGAGATCTTGTCAATGGATACGAATGCCTGTGTGTGGCCGGGTACCAGGGAATCACCTGTGAGCAAGATGTCTTGGAGTGTGCCAGCAACCCGTGCCAAAATGGCGCCCTTTGTGTAGACCAAGTCAGCGGCTACGTCTGCGAGTGCCGGCCTGGGTTTGAAGGTACCCACTGCGAGGTTAATATTGATGAATGTGCTAGCTCACCGTGCACCAATGGCGCCACGTGTCAGGATGTTGTCAATGGTTACACTTGCATTTGTCCTGAGGGTTACCAGGGATCGGAGTGCGGGGAGGACATCCATGAATGCGATAGCGACCCTTGCCAAAATGGCGCTACCTGTCTTGATCAGGTCAGCAGTTACTCCTGCGTGTGTCCGCCGGGCTACGAGGGACTGCATTGTGAAATGGATATTGACGAGTGCGAAAGCAGTCCGTGCAGCAATGGCGCGCAGTGCCACAACCAGATCAACGGTTTCGTCTGCATGTGTCCTGACGGCTTCAATGGCACTTATTGTCAAATTGACATAGATGAGTGTGGGAGCTCTCCCTGTCGGAACGGCGCCATCTGCAGGAATCTTGTTAACAGTTACCGTTGCGATTGTCGTTTGGGTTTCCAGGGAACAGACTGCGAACAGGAGATTGACGAGTGCCTGAGCAACCCTTGTCGTAACAACGCAACTTGTGTGGATGCCGTGAATCACTACCAATGCAATTGCGCCGATGGTTATGAAGGAGGTCTCTGTGATCAAGAAATTGATGAGTGTCTGAGTAATCCGTGCTTGAATGGTGCCCAGTGTGTGGACCAGTTAGCTGGGTATCGATGTGAGTGTGCGGAGGGTTTTGTCGGTACCACCTGCAGCATGGAGATTAATGAGTGCTCCAGCAGCCCTTGCCAGAATGGCGCTAGGTGTGAGAACCTAGTGGCGAGATTCAACTGTGTCTGTGTGGCTGGGTTCGTCGGCAATCAATGTGAGACCAACGTCCAGGAGTGTGGAAGCTCCCCTTGCCAGAATGGCGCGATCTGCATGGACGGGATCAACAGCTACCAGTGTGTGTGCAGGCAAGGGTTTATGGGTACCCACTGCGAGACAGATATAGACGAATGCAGTAGCAACCCTTGCGAGAACGGTGGCACGTGCTCTGATCTGGTCGGCCAGTTTCAGTGTCAGTGTCTCCCCGGTTACCAGGGTGAACGTTGCGAGGTGGACATTGACGAATGCGCAAGCAATCCCTGCCAGGGCGGTGCCGCGGAATGCGTGGATCAGATCAACGCATTTGCGTGCGTCTGTCGGGCAGGGTTTGAAGGTAAGCAATGTGAGGTTGATATCAATGAGTGCGATAGTAATCCTTGTCAGAACGGAGCGCCCTGCATAGATTTGATCAATTCTTACCGATGCGATTGTACTGCCGGTTTTAACGGTATAAACTGTTCAGTCGAAATAAATGAATGTTCAAGTGATCCGTGTGCAAACGGAGCAGCCTGCAATGATAGAATCGCAGGGTATAATTGCACCTGTCTGCCTGGGTTTACCGGGCTGAACTGCGAGATCGAAATTCAAGAATGCGCTAGCGATCCCTGCCAACACGGGGCCACTTGTAATGAAGAAATCAACGGCTATACGTGCATATGTCCCAATGGCTTTACCGGAACTCACTGCGAAATCAACATTGACGAGTGTGCATCCAACCCCTGTGTGAATAATGGAACGTGCCAAGATGGCGTCGACTCGTACGTATGCCTCTGCGTTCCTGGCTTCCAGGGCCCAAACTGTGAAGTCGACATCGATGAATGTGCGAGCAACCCTTGTCAGAATTTGGCAAGGTGCGTCGACTCCCAGAATATTTTCACATGCGAGTGCATTGCTGGCTTCAATGGCGTGCGCTGCGAAATGAACATCAATGAGTGCGCAAGCAACCCGTGCCTAAACGGCGGACAGTGCACCGATCACATTAACGCCTTCAACTGCAGTTGCATAAGCGGCTTCATCGGGGACCGTTGCGAGACCGATGTCGACGAATGCCAAAGCTCCCCCTGCGAGAACAACGCGACTTGCCTGGACTTGCTAGATGGCTACAACTGCCTCTGCCCACCAGGGTTCAACGGTACCCACTGTGAGACCGACATTCAGGAATGTGCCAGCGATCCGTGCATGAACCAAGCAACTTGTGTGGACATGGTGAATGGTTTCAGATGCGATTGTTCACCAGGCTTTACAGGTGACCAACTCAATGAGTCTTAATCATGCTTCATGGTCCATCAGATTTAACTTTTTCAAACTGCCTTCTGCTGTCTAGTATCTCCTTTGACGTAAACTGATTCTTCACAGATGGAAACTTCTTCCTTTTTTTTCAATTCTCTCTGGTGTCTCCATCTTTCTCAGTGGCCTCTGCAGCTCATTTGTTCTGCCCTTTTGTCACATAAAATGATTTTGCTCATTCTGTTTATCTTTCATTTATTATGTTGTTTAATTCCATTGGTACCGGTCGTCAGTGTTATATTTATCAAACTGTTGTCATAACCACCATTGCCCAGCATCACCATTACTCAACATTACTAAAATCACCGCCATCACCCCCATTACCAAAATCACCACCATCAAATCACCATTACCCAATTTACCTCTCTCACCTCTTTTGATACCTTTCATATCACCATTTTCATTGTTATCAATAACATCATTATCACATCATTGCTGTAAATACCTTTGCTATGGCTGATGTATTTTATTTTTCAATGTAAGCTGATTATTTTGTTTGTGGAAAATATTTATTCATGTAAAAATTTCTTAATGCTCAAAGAGAAGCTTAAGTTGCTTCCATAAAGCAGTTTATCTGCACAAGTTTTTATTTTGTGTTGTATTATTGAAGAAAAATATGTAGATTCACCAATACGTGTATAACATAATCTAAACTTGGTAACCTAAAGTTGGTACGCAATCTACATTTTTCCCCCTTCATGTCAAAGGCATCTTCTGTGAAACAGACATCAATGAATGCAGTAGCTCACCATGCATGAATGGAGCGACCTGCCAAGATCTGATCGACGAATACCGGTGTGTCTGTCCTCTCGGTTTCTATGGCAACAATTGCCAGAATGAGACTGACGAATGCATGAGCGACCCCTGTCAGAATTCCGCCGTTTGCATGGATGGTGTCGCCACATACACGTGTGCGTGCGTCCCTGGATACACTGGCATAAACTGCGAGACTGAGGTACAGGAATGCATCAGCAACCCGTGTCAGAATAACGCGACATGCCTTGAAGAAATCAACGGCTTTATGTGCATTTGTCCTGACGGCTATGATGGCGACCGCTGTGAGAATGACATCGATGAGTGTACTTCGAACCCTTGCTTGAATAATGGAACGTGCCAAGATGGGGTCGGCATGTACGCTTGTCTGTGTCTACCGGGTTACACAGGTGATAATTGCGAGACTGATGTCGACGAGTGCGCGAGCAACCCTTGTCAGAATTCCGCCACTTGTCTGGATTTGGTGGACCGCTTTGAGTGTGACTGTGTCCCAGGCTACGAGGGCCCACTTTGCGAGACCGATACAAATGAATGTGACAGTAACCCATGTTTGAACAGCGGGCGTTGCGTCGACCAGCTCAATGCCTTCATTTGTAGCTGCGTGACGGGTTTCACTGGCGAACGTTGCGAGATCCCCAGCGACGAATGTGAGAGCAATCCTTGCGAGAATGGCGCAACATGCCAGGACATCTTCAATGGCTACATCTGCCAGTGCGTCCCTGGGTTTTCGGGGACGCACTGTGAAGTGGACATTGACGAATGCGCAAGCAACCCCTGCCAGGGTGGTGCCGCGGAATGCGTGGATCAGATCAATGCCTTTGAATGTGTCTGTCTAGCAGGGTTTGAAGGTAAGCAATGTGAGGTTGATATCAATGAGTGCGATAGTAATCCTTGTCAGAACGGAGCGCCCTGCATAGATTTGATCAATTCTTACCGATGCGATTGCACTGCCGGTTTCAACAGCATAAACTGTTCAGTCGAAATAAATGAATGTTCAAGTGATCCGTGTGCAAACGGAGCCGCCTGCAATGATAGAATCGCAGGGTATAATTGCACATGTCTGCCTGGGTTCACCGGGCTGAACTGCGAGATCGAAATTCAAGAATGCGCTAGCAATCCCTGCCAACACCGGGCGACTTGTAATGAAGAAATCAATGGCTATACGTGCATATGTCCCGACAGCTTTACCGGAACTCACTGTGAAATCAACATTGACGAGTGTGCATCCAACCCCTGTGTGAATAATGGAACGTGTCAAGATGGCGTCAACTCGTACGTATGCCTCTGCGTTCCTGGCTTCCAAGGCCCAAACTGTGAAGTCGACATCGATGAATGTGCGAGCAACCCTTGTCAGAATTTGGCAAGGTGCATCGACTCCCAGAATCACTTCATATGTGAGTGCGTCGCAGGCTTCAACGGCTCGCGCTGCGAAACGAACATAAATGAGTGCGCAAGCAACCCATGCCTAAACGGCGGACAGTGCACCGACCACATTAACGCCTTCAACTGCAGTTGCATAAGCGGCTTCATCGGGGACCATTGCGAGACCGATGTCGACGAATGCCAGAGCTCCCCCTGCGAGAACAACGCGACTTGCCTGGACTTGCTAGATGGCTACAACTGCCTCTGCCCACCAGGGTTCAACGGTACCCACTGCGAGACCGACATTCAGGAATGTGCCAGCGATCCGTGCATGAACCAAGCAACTTGTATGGACATTGTGAATGGTTTCAGATGCGATTGTACGCCAGGCTTCACAGGTGATCAACTCAATGAGTCTTACTTGGTGTTTCATGGTCCATCAGATTTAACTTTTTCAAACTGCCTTCTGCTGTCTAGTATCTCCTTTTGACTTAAAATTGATTCTTCACAGACAGAAACTTCTTCCTTTTTTTTTTCAATTCTCTCTGGTGTCTCCATCTTTCTCAGTGGCCTCTGCAGCTCATTTGTTCTGCCCTTTTGTCACATAAAACAATTTTGCTCATTCTGTTTATCTTTCATTTATTATGCTGTTTAATTCCATTGGTACCGGTCGTCAGTGTTATATTTATCAAACTGTTGTCATAACCACCATTGCCCAGTATCACCATTACTCAACATTACCAAAATCACCGCCATCACCCCCCATTACCAAAATCACCGCCATCACCCCCCATTACCAAAATCACCACCATCAAATCACCATTACCAAAATTACCTCTCTCACCTCTTTTGATACCTTTCATATCACCATTTTCATTGTTATCAATAGCATCATTATCACATCATTGCTGTAAATACCTTTGCTATCATGGCTATGGCTGATGTATTTTATTTTTCAATGTAAGCTGATTATTTTATTTATGGAAAATATTTATTGATGTAAAATTTTCTCAAAATATGCTTAAGTTGCTTCCATAAAGCAGTTTATTTGCACAAGTTTTTATTTTGTGTTGTATTATTGAAAAAAAAATATGTAGATTCACCAATACGGGTATAGCATAATCTGAACTTGATAATCTTAGGTTGGTACGTAATCTACATTTTTCCCCCTTCATGTCAAAGGCATCTTCTGTGAAACAGACATCAATGAATGCAGTAGTTCACCATGCATGAATGGAGCGACCTGCCAAGATCTGATCGACGAATACCGTTGTGTCTGTCCTCTCGGTTTCTATGGCAACAATTGCCAGAATGAGACTGACGAATGCGTGAGCGACCCCTGTCAGAATTCCGCCGTTTGCATGGATGGTGTCGCCACATACACGTGTGCGTGCGTCCCTGGATACACTGGCATAAACTGCGAGACTGAGGTACAGGAATGCATCAGCAACCCGTGTCAGAATAACGCAACGTGCCTTGAAGAAATCAACGGCTTTATGTGCATTTGTCCTGACGGCTATGATGGCGACCGCTGTGAGAATGACATCGATGAATGTGCTTCGAACCCTTGCTTGAATAATGGAACGTGCCAAGATGGGGTCGGCATGTACGCTTGTCTGTGTCTACGGGGTTACAAAGGTGATAATTGCGAGACTGATATCGATGAGTGCGCGAGCTACCCTTGTCAGAATTCTGCCACTTGTCTGGACTTGGTGGACCGCTTCGTGTGTGACTGTGTCCCAGGCTACGAGGGCCCACTCTGTGAGACCGATACAAATGAATGTGACAGTAACCCATGTTTGAACAGCGGGCGTTGCGTCGACCAGCTCAACGCCTTCTTCTGTAGCTGCGTGACGGGTTTCACTGGCGAACGTTGCGAGATCCCAGTCAACGAATGTGAGAGTGACCCTTGCGAGAATGGCGCGACGTGCCAGGACATCTTCAATGGCTACATCTGCCAGTGCGTCTCTGGGTTTTCGGGGACGCACTGCGAAGTGGACATCCCAGAATGCAGCAGCAGCCCGTGTCTTAATGGAGCAACATGTGTGGATCTGGTTAACAGCTACAGATGTGACTGTGTGGCCGGCTATGCAGGTGACATCGTGTGCAGTGCTTTGAAATACTCATTTGGTGGAGGAAAAAATTTGCACCATATTTTAAGATTTGTTTTCTTTTCAGCCTCTAACATGTGGCACTTTTGAATTTTTGCACAGTCATTAATACTTAATCATTCCATTGCAGAAACAATAAAATATCTTTTACTAATAACTTTCTGGTGTGTTTCTTTATTTTGACTTTTGAGTGAACACCACTTATCTCCGTCTTTTACGTGCACCAATTTTTTCCTTTAAATTTCACCATTGCACATTGTGCACATTCACTTTATGTTGCTGAGTCAATCACAAGTCATCACCCAGTTTCAAGTCAAGATATTTCAACTTTGCCAAAGGCATTTCTTTGTCACTGTTAGTACATGTAGCTTGTAATATGTAATTTTACTTGTTTATATTGACTTGTGATTAACTCAATTGCCATTAACTTGATTTCAACTGTTCCTCAAAATTTAGCCAATTCATAACTTGATGATGAACAATAAATCTACATTTTTGAACATGATGCAATTTAATGACAACATTTCTTGGTATTGCTTTGACCTTTAGCTTGAACTATTGAGTAACATTTCTGCCTGAGAAACAGCCGTGTCATACTTCACTTGAATGGCAGAATGGAAATGCCAAGTGAATTTGAAGTCACTAAACTTTTGCAGCAAAATTCGCCAAAGTTGAAATGTGTTCAACTTCTGCGAATTCCCTGCGTGAAAAATTGCCATGACATCTCAAATTTGCATTCGCGTTTACTTTCGTGCAAGTATGAAACATCCTTAACACGTAAGCATTCTACTGAATGCACAATCTCATGGCACGACACAAAGTTGATTGCAGTAATTGCATCTAGTTATATTTAAGCCTTACACGTATAGAGGACCCAGGCAAACTTGTTGGTTGAGTGGTTAAGACATCTGCACTATAAAGCAGGAGGTCGAAGGTTCAAGTCCAACCAGAGTTAGCTTGTGAATTTGTTTTCCTGTACAAGCCCTTGGACAGCACTATATGTATACAGCACTGATCAAATTACTTGGTGGAAGGCAAAGAAACAATCATGCTTTGGTGAGGTCAATGTGTTAAAAGCCACTCATGTTTGATCAACTTAAGCTCATATTTATAGCAGCGCAAACGTGATACGATTTTGTTGCCTTCTGAAAAATCTTCTCTTTTTTTGTATTACATGATTTGATTCACACTTTTTAAGCTCTGGCAGGAGGATCTACATGTCACTTGGTGCAGTCGGTCTGTCTGTCTGTTTGTCTGTCTGTCCCCCAAAATTAACTAAAAGTATGGTGTTTCATGTGCCATCGGCGTCGCGCATTTTTCAGTGTCACATTTTTCAGCTCTGGCAGGGATCACTTTGATCGATTTCAGGCAAGACTTTCATGCAAGACTTCTTGCAACACAGCAAGAGCTTATTGTGCACTTGCACTTGTTTCTTTTTCTGTTATTATAGATTTTGCACCCTTTCTTGTCATATATTTTGTGTATCTCACTGAACCATCATTATTTCTGGTTTACATCATGCCTGCACCCTAATTTCTAAAAATACACAAAAGAGTTGAGTATCATGCATTCTTAAAGTGGTATTGGATAACTTTTGATGGACTTGTGAGAACTTGTGATCGATCATTGGCACCTCTACTACAACGGTTACAAAAGGCTGCATAGAATATGCTGTTCACGGTTTTGAGTGTGTTCTTTCACTAGGAGACAACTGTGAGACAAACATAGACGAGTGTGCGTCCAATCCCTGCCAGAACGGAGCCACGTGTCAGGACGGCGTCAACAGATATGAGTGCACTTGTGTGACTGGCTACAATGGGACCAACTGCGAGGCAGAGATAGACGAATGCGCCAGCACCCCGTGCATGAATGAGGCTTTCTGTTCTGATTTGCTGGATGGATATCGTTGCACCTGTCAGCCAGGATTTACAGGTGAGAGTATTACATATAAACTTGATGCGATTCTAGGTATACAACCTCTGAAAACAGATTGAAGATGAAAACAATAATGATACCTACGAGTTACTTTGAAATGTATAACGCCTAGATGATTCTTGTCAGAAAGATCTGTTATTCAATGGTGAATGATTTTTTGGAAAGCAGATGATTAGCACAAACGTTTCGGAAAGAAGTGGATGCTTCAGATCTGAATTTTGTAATGGGCTCCACGCACAAGTACCCACTTAACAGTAAGAAAAAATTAGAAAAATTGTTGAAGTAATTATTTTTTGTTAATACATTTTATCAGGGCTACAGTGCGAAGTCAACATCGACGACTGCGTGGGCGTGGTCTGCACCAACGGCGCCACCTGCCTGGACGGAATCAACACCTACACCTGCGTCTGCCCAGCAGGCTTCACCGGTGCCCTGTGCAACGTGGAGATCAACGAATGCGACTCCACGCCGTGCTTGAACCAGGGGACGTGCACAGACCTACTGGCCGGTTACCGGTGCGACTGTCTGGTGGGGTTTGCAGGGGACCAGTGTCAGACTAATGTCGACGATTGCGCAAGCAGCCCTTGTCAGAATGGAGGTAAGACTTGGATCACATTGTTGTAAGACTCACTTTTATTATGTAATTTGTGACATCACGGCAAGTTTTCGCTCGGCAAATTTGCAAAACATATTTCAACAAAGAATGTTTTGTGATGTCATATTCGTTTGGAGTTCACATTAGAACCGGCCTTTATACATATTTATGAACCAAATGCACCTTTCTCATTGGTTGATTTCCCAACCTTTCAGGGAACTTAAAGTACCTAACTCGAGCATACATGCAGTGCGCATAGTACTGCCAAACTGGTCAGTTGTATGCACTTTCCCCTAGGTTTGTAGACTCCAAACTTTACAACAGTGGTGATCGCAATTCCGGCTGTTTGTGATACCGTACTAAAATCTTGACAATTGACCAATTGTGCTCTGTGTAATTATTAAAAGCATTTTATGGAAGGAAAACAAAGATTTTTCAACTTCCTAATTCTGTTTGTAACGAAGCTAAATTTGTATGAGGTATAAAAAAAGCACAACTTGGTTTATTTTGTGGAAGAAAAAAGAATTAAAATACTAGTCCCTCAGTGTTGGCTGATTTGAAATACGATGAAACATTACACAGTCCCCAAAAAGGAGAAGTAACATCAATAAACTTCACTCTAAATTTTGTTTCTATTATGCAACCCAGGTACATGTGTTGACCTTTTGAATGCCTACCGGTGTGACTGCCCGGATGGGTTTGGCGGTATTCACTGTGAGATAGACGGTGACCAGTGCGTGCCCGATCCTTGTATGAATGGAGCCACATGTGTTGACCTAGTCAAAGATTACAGGTGAGGGACTCAACTTCATTCCTCAATCCGCTCTGTTCACAAGTACCCCCTCACCGGCAAAGGAAGTACAGTTGGGGGTGACCGACCGACGCCATCTTGCCTGACTGCAATTCATTTGCCGCGAAGTGCGGCCAGTGCGTGTACATAGTACAAATCCCCTGGTGTACGTGCGTCACACACAAGGAACGGTGCGCGTCAACCAGCAAAATGTCCCGCCTATGGAACGTCGTTGTTAGGTGAAAGGGCGCCCTCTTTTGGTAGCGCACGGAGCTCATACAGCAGAACTTTGATTTGAAGGCATTTATTGTGACATCGAATGAGTTCTACCCTGTAAAGACAGATAACATTTTTTTACATATACATGTATCATGTATAAATCAGTACAAGCCACAATATGCTGTGATTGTGTTTTACACATCGTAAGCGAAACCAGAAGTAGAACAGGTCAATTTACATCATTCACTTGGCAATACCACAAATATAGAGATCGTCGTAAATATTCATGAGAATTACAAGAGACTGGAAACTTCTCCCAGCATCTGTGAGAACAGCCACTCACTCAGATTATTCAGAAAACAGCTTTAAGAAATGAAACCTTCAATTTTCGAAATACGAGCTCAGTAAATCCTTCCGAACTACAAGCTTTACATTTGAGAGGGATTTGGTAGTCTTTATCCAGTTCAGTATCCCCCCTATTCTCCCGAGATGGGAAAGGCAGGCTAGGACACACGCATTAAGAACTTCAGGACCAACTGCTCCCAGCCAACAGATGCTTATTAGCATTTCAAACACTGAGTGGTCAACAAGTAAAATGTGATGTATGTTATTTTTTTTCACACGCATGACATTGATAATTCCCTCCATGTTATTTATTATTTTCGGCAGATGTGAATGCACGGCTGAATTCAGCGGAACAAACTGTGAAACAGACATCATTGACCAGTGTGGCAGCAACCCTTGCCTGAATGATGGTATGATCCAATTTAGACCTAGGCCACGTTCAACTGTTGCATAGATCTGTGGCAACTACAGCTAAAAATGTTGGAGTAGCTAAAGCTGACAGTAGATGCCCATTTTTGATATGGCCTTACATATAATTCAGAGATGCCAACCATTACTCTTTTGGAGTAATTATTAGGATTTTGAGGCATGTTACTACTCTTGAAAATTCCAGCTGTCCTATATGCCAACATTGTGGTTACTCTGACAAGTACTGTGGTTACTCTTAAACTTGACTGTTGTCCTATGTATTACATTAGCATTACTCTTTGCAGGAAGAATAATTACCATTTTGTAGTCTGTAAACTTGGCATCTCTGTATAATTGACAAAAACTATGTGTGTTTCTACAGTTTATACAAATGTAGGCCTACCATATTCCCATCAAATGCTAGCAACGTTCACCATTTCCCACGAAAATCTTCATCGGGCTGCTGTAAAGAATAAACTTGGAGTGAAATGACAGCACAAGAAATTGTCAGTTCCTGTTAAAATGAACACAGAGTCCATATCCCTGAAATGAGTTTAGTCTGAGAGTTGACGAGAAAGTGGTGCCTATTTTTTCTGCAGTGCTATCTTTATATCTTTGGGGAGTCAGGTTGGCATACTTGGTACTTTCCTCGCCTTCCGCCGCTGTGACCCGGGTTTGATTCCCGCCTGGGCTAACATGTGGATTGGGTTTTCAGTTACCTGATTCCGTGGGTTTCCCCAGAATATTCTTTTGGGGTTTTCCTCCCCCCTCTAAAACTGTAATTGCTTCTCATTGTCTTCTCTCTAACATGTCTAAAGGTTTCCTCAGGCTTGCGAGCTACAGTGCCTAGGGCACTTTTGGGGAATCCTTGGTTTCAATACCAGAAATAATTAAGGATAATAATAATACTAAATTTGATTGTCTCGACTGTTTTCTCAAGGCACTTGTGAAAACCTGGCCGGGGCTTACCGATGCGTCTGCCGGCCGGAATGGTTTGGCACAAACTGTGAATTGGACGGTGACCAGTGCATATCCAACCCGTGCCAAAACGGGGGTACATGCTTCGACGGCGTGCAGAGGTTTATGTGCATTTGTGCATCAGGATTTGAGGGTAAGAACAAATGTACTTTTTCTTGTGTCCATTTGCATTTGCTATTTAACCTTTATTACAGATTCACATTCATAAGGCCAAAAAAAAAAAGTCTCCGGTTTCTGGTATGCGCGCGCGTCGCCGTAGCCATGCACGTCGGCAAAAGGAAAAAGGTTTTTTTTCAATGAAAGATGATGTCTCAAAACCGCCGAACTCACTGGTTTGACTGGAATCCTGCTGCTGCACAATTTTAACGTGTTTTTAGATTGGGTTATGGTCGAGAATAAGCTTTATGTGGCCTCTCTGGACTAAGTTTAGTCGGGCACCATTTGCAGTCATCAGCCGACATTTGAAGCAAAAAAATCAGGTAAAAAAAAAAAAAAAAAAGCCGCGTCGCCGCACCACTTTTTGGGCAAGCTCCATACCAGAAACCGGAGACTTTTTTTTTTTTGGCCTAAGCAAACACACCATGCTTATTGGTCAATATTTTGAAAGAAAGACTTTGAGGAAAGCCTTGGATTCAGATTCAAGTCAGTGTCCTGTTGTGAATGTGTGCTCATATTAACGTCATCGTTTTGATCAAATACTAAAATACCAGTGATTGTCAAAAAATAAAGTGCTTAGACAACACTTTTAGTTTTTTAGTCATAATACAACCTTTTGTACTTTTTGTCAGACACGTACAGAAATGCCTAGAGTCTGTTGGTAAACATATGGTAAATGATACAAAAAATCTTAGGATTTGATATTGTGACTTTTGTGATTTGTGATGCAATGAAGCTAAATGAGTCGTTTGTTGGCCCTTTTTTTTTTTTTTTTTTACATTTTTGAATATAGCTATCTTTCATTATTTAGCTATCTTTCATTTTATATTTGCTGAAAACCCCATGTGAATACGACCTTCCGTTCAGAAGTTATGGGACTTAGAACACAGGCAGATCAGAAAGAAGAAAACAGAGAAATCAATGATTCAAAATTGAAGTGTTTATCATGTTTATTAAGCAACAATAAACATGCTTTATTTCAGGTTATTGAATATTTACTATTCAGCAAAAATGTCACATTTAACTACTTTTGTTGATAGTTTTTCTCAGAAAAAAAATTGAAATGAAAGAGGACATACATGTGTATGTAGCCTTCCAGTTTTACAAAAAAAAACAATATTGAAATTTCCATCCTTACTGACCTATTTTGGTCTGTTTCTTAAAATCATCATTGCCGACAAACGACTCATTTAGGCGAGCCCTCAAATTAGAATCCCTCCCCGGACCGTTCGGGGTTGAGCCCGCCCAGTATGTTGAAGGGATTGGGACCTGGCATGGAACCGATCGGCCTGGATTAACTCCACCAGGCTTCTGCACCACGGCTCTGGATCATCACAAAGGAACCAACTTGCGACGCGCTAATCCTCCAGTAGTCAACAATGACTGTGATGAGCTTCATAGAAGTTGCCGCTGGTAATCCCAGTGGGCCGAATAATCCTCCAACAATGGCCAGACTTCAATTTATGTTGCCTATTGTGAAACCCTGAGTAACCAGTTTGGACCGATTGGGGCGTCACGCTTCAGTGACCGGGTGGCTTCTGGCTTTGTACCGATTGGGGTGAAAGAAATTAGCATACCGGACCCGGTACCCGAACGGTCTGTTATCTGATGGCTCGCCTTAGCTTAATCGCATCACACTTGTTGTGGGAGCAATTCCCAATTATTACTATTTTTTTTTGTCACCCATGTCAGGGGTACAGTGTCAAGTGAACATTGACGAATGTGTCAGTGATCCCTGCGCAAATGGCGCGACCTGCGTCGACGGCAGTAACGGCTACACCTGTGTGTGTGCCGCGGGCTACACCGGTACCCGCTGCGACTCGGAGCTCTTCGAGTGCGCCAGTAACCCTTGCTTAAACGGTGCTGCGTGCCGGGACCAGGTTGGCGGCTATGACTGCATTTGCCAGGTTGGTTTCAGCGGGGACAACTGCGAAATCAACATCAATGACTGCGTTGGGAATCTGTGTCAACATGGAGCCATCTGCGTTGATGGTGTCAATAGATATACGTGTGAATGTGCAGAAGGATTTGAAGGATTGTTCTGCCAGGTGAGATGTTCACTTATTTTTGTGTTAGCACCAAAGAATCCTCTGTTAACAGAGGTTTTGCGGTAGCAAAACAATATTCATAAATACCTAAGACAGTTCACTCATTCCTATTGGTTGAGAGCCCATCATTTGGGTGGTTTTAAACGGTTGATACAGCGCCGGCTGGCTGGTTTTATACACTTTCCTGGTGTCACATGAAATTTGGACTCCTTCGAAATCTGGTCCCTTAATACCCTTTTATTGGTTGAACGTTGCAATACTACTAATGAGTCAGTGGGTTGAGTGTCCTGAATTCACACTACACTGGCACCGCCGCGTTCTGCGCCACATGGCCCTTGGTCTTAATTCCCATAAAATACCTTCATGACACGTTCTGAGTGTTGCATATCTGATACTTCCAAGAGCTTTTGTACAAAGAAAGTACATGTATACTAAGGTAAAACAATTACTTGAAAAATCTTCTTTTGTGATGTTTAAACTTTGCAATTATTTCCATTTTTTTTTTAGAATGATATCAATGAGTGTGCCAACAACCCCTGCCAGAACGGGGCAGTGTGCCAAGATCTGTCCGGAGGTTTCTTCTGCGAATGCAACTTAGGCTTTGAGGGGACCCTGTGCGACACCAACACGGACGAATGCGCGTCCGACCCGTGCCAAAACGGTGCCACCTGCGACGATGTCGCAAACGCCTTCACGTGCCGGTGCTTACCGGGATTTGCCGGCCCGCTGTGTGCTGAAAACATAGACGAGTGCGCAAGCGACCCATGCTTGCAATCTGGCACGTGCACCGATTTGGTCAATGGTTACGTCTGTGCGTGCCCGGATGGTTTCCAAGGCGACCGTTGCCAGACGGATATTCAGGAGTGTGTCAGCCAGCCGTGCATGAACGGCGGGGCTTGCGTGGACCTTGTTGCGAGCTACCAGTGCAATTGTCCAGCAGGTTATGCGGGAACCAACTGCGAGATTCAGATCAACGAATGCATTAGCAATCCCTGCAGGAATGGAGGTATTTATTCAGTGCTTTGCTTAGCATTACAGTTACGCTTAGCAGGAAAAGGTGAACTTGCTAGATTCAGATGAATGTGTTTAACCACTTCGTGCCGGGATTATTTTTGCCGAAAAATTTTGATTTTTGCAAAAGGCAAAATTTTCCAGCCAACTTCTGATATACAGCCAAACGCCACAAATACTGATTCACAAGAGTAATTTCAACAGTGTATGTATAATATTTCTTGCCGAAACCTCATATGTTTCAATACTCCAGGGTGTGCACTGGAGCATAAATTGTACAACAATAGGCCGTGCACAACTGTCAATTCACGATCAACACACGGTCCGCCTCCACAGACTTCAGTGACTTTGTGGGTGTGTTACAAAAGATGGAAATATTCATCTGAAAATTGTGACTCCTCTTTTATTTTTTTGCACAGGTCAGTGTCAGGACCTGATAGCAGGCTACCGCTGTGCCTGCCCGTCCAACTACGCCGGCCCGACCTGCGACATCTTCCTAGACGTCTGCTCCTCCAACCCCTGCAAGAACGGTGGCTTCTGCCGCAACACCGGCAACGGCCAGTTCACGTGCACCTGCCTGCCGGGCTTCATCAGCATGCAGTGCGAGCAGGAGGTGAACGAGTGCGAGAGTGCACCGTGTCAGAATGAAGGAAACTGCGTGGATCTGGTCAATGGGTACCAGTGCATGTGTGCTGCTGGCTACCTAGGTAAGTACAGTGGAACATCGCTATACCGAACACCTCTATACCGAACATTCGGCTATACTGAACATCGTCCTTGGCTCCCGATTTTTGTGTACAAAACCAACTGAACATTGTTGTTGAAAACCGTCAACCGAAGAGCGACAGTGGCTATTATTTCCCCAAGGCATAGAAGGGGAAAGCCACCCATCGTTGTAGGTAGTAAGCACCAAACTGTGTAATTACATAATTCAATAGGCCGCATGTGTTCGAAGTCATCTTTCAGTAACTACCACGGTGTGCAGGGTAAAGTTATGAAGGGCGCCTTTTATTGAAAAGTGAGTACCGGAGCACCGGCAGCTTAAAATCGCTATACCGAACGATCGCTATTACGAAGATTTTCTGTGGATCCCCCAATGTTTATTATAGCGGCGCTCTACTGCATTATTAGTTATCCCATGAGCACGAGTGGGACACAGAATAATGAATCGCGTCTGCATCCACCTCGATGACTGTAAACCTAATTGTCATTTAATTTCATTGGTCTGGAATAGCCAGTTTCCAGTGTATAAAAATGACCGTGTATTTGGCATACACATATTGAATAAAATTACCCCTTATGCAAAGTGTTGAATATATAGTGCGCGGTACATGTGTAGGGCCCGCCTGCTTTGCAACAGAGAACTGCAACCGCTCAATCTCCTGTCTGGCAGTAAAGCACACAGTGATCAGTGCGGTGATTTAATTTAGTTTTGAAAAGTAAGTTAAAATCTTTTTGACTTGTTGGCACGATACTGACGTCTTGTCAGTTTTTAACCCCCCTCAGAATACTATGTGTCCTGAGGGGGCTACAAATGACATAGCCCACACCACAGCAGCCAACAATTGTTAAAGGGAATATACATCATTTGCTTTTGCTGTAATTTTCAGAAATGGATGGAATTGGGGGTTTGGAAATATATAGCAAATATAGTTACACTGACTTTTTTGAGGTTTTGGGTTCGAAAATGCTATAAAAACCAAGAAAAACAATCATTTTCCTGTAGTCTGGTTCCTTGACTCCATATAAGAAGAGACAGAGCAGTTTACATACATTGGGGAATTGTAAAGTCAGGGAACCAGTCTAGCTGGTTCGTACCCGTTCATAGGTTTGTAATCGATTGCAAACAAGTGCGATGGTCAATTGGGGCCAGTATTTGAAAAAAAGCCAGTTTTTTCCAACGCTGATCGGCCGATCAGCGTTGGAAATTGATACAAAAATACCACTTTTCTTGAAAATGACAGTATACCAGGTGCCATGATTTTACAGGATGCTTTACACTGTCATTCACTAACAGTCCAGCAAGGTATTTCAAAATGATTTGGTAGTTTTATTTTTTGATGTTTGCAAATGTTGTATTTTCCCTTTAAGTATACACTAGACTGGAGACTCAATTTCATATCATGGAATGGGTTTGCTTCAGGTAGTGGTGAAGCTTTGCTTATATCGTAAGCATATACATGTATCGTAAGCATATACAATGTTACCCTAAATTCTGTTTTGTTATTCTGTCAAGTTTGAAGTCATCTTCTTTTAAAAAAAAATTGGTTCTGTGTTTGTGTGTGTCTGTAAATCCAGGCAACAACTGTCAGCTTGAAATCGACGAATGCCTGTCAAATCCCTGTCTGAACAGCGGCACCTGCACCGACGCAGTCAACGGATACACCTGCGCATGCACCACCAACTGGGCCGGCACCACGTGCGAGATGCAGTCGCGCTGCGTGAACAACCCGTGCCAGAACGGCGCCGTCTGCAACGAGCCGGCGGGCGGAGGGACCGGGAACGCCGTCTGTATTTGTCTGGATGGTTTCACAGGGGGGTTGTGTGAAATCGACGTTGATGACTGCGTGGGGAACCCTTGCGGAGGACAAGGTACGGGTACAGTGACTGACAGTAACATGCTCGAGAAAATTATTTATTGGCTGGAGTGTTTTTGGAAATTGTAAAGTGGGTAGGGAGCTGCGAAGGGGCTGAGCAAACTCTAACACTGGTTGCCACTGTTCGTGGTAGGAACTAACGTACATAGGTGAATTTCACGGCCTTCCCTGTGTAGTTTTTATTGTTGGCTTTATAACAAATTTACATTTGAAACACTGTTTTATAGTAAGAGAGGGGTTCTAAAGGAAATGTACATTTGCAATCATCAAAAAACAAAACCAAATTATTATGAAATACCTTACTGGACTGTTAGTGAATGACAGTCTAAAGCATCCTGTGAAATCATGGCACCTTGTGTGCTGACTTTTTCAAGAAAAGTGGTATTTTTGTATCAATTTCCAACGCTTTGGAAAAACCTGACTTTTGTTTCAACTACCGCCCCCAATTTTATATACGAAATATATTCAGTCCACATTTTGTTTGCAATTGGTTACATTCCGTGAACAGGTGCAATCCAGCTAGACTGGTTCCTTGACCTTACAATTCCCCGACGTCTTTAGTTCTGTTTCATCTTAAAGGGGTTAGGAAACCAGAGAACAGGAACATGATTATTTTCTTGGTTTTTCCAGCATCTACGAACACAACACTTCAAAAAAGTCAGTGAAACAATTTTTGCTATAAAATACTAACACCCAAAACCATTCATTTTGGAAAATTACGGGAAAAGCAAATGTTGTATATAAACTTTTCAGACCTTTCTCCTTCCCTTTGTGTCACACAACCTTACACGTGCAGTTTGAAGAGTAATTGCATTGTTTTCCTTTTACTTACTCTTCTCAGTAATCCCTCAGACTGAGTTCAGTCCAATAGAGCCTGACTTTCCTTGTCTATTGGTACCTACTTTTCTTTTCGCAGGAACCTGTGTTGATGGTGTTAACAGTTTCACGTGCGAGTGTGCATTTGGATATGCTGGTGATACGTGTAATGAGGTGAGTAAATATGCTTGCTGCAGATAAAACCAGCAATGCATATCAGTGAACATTTTGGCTGGCAAGTTGTTTTGGCTTAGCAAATGTGTTCTATGCCTGTTTTTACATGTAGTAGAATCATGGAATTTGCTAAAGGTCCTTTAAATGAAGACTATATTTTGATTGTTACTGTATTGTCAATTGATTGTGATGTTACTTAGATTCCTTTTTTTTAATTTCTTCCTCTGTTTCGCAGTACGTTGATGTATGCAGTCCCAACCCGTGCAAACACGACAGCTATTGTTGCCAAATCGGCGTGGTTGGCTGCCCGCCCTTGTCGCCGGGCCAACGCCAGTGTTTCTGCGTGGACGGCTTCAGCGGCGACATGTGCGAGATTGAGATCGACGCCTGCATCGCCTCCAGTGAGCCCCCTTGCGCCAACAACGGACAGTGCATCGACCTGCGGCAGGGTTACCGCTGCGTCTGCCAGACCGGTTTCACCGGTGCCCGGTGCGAGAACGACATCCCTTGTACACCGGATCCCTGCGTTAACGGTGCCTGTCAGATTATTGGTACGGGGTACCAGTGTGCTTGCAACCCTGGCTGGACAGGGCTGAACTGCAACGTCCAGATCACGCCCTGCGACAGTCAACCGTGCATCAACGGAGGGCAGTGTTCCTTCACCGGCGATCAGTACACCTGCGATTGCGGACTGATGTACACCGGCATCAACTGCGAGACACGGATCACACCTTGCGACAGCAGCCCCTGCCTGAATGGGGGTTTATGCCGCGTCCAAAATGACGTCTCGTATGAGTGCCTCTGTATGCCGAATTACATAGGGGAACGATGTGAGACTGAGGTACTTCCTTGCGACAGCTCTCCGTGTCTTAACAACGGCGTCTGCCGGAATCAAGGGAATTCTTACGCTTGCACCTGCCCTAGCGGCTTCACTGGTGTTAATTGCCAAATGCAAATCTTGCCGTGCGACATCCAGCCTTGTATCAGTGGAACTTGCATCAACGTCGGCGACACCTACACCTGCAATTGCCCACAGGGCATCACTGGCCAATTCTGCGAGAGCACGGTAGCGCCGCCGCTGCCGTGCGACACAAACCCCTGCCTGAACGGTGATTGTCAGAACGTTGGCGACACGTTCTTCTGCAACTGCAACGACGGCTTTACAGGTCAGAGTTGTGAGAGCACAGTCCCTCCACCACTGCCTTGCGACTCTAACCCTTGCTCTAATAACGGCCAGTGCATGAACGTGGTCGATGCTTACACGTGTGTCTGTAGTGGTAGTTTTACCGGCCAGAACTGCGAAAGCACTGTCCCGCCACCTTTGCCTTGCGATTCTAGTCCGTGCTTTAGCGGCCAGTGCACAAATACAGGCGATTCATACGTTTGCATTTGTGACGCTGGTGTTACAGGCCAAAACTGTGAAAGCACCATTCCCCCGCCCCTACCCTGCGATTCCAACCCCTGCTTAAATGGCCAATGCGTCAACGTTGGCGACGCTTTTTCTTGCATATGTGACGAAAGCTTTACAGGCCAAAACTGCGAAAGCACTATCCCGCCTCCCCTACCGTGTGAATCAAATCCCTGCATTTCTGGCCAGTGTGTCAATAACGGCGATTCGTACACTTGTGTTTGTCAGGAAAACTTCACCGGACAAAATTGTGAGAGCACTGTCCCCCCACCCTTACCATGTGCGTCAAGCCCCTGCGTGAATGGTCGATGTTTTGACAATATGGATTCATACGTGTGCATCTGCGATGGAGGTTTTACCGGCCAAAACTGTGAAAGCACAATTCCACCACCCTTGCCTTGCGACGAAAATCCTTGTGCTAACGGCCAGTGCGTGAACACTGTCGATTCGTACACTTGTATTTGTGATGAAAACTTTACTGGCCAAAATTGTGAAACGACCATTCCCCCGCCTTTGCCCTGTGACTCAAACCCTTGTGTTTCTGGCCAGTGTATAAACAATGGTGACTCGTACACTTGTATTTGTGGCGAAAATTTTACCGGCCAAAATTGTGAAAGCACTATCCCACCGCCACTACCATGCGACTCAAATCCTTGTGTTAATGGCCAGTGCATGAACAGTGGCGATTCATTTACATGCATATGTGGTCAAAATTTTACCGGCCAGAACTGTGAAAGTACGATCCCACCGCCGCTACCATGTGACTCAAATCCTTGTTTTACTGGCCAATGCTTAAATGAGGGCGATTCGTACATGTGCATTTGTGAGCAAAACTTCACCGGCCAAAATTGTGAAACCACCATACCTCCACCCCTACCTTGTGATTCGAATCCTTGTTTCAATGGCCAGTGTTTGAATAATGGAGATTCGTACATCTGCCGTTGCGACCAAAACTTCACCGGCCAGAATTGTGAGAGTACAATCCCGCCACCTCTACCATGTGACTCAAACCCTTGTGTTTCTGGCCAGTGCTTGAATAATGGAGATTCGTACATCTGTCGCTGCGATCAAAACTTTACAGGCCAAAACTGTGAGAGCACGATCCCACCGCCACTACCCTGTGACTCAAACCCTTGCGTTAATGGCCAGTGCGTGAACAGTGGCGATTCCTTTACTTGCGTATGTGGCCAAAATTTTACCGGCCAAAATTGTGAGAGTACTATACCACCGCCACTACCCTGTGACTCCAACCCTTGCATTAATGGCCAGTGCGTGAACAGTGGCGATTCCTTTACTTGCGTATGTGGCCAAAATTTTACCGGCCAAAATTGTGAGAGTACTATACCACCGCCACTACCCTGTGACTCCAACCCTTGCATTAATGGCCAGTGCGTGAATGCTGGTGATTCGTTCACATGCATTTGTGGCCAAAATTTTACGGGCCAAAATTGTGAGACTACCATCCCACCGCCCCTGCCATGTGACTCCAATCCTTGTGTGAATGGCCAGTGCGTGAACGGTGGTGATTCATTCACATGCATTTGTGGCCAAAATTTTACCGGCCAAAATTGTGAGAGTACCATCCCACCGCCTTTACCTTGTGACTCAAACCCATGTGTTTCTGGACAGTGCATAAATAATGCTGATTCGTACATCTGTCGTTGCGACCAAAACTTTACCGGCCAAAACTGTGAAAGCACGATACCACCTCCCCTACCATGTGACTCAAATCCTTGTGTTTCTGGCCAGTGCATCAATAACGGCGATTCGTACATTTGCAATTGCGACCAAAACTTCACTGGCCAAAACTGTGAGAGTACGATTCCACCGCCCCTACCCTGTGACACAAACCCTTGTGTTAACGGCCAGTGTGTGAACAATGGTGATTTGTACACCTGTATTTGTGACCCCAATTTCACCGGCCAAAACTGTGAGAGTACAATCCCACCACCTCTACCATGCAACTCAAACCCTTGCTTTACCGGCCAGTGTGTCAACAACGGTGATTCGTACATTTGCATCTGCGATGTCAACTTTACCGGCCAAAACTGTGAGAGCACTGTTCCGCCGCCGTTACCATGTGACTCCAATCCTTGTATTAACGGACGATGCTTGGATGACACAGACTCTTATCTCTGTATCTGCAATGACGGTTTCACTGGCCAGAATTGTGAGAGTCCCATCCAGCCGTCCATGCCGTGCAACTCAAATCCTTGTGTTGCCGGCCGGTGCTTTGATAACGCCGACACCTACCTTTGCGTCTGCGACGAGAACTTTGTCGGCCAGAACTGCGATAGCACCGTTCCCCCTCCCCAGCCCTGCGATTCAAGCCCGTGCTCGAATGGCCAGTGCGTGAATGCCGGTGACTCGTACATGTGTGTGTGCGACGAGAATTTTACCGGCCAGGACTGCGAAACCACAATCCCGCCGCCGTTACCTTGCAGTTCCAATCCCTGCTCCAGTAATGGCCAATGCATGAACCAAGCCGGTGCTTTCGTGTGTGTCTGTGATGCTGGTTTTACAGGTGTGTACGTGTAGATGTTGTCGTGTTTTCTGTCCTGGGCTCAATTTCTGCAAAGTGGAAAAGTGCTTAAAAACCTGGGCCCAATTTCATGGCCCTGCTTATAGCGTGGGTGAATTATCCCTGCTTACGGAAGAAGAAAATTCCGTGCTTACGGTAAGCGCATTTCACGGGTTAGCGAGGATGTTTGGCTTATGCGATTCTACGCTTACTGGGTCAGCGCAAAATATTTCTGCTGGTGCTGTTAGCACAGAAAGGTGATTGTAAGCACAGAATTCTGTGATTATCAGCGCCATGAAATTGGGCCCTGCTCAGAAAATGTATGTGCTAAATAAAAATCAGCAGCATACCAGTCACAAGCCATATAAATCTTGTTATGTTTGGCTGGTGACCAGTTTTTCTGAGCAGCTGTAAACAGCTATCCAGTTCAGTACTACATGTATATCTCTGGCATGCAAAGCTACAGGGCCCAATTTCATGGAATCCGTAACGCCGAATTTTGTGCTAACCGAGCTAGCACAAAAATTCTGTGCCAACCTTGTAAGCACAGAATCCTTAGTTACGGGAAGTACGCATGCGCACAAGCCAAAATTCCCTGCTAACCCGTGAAATACGCTAACCGTTAGCGGTGATTTCTCGCTAACCGTTACGGGTTCCATGAAATTGGGCCCAGGTCTCATCTATTCTCTGCTCAGATTATTCCTTTGCTTAGCTCTATCATATTGACCCAGTTTTCTTAAACCGTTTGCAGTTTAACATACCCACTTCACTTCATTTTATTCATTTCAATATATGAATATGTTCAGTCATGTAGAAATTACATAAAAAGATAAAAAGATATTTGACATACACAGCGAGTTAATAATCAGCAAATTAAATGACAACATTTAGCTATAAGGTTAAGTAAAACACTTTGTGCATTCCTATAAATGTTTTCCAAGCGCTGAAATATAGCAATCTATAAGTCTATTGGTTTATAATTTGATTTTCAAAACATATTCAAAAATCTCTGTGATGAAGATAGACACTGTGAGGCCTGATTCAAATACTGATTTTTATTTGTTCAAATGGAATTGCCTATTATTAGATGCCAGAGGGTATGTTAAACTGAAAAATTGATGTGATTTGTTGATTTTGATTAAACTTGCAACTTTTATTGGGCCAATTTATTCAAATCAAACCTACCCCCCCCCCCAAAAAAAGGGCAAAACCTAATTTGAACAAGAAGGGCAAAACCTAATTTGAATAAAAAATAATTTAGGTGAGTTTTGGCTTTTGACTCGTGTTGCATTTGCACCCTTTTAATGCATGTGTGTTGCTTGTTTAAACTCTGCTGCATGTTGGAATTCATTCAACAATAATTGTTTATAACTCATCATTCAGTTTTTGAGTCTTTCTACTTTTCTGTGCAACAATCCAGGTCAGACTTGTGAATCGTCCATTGAGCCATGCACCAGCAATCCATGCCAGAACGGCCAGTGCTTCAACATGCCGAACGCGTACCGTTGCGTCTGCGACGCGGGCTACACCGGCGTGAACTGCGAAATCCCCCCATCGGCTCCGTGCGCCAGCAATCCATGCCTGAGGGGGCAGTGTACGGAGGCGAATAATGCGTACACGTGTCAGTGTGTTGATGGCTACAGGGGCGTGAACTGCGACATCCCCCCGCCGGCGCCGTGCGATAGTAACCCCTGTCTGAACAACGGCCAGTGTGCAGAAGCGAATGGAGCTTATACATGTGGCTGTTTGAATGGTTACACCGGTGTGAATTGTGAAATCGCGCCTCCCTTACCGTGCGCCAGTAACCCCTGCGTGAACGGACAGTGCCTGAACCAGCCAAGCGGCTACCGGTGTGTCTGCGACACCGGCTACACTGGCGTCAACTGCGAGATAGCTCCGCCAACCCCTTGCGCAAGCAACCCGTGCCTCAATGGTCAGTGTACGGAACAGAACGGTGCCTACGTTTGTACGTGCACGGACGGATACCGGGGTGTGAACTGCGATATTCCCCCGCCTTTGTCGTGCATCAGCAACCCGTGCTTTAACAACGGCGTTTGCGTAGACACGACAAACGCGTACACCTGCCAGTGCGTTAATGGCTACACCGGGGTCAACTGCGAAATTCCGCCAGTAACACCTTGCAGTAGTAACCCATGCTCCAACAACGGTTTATGCGTAGACACGAATAACGGGTATACTTGCCAGTGCGTCAACGGCTACACCGGAGTAAACTGTGAGATCCCCCCACCGACCCCCTGCGACAGTAACCCTTGCGTTAACGGTCAGTGTATGGAAACGGGCAATGGCTATACATGCCAATGTAACAACGGTTTTAGCGGAGTCAACTGTGAGTCCACTGTCGCCCCACCCTTAGCCTGCGACAGCAACCCTTGTTTGAATGGCGGAGACTGTAGAAATGGAGTGAGTGGCTTCACGTGCAAGTGCTCAGCCAATTTTGTGGGTGACAGGTGAGTTTGATGTGGTTCACTCTGACATGGAGTTTTTAGTGATGGTAGTTTGAAGCTAACATATATGTGCTTTGTTGAAAAATTCCGTTTAACTAATTAGCATTTTTAATATGCAGTGTGGGGCAGTACAGGAACTTAATAAAGGTTATTGGATTTCTTCCTGGAAGAAAACTGTATTTAGCAAAGAAAAATTTTACAATTTACAACTGTGATGTATGTCAAAATCTGGAGGGTCTGTGAAATGAACATACCTCGCTTGTGGGCTTAATTACAACAGCAATAGCACCAAAGTGTTCTTTAATGTCAGTACTCTTTGCAGTTCACTGCTGATGAAGAACACTGATTTCATAATGATAAAAAGTACTTTATTCCAATTCCAAATTCTTCGTATCCTAAACTCCTTTAGATGTGAGACTCCAGTGGGTAATGCGTGTACCAGTCGGCCGTGTTCCAATAACGGCCTGTGCGAGGTGGTTCAGCTGGACTCGTATCAGTGCCAGTGCCAGGCTGGGTTCACTGGGGACCTGTGCCAGGAGGCAATCACAACCTGTGGTCCTGATGTCTGCTGGAATGGTGGAGAATGCTTCGAGGATTATATTGGTAGGAGCAGAGATTTTGTCATGTTGTTGATGCAGTTGTTGTGGTTGTGATGGTTGCTCTAGTTGTGTGGAGAACATGGTTGCGGTAGTTGTTTCTGTGGTAATAGTGTTTTTTATGGTGTTGTGTTTGTTGTGGTCACTGGTTTTACATACCGGTAGTTGTTGTGGTTGTGGTTATCGATGCTGTTGTAGTGGTTATTATGGAGTTGTTACAATTTACAGGTATACATGTTTGTTGTCTTCATTGTGTGATTGTTGTGGAAGTTGTTACTTAGTTGTATTTTTTGTGGTAGTTGTGTTTGTTATGAGCTCTCATTGAAATGGTTGTGATTTCCGCTTACCATTTTTTTTCACCATTATATAGCCATGGGTTTCTTTGTACTTCGCCATTTCTTCTTGGAGTTGTTGAAGTTGTGGTGGTTGTGGTAGTTGAGTTGATTGTGAATACAGTTGTTGTTTAGTTGTAACGGTTGATGTTGATGCTCGTGGTTGTTTTTGTTTGTTGTGGTCGTTATAGTTGTGGCTGTGGTTGTGACGTTGTAGGCAGTAAGTGTGCAGGTTGTGGTTGTGAATCAAATTTCAATTCTCATTATTAAAAAACAGCAAAGGTTGTTTGTGCCACCCAGAACCATTTCAATTCAAATTGGATCCTTTGGATTGTTTTTCAATCATGACTTTTTGTTTTTGCTTTCATCTAAAGGCCCGTTCTGCATCTGTCAGGAAGGATTCACAGGTTCTTGGTGTCAGGTAACTCCTGATGTGTGTTACCCAAACAACCCATGCCAGAATGGTGGCATCTGCTGGAACCAGAACGGACAAGTGAGTTGACATCTAACTAGCACATTCTTTCAAATTCAGTGACCATAACCCTGCATTTGTAAAGACCATTATGGCCAGACTGTAATCAAATCAGGTTTTTCCATTGGCAAATTTGTAGTTAATACAAGTCTCATTGTCTAATTAACATGTTGATTGATCCCCATGCATAAAGGACCATGATAGCCAGGATATAATAAAATTGTGTTTCTCCATGGCCAAATACTTGATGTTGTCTCACTTATGTTGCGATTGACTCTTACAGTAAAGGCCATGATAGCCATAGTATTCTAAAATGTTTCTTTGATTGATGTTTCTTTGATTGATCCCTATGCATGTAGGACCATGATAGCCAGGATATAATAAAATTGTGTTTCTCCATGTGAAATTAAAAAAACAAACATTACAACTTCACGTTGACTCTTTTATATTGGGCTTGACTCCTGGCTTAAAAACAAGGATTGCCAGTGTTATAAAAAACATGTTTCTTTGATTGACTTCAGTGCATGTACCATGATAGCCATGACATAGCAAAATTGTGTTTCTCCATGGCCAAATACTTTTTAAGAAATACAACTTGATTTTGTCTCACTTATGTTGGGTTTGACTCCTGGAGTGCAGACCATGATAGCCATAGTATTATAAAATCATGTTTCTCCACTAGGTTTACTGCGATTGTAAGAGCGGGTTTAAAGGTCCGTTCTGCACTGAGGCTGTCCAGGGATGTGACCCTAACCCATGCACAAACGGGGACTGCATTGAAGATAGCGGGGGTAACTTCCAATGCAGGTACAAAACAAAGTTGCGAGATATTTTTCAAAAATTACAGACTTCTTGTAACAATATATCTGTGCAGTTTATTGTAGCACTGTCTATATCTTTTTGTAGTTCTAAGGAGTGACTCAAAAAGAAGGAGTTCAACAGATTCTCATGTACAGTGTGCTCTTTTCGTCTAAGGAAAGATGAATACTTGAAAAGTTTATTTCAAACAACCAACATATCCATTTGAAAAACGATGAAAATTTTGCACGGTTATATAACTTTAAAGATTAACAACAGTATAGCAGCCGTTTCTAAACTTCATTTTTCGCCTAATGGTATTCCTAAGTTGTGTTTCAGTATATAGCAGCCGGCGAAATTGCTTTGACGCAGCAAGGAGGTAGCAGGATTCTAAGAGGGAACAAAATGGCGAAATAAACTCTTCGGTTGTTTCTTGAAAACTTGTTGATGATAAACACGATGAAAAACCTTCTTTGTTCTTTTTGTGGTTTGTTATACGTTATTTGTATTTCGCTTAGTCAAATGGCAAATTTGGTGGGTTTATTTTGTTGGGTGGGGGGGTTGATCTTGTTGCCCAGCGTTAACTTATAGACCATGTACAATTAGGTGGAAGTCATAGTTTTAGTCCAATGCAAACCATTAAGGGATCACAAGTCCCTCACTAGTCATGCAGTCCTAATTCAAGTCACAAGCTATGCAAATGAACTGTGACAAAAGCATTGCTTTGTTACTGTATACTCACTGTTACTTGTGACTGGACTTGTGAAGTGACTTTTGAGTTACCTGTGACCGGACTTGGGATGGATTTTGAGCTTTCATTCTCCATTCTTCTTGTGTCATTCCATGGAGATTGAATTACGCTTGTGATATTCTTCTTTTCAGATGTCCTCCGGGTTTCACCGGCAACCGTTGCGAGGTCGTTGACCCCTGCACCTCCCGGCCCTGCCGTAACGGCGCGACGTGTCGCTCCACCAGCACGGCGTTCACCTGCGACTGCCGGGGAGGGTTCACCGGCGTCACGTGTGAGATGGTGGGTCCCGCCTGCGTCAGTCAACCGTGTCAGAATGGTGGGCAGTGCCAGCCCAACAGCGATGGGTCGTATTCGTGTTTCTGCGTACCAGGTAGGTAGCTATGGTGATTTGATTAAAACAGTTTTGTTGCAAGTATTCAATTCAATTCAGTTGACATTTTAGCACTCTCAAAAAAACCAATACAAAGTTGGATAATATAAATAAAATGCATGCTGTTTTGATGTGGCCAAGGGATACAAAGTTTTGTTTTTCTGGTACATCTAAGAAAATGGTATGGTATGTTGGTCAGGCTAATGATGAAAAAGTTTTTGTTTGTTCTTCTGGAGATGCCCGCTAGGTTGCAGTGGAAATAGGAAAGTTGTTTTGTTTTCCACTTTCTGATTAATAGATCATGAGCTTGCGAGGTGACACAAAGGGATGATATAATTTTAATAATTTTTTGGTTTCTATTGGTTTTTTATACATGTGTGTAATTGTTTTTCGGTAATAATTTGTCTGTTTTTGTGTAATGGTATGCCTGATACAAGCTGTGCTTTCAAGATTTTGCCACCTCTACTGGTCTATATATCTTGTTCAATACTTATATTATTTTTCATTTCTGTCGTGAAGAGGAAACAAATGTGTTTGAATTGAATTTACCAATTCAATTCACTTCAGTGCAACTTTTATTTCTGTTCACCCACAACCTTAACTGAAAATCAAGTAGCATGTACATTGAGAGAAATCAAAGAACATGAAGAAAGACATGTATCGGAAAAAGGAAAAGAAAAAAAACAGAAAAAATATACAGGAAAATTCAATTAATAAATAGCCATAATAAGCCTAGGCTTACTAGGTTGGTTGCTATGGTGATATACCAAATTCTAAACTGCTGCTCGAAGATTGCAAATTTTTAATATTTTCTCATTTAAAATGATACTTGTAGCCTTGATAAACATTGCACATGTACTTGTACATGAGGGATTACTTTTCTTCAATTATTTCCCATCAATTATCGACTGTCGACCTAATTTGCACAATTTAAATATTTTAGTAATAGACCAATAGTTCTTGCTTTATTGTGATTGTTACATTGCAGGATTTGTTGGCGGCCAGTGCCAGTTAAACATCAACGAGTGTCTCAACAATAGCTGCCAGAACGGAGCCATGTGCGTGGACAGGATTAATGGATACACGTAAGTCAGAGCGCAGTGGTCAAATGGTTGCAGTGTTCATGAAGCTTGTGTTCCTGGGCAAGACACTTTACTTCAATTGCCTCGCTCCATCCAGTAATACAGTACCTGTGAGGGTAGTGACCAGGTCGGTGTGATCTTGAGCTTAGCTGCATAAAACTGATTTCATCGACTGTTGAATATGCTGTGAAAATAATAATAAAGTGCTTTGAGACTTTTGTCTGTAGCACTACACATGTCAAGCACCAGGTGATATTTTTATAAAGTCTTTCCTTGTAATATTAGAGCATGCTCCTCATCATGTGTCCAACGCTTTGATTTGTACCTCTGTGAAGATGCAACGCATTTATGTACATTCAGAAGAAAATTGGTCATACAATTCTTGTGAATAAGCCTCACAGAATTGGAGTCCCTACAGGCCTGTCACCAAGGGGGAGCCCAGGGGGTCCATGCCACCCATCGGCAAAAACCATAAGCGTAAAAATTATATTTTTTTCTTTGGGTGTGCCCCCTAGTTTGTACTGTGGCCCCCCTCCCCCAATGCCCGGAGTTGGCAACGGTGCTGAGTCCATAGCCAGCTTGTGGTCAAATTTCTCACTAAGAAACCTAAAAGGCTATTAGGAAGGAAACATTAAGAATAGTTCAATGTTTGGAGAAAATGATTTAAAATTTTAAGGATAATTTATTGTGGTTGTACTTTTTAATTTGTTTCAGGTGTCAATGTGCAGTCGGTTACAGTGGAACTTACTGCGAGAACAGGGACAATTGTGCCACCTCCCCGTGCCTGAATGGAGCGGTCTGCCAGAACACCCCAAATCCCCTCTATGGAACGGCCTACACCTGTTCCTGTGCAATCAATTACGTCGGGGTCAACTGTGAGAGTCGTGACTTCTGTGCCGCAACGCCCTGCCCGGCCGGCGTGGCATGTTCTAATATTGGGAACTCGTTCCTCTGTGATTATTGCTTGGGTAAGTTTTTAGAATGGTCGGAGATTTTGAGCCTTTTGATTTGTGAAAACTTTTGAGGTCTGTAAAATAAAATCATGTGCGGGATGTTTCTGCATGTATTTGATGCAGTCCTGCGAATACCATTTGAACCCTAATTTCTTTAAATCTGCAAAGAATAACAAGCCTGATTTGTTGAAGTACAGTTTGAATTTTGGAAAATTCAGGAAACTTCACAGCAATCTTGCCTAAGGGAGTTGGGGTTAAATTAGTTTACTCTAAAAATGAACTTTTATATTTTATGTTATAAGGTAACCCATGTCAGAATGGAGCAACGTGCACCAATGATGTGTCGTCCGTTGAAGGCTTTACCTGTACGTGCGTCAACGGATTCACTGGTGTCCTGTGCGATGTCGATGTGGACGACTGTGCGAACACGCCCTGTCTGCATGATGGAATATGCACGGACTTGGTGAGTGCCGTATAGGGGACCAGTCATTTGCAAGTGCAGTAGTTAAGTGAATGAACTGCCTGTACATTAAATTGGTCTCAGGTTCAATGAGGCTAAGTTTGCTGTTCTAGTATGACGTATTGCCAATTGTTTATTTACTTTTAAATTATTTTCTGTGTTTTACATGACTTTAAATTTGACTTTGACCTACGTTATAATTGTTTTTCTTTTATGAAAATGGAATTCAGCTTTTGATCCAAACCCTGTGTGCACTATTAAATAGACATAAAACCTTAGATTTGAAAAATTCTTGTACTCAATTTGTCAATTCCAAACCTAACATACAACTGTCTTTTTTTGATTCTGTGGCAAACGTATGGGACAAATTCAGTCAATTTTCATTATTAAACTCCACCACATGATACACAAGTTGAAACAAGAAATTGTGGTTTTTACTTGAATGGAATATCAGACCTTTTTGAAGTGGGAAACTATTAGAGGTATTATTACTGGGTTACATACGGTCATGCAGTACAGGCTTGGCAGAATCAGCTGATTTACAGGTGTGGCTTTGGCTATTAACCACTTCTGGACGGGATTATTTTTACCGAAAATGTTCTGCCGAAAACTTTGATTTTAGAATAAGGCAAAATAGAGCAGCCAACTTCTGATATACAGCCAAACGTCACAAATACTGATTCCCAAGAGTCATTTCAACAGTGTTTGTATTATATTTCTTGCCAAAATCTCATGTTTTTTAACACTCTAGGGTGTGATCACAGAGCATAAATTGTAGAACAAAAGGCCGTGCACAGCGGCCCAGTTCAAGGTCAACAAACGGTCCGCCTCCACAGACTTCTCGGACTTTGTGTGTGTGTACAAAACAAATGAGGGATAAGCGTGTTCAGACGTCACCCGGAGGCAAGGCGAGGCACACTTAATGTTTTAACCCGTCAGCCGTGCGTGTGTTTAAAAACAGCCAGATCGGGTTAACATGTCGTCCGACGCGAACTGGTTATCAACAATATAATGATGTAGGAAATACCAATTACCATAGACTAAATCATTGTTTTTAGACATAGCCAAAGGCTCAATTTCAACGTGACTTTACCACAACAAAATTTGAATACATGCTCAACTCTGATAGGTCTGTGTGTCTGTATGTTTTTGATGTTTCAGGTGAATGGCTTCAGCTGTAGCTGCGTGGATCCCTACTACGGCCTGAGATGCCAAGCCAGCATCTGTGACAGTGTACAGTGTGGGGCAGGGGCCCTGTGTCACCCCGTCTCTCTCACCGAGTCTGTGTGTCTGTGTCCCTTCGGCACCACTGGGGAATTATGCTCTGACAGTAAGAGTTCTGCTTCCAAATATAATATCTGATGCAGCGGATGTGAAAAAATAAAATTAGACTTTGAAAGTTTAAAATAGTGTTTAAAATTCTTTGTATCAAATTGCAGATGGATAGGCTAATATCTCATTATTCTATGATATGGATTACATAACTTGCAAGTTATTTAGGTAAATTTGTGATGTGGTATGTCTAAATCAGGCACATCTGAGCAATCAAGGGAAAAACTGATTGTTTTTAACAAAATTAAGACACAACCTTTCACTTTACATCCATCGATTTTTTCACTAAGATTGGATTTTATGAAGCCGAATTACCAAAAAAATTGAAATGAACCACAACCGTATCTCATTTGACTTCAAAAGATATTTAATGTTTAGAATGAAGAGTTGTTATTTTAAAGATATTTATGCTGCTTGTTCAGTTTGTAACATTAATACACTGTATAAACCTTTACCGCTTTTCAAGAGTCAGAGAATCGATATATCAATTTGATTTGCAGCTTTTTCATCAAAAGTTGTCAGACAAATGCTGCGGTTTAATTAGACAAGGAACTAATTGTTTCCCTTCATTTTCCAGGTATATCCATCACTGTCCCGTCATTTGGAGCCTCTAGCTACATGCAGTACAGTCACACGTTCAGCGGCTCGCTGACGATAGCGGTGTCAGCTAGATCAGCCAGCGCTAACGGAGTGGTGCTCTATGCGGTGCCCATGTCTGATGGAAGTAGGTTGAAATTCATACCATACTTGAGAAATACAATTATACTGTACGTGAGAAATATTCTTTATAACTGTTATCATTGTTCTTGAAGGGAAAAGGTTGATTTTTATACTGCGCCTGAGAATTTGTTTTACCAAGTCAGTGATTTCTTGAAGTGATTTGCTGGGAAGTCACAATGGGCCGGTCATCTTGGTTGAAGGGTATAAAGCAAATATTTAATGGAATTTTAGCCCATCCTTGGAAAACTTGATAAAGTCTCAGGTACTGGGTTTGTGATTAGACAGTAAAACAATTGTTATCGAGTCGTAATACACAAGACTCAAATTTCGGAGCCAAGCTTCAAATGCAGCCCTCATTTCAAAAACTCTCACAGTAAAATGCTAGGTTGAAATATTCATTAGACAAAGAAGATCAGAATTTGTGGATTATTCTTTCTGATCCTCCTCTCCAGTAGGTTACATCACCATCATTTTCACTGGTGGCCGTGTGGCACTTAGCGTGCAGGACATGAGGGGTTCAGAGAGTGTGGTTACCAGCCTACAGGCCACGTATACCGATGATGCCTTCCATCTGATTGAGGTGCGACAACTCGCTGGTACCCTGCAGTTGGTGGTTGATGGTAGCGACGCTTCATCGGTGCCCTTCACAGGAACTCTCTTCACTGGGTCCAGTCGTGTGTTCATCGGAGGCATTCCATTCGTAAGTGTCTCTCAACTTTTGTGTCTGAGTCATTTTGTTTGGGTGAATTTCTGGTTATGCATTGTACAAGCAGATTGAAAGATTTCTTGTCGCCAATATTTGAAAGAAATCATTAATATGCAGCAAATGTTGAGTTTTGGTGTGTGACAGTTTTTCTTGCTGAGTGGAATTCGTCGTGTTTTCAAATTTCAATTTGTAAGATGGTGTGCATACCAGAAAGTGAATTTACTTGTTACTATTGTTGAGTTTGAACCGGGAACACTTTAAATCCAACATGAGTTGACTTTAGCAGATAGGCACAAAGAGATGCTGAGTAGATTTGCTTGTAATAAACATGACCCAAACCCCCCCCCCCACCCCACCCCCAAAATAGTCAGAAGGCTCTACAACTTCTTTTAAGTATGGGTCTTTTACAAACATTGAAATCAGTTGGAACAGTCTGTTTTTCACTCACAAATATCTGCATATGTGAAGATGTCAAAAGGAGTGATCTATATTTTTTTTTATTGGGGGGGGGGTAATCATCCTTACTCGCAGCTGAGAAGCTGAAGTGGCAAGGACAAAGCTACTGGTACGTGGTCGAGCCGAAGGCATGTAAAGGCACCTTAGGCTGTTGTCATTGGACCCATGTCTGACCATGGAGCACAGCCAGAAATCGAAAGTGTTGATTTGAGTTGATCTATCGTAATGATGATCTGAGTATGCTTTTCTGCATATAAAAACTCAATAAGTGGAAAACTACGTTAAGACTCATCTTGTAGAGTTCAGTCTCCAATACAAGGTGGAGCAAATTGATCAAACTTTTGATTTTAGAATTGAAATGTTTCTCCTTTTACTAAACTATGAATTTTTTCTACACATTTCCTCCAGGAAATTGTGCCACCTCCCGTCATCACTGCCAGGGATCTGAACGGCTGTGTCCGGGATCTGCAGCTGGGGTCTACGTCTGTCGATCTGACCGGTGATTTTGCCGCGTCGGTGAACGTCAATAACTGCTTCATTCCAGTGTGTGACAGCATCGATTGCAACGCCAGAGGCAATTGCACCGAACTGGTGAGAATGTGAATAGGTTGTCCCGAATATACCAAATATTGGAATATTCGATCATCAACAAAATATTCAAATAGCTTTTTGCCAATTTGAAAATTCAGGAAAAAAAAGCACACGACTTGATGTTTATTTTAATTGTAAAGTTGCTGCGCTTCACTGTCAGATGCCACTTTTTTTGTCGATGGTGGTTCGTTGTTCCCATCCTTTTAGCAGGTTAAAACCTTTGACACTTACTGTAAAACACTCCAGTCGTCTATATATTAATGTACTTTTTCATTGCAATAATATTATACTATGAACCCACGTGGGAAAGTATCTTCTAGTTAATGTGATGCAATCTAGGAAAACTGTACAATTTTTGAGATTTTTTTATCATTTCAAGCTGGGATTATCTTCTTTCAAGATATCTTTTTCATTGCTTTCATTTAACCGTTATTCAATAAGTTATTTTTAATTTTTAAATCAAGCGGCAAACAGATCACGAGGTGGTGTTGAAATTTGAAAGGGTTAGTTGGGAATTACCTTATTTTATTATATTTTCAAGTAGAAACAGTTTTAACAGCCAGCAGGTTTTCCCAGATTGCGTCACAAATATGACACTTTCTCTTCCCTTGAATTATTTGTGTGAGACTCTTTGTCGTCAATGTTCACAGAGTGGTAGCGACTATTCTTGCAGCTGTGCTGTAGGCTTCACTGGTAAAGACTGCCAGGTACCAGCGTGTCACACTAGCTCATGCCAACATGGTGGAACATGCGTAGTCCAGCAAGGCAGCACAGTATGCAGATGCGCTCTGGGATACGCCGGGCCAATCTGTGAAACCGGTAAGATGAAACGAGCCACTTTTCCGGTACTGCCCCGAACTGCCCTGCCTGTTGTTCCCTGTACTCAGTGTACTGCCCCAAACTGCCCTGCCTGTTACTTCCTGTACTGCCCAAAACTGCCCTGCCTGTTACTTCCTGTACTGCCCAAAACTGCCGTGCCTGTTACTCCCTTTACTGCCGTAAACCACCCTGCCTGTTACACCCTGCACCGCTCCAACTACCATGCCTGTTACTCCCTGTGCCACCCCAAACAGCCCTGCCTGTTACTCCCTATACTGCCCCAAACCACCCTGCCTGTTACTCCCAATACTGCCTGACATCGCTCTGCCTGCTATTCCCTGTAGTGCCAAAAACTTCCCTGCCTGTTACCCCCTTTACTGCCCCAAACCGCCCTGCCTGTTACTCCCTTTACCGCCCACACCACCCTGCCCGAAGCGAAAATTTCCCTGCCTTCATAGCTCAAATCTGCCCTGCCTGTTACTTCCTGTACTGCCCCAAACTGTCCTGCCTGTTACTCCCCTTACCGCCCCAAATTTCCCTGCCTGTTACTCCCTGTTCCCCAAAACCACCCTGCCTGTTACTCCCTTTACCGCCCACACCACCCTGCCTGTTATCCCCTGTAGTGCTGAAAGCTTCCCTGCCTTTACAGCTCAAATCTACCCTGCCTGTTACTCCCGGTACTGCCCCAAATTGCCCTGCCTGTGACTCCCTGTTTCTCAAAACCGCCCTGCCTGTTACTCCCTTTACCATCCAAAACTGCCGGAGCACTCTGTGTTTTTATTTCAGGATTCATCAGGGAATGAATAAAATGTTAAAATGTTATACATAGTAGTACAAGTGCTGAAAAATTTCCACAGTCCCCCCCCCCCCCATTCCTTAAGTAGTTTTAATTGCAAGTGCTTTTTGTCAGCGTAAGTTGTAAGAAGTGTGGACTGCATACACTGAAAACTGGCGATAAAGGATCATGCATTGTGAATGTGCGTAAATACAAAAGGTTTAACACGATTTGATTTTTATATTTCCTCAACCAGCTGTGCTCTTTAACATCCCACAATTTGCCAACACATCTTACATCAAGTATGCCCTGCCAGCCGGCCAGCCTGTTATTGATAGCCTGGCAATCACTATGGAGTTCAGAGCGGAGGAACCTGATGGTCTGTTACTGTATGGTAGCCAGGCTAACGTCATGGGAGACTTCTTCTCACTGTCGCTCGCGGACGGTCGCTTGGAGTTTGAGTATAACCTTGGTGAGTGGGGTTGGGTTGGATGGATGGGTTGGGTTGGGTTGGTTGGTGGGTGGGTTGGGTTGGACTGGGATGAGCTGGGCTAGGTTGGAATGGGGTTGGGTTGGATGGACTGGTTGAGTTAGGTGGGTTGGGTTTGGCTGGACTGGGTTTAGGTTAGCTTTTGTTAGGTTGGGTTGGGTTGGGTTTTGTTGGGTTGAGTTCTGGATTGATTGAGTTGGGTTGACATGGGTTGGTTAGGGGTTGGATTGAGTTTGTTTGGGCTGGGTTTGATCGGGTTGGGTTTGGTAGGGTCTGGTTGGGTTGGGCTGGGCTGGGTTTGGTAGGGTCTGGTTGGGTTGGGTCAGGCTGTGTTTGGTAGGGTCTGGTTGGGTTGGGTTGGGTTGGGTTTGGGTTCTGTCTGAATTGGGATGAGTTGGGTTCAGCAGGGCTGGCTTGGGTCATTTTGGTCAGGATAGGTTGGATTGTGTAGGGTTTAGTAAGGTTTGAGTGGGTTTAGGATAGGGTAGGGTTGAGTTGGGTTGGGTTGGTTTCAGTTGACTATAAAGATTTGATTGTTGGGCTGGGCTTGGTAGGATTTGGTTGGGTTATGTTGGGTTGGGCTGAGATGAGTTTGGTTGGATTTGGTTCAAGTTTGTATGGATGTTGTTGGTTGAAGGTTAGTTTGAGTTGGGTTGAGCCTGTGGCTTATTTAGTGTGGGTAAGGTTCAGTTTGGTTGGGCTTGGGATGGGCTGTTCAGCTTAACTGGACTTGATTGGGTTGTGCTGGGTGGAAGTCTCATTTTATTTGATATTTGTTACTTTGTTCCACCAGGCATCGACACGGCAAGATTAATCAGCAGTCCAGTCACCCTCAACACCTGGGTCACAGTGACCATTCAGCGTAATGGAAAGTCCAGTGTGATGACTGTAACTGGACAGAGGTAGGTCACCAAACTTGTCAGTTTTCCTTGTTGTTTTTTTGTGACAACAGAAATTTGAAGTCATTTATCCATAAAATGGTCCTAAATTTACCCCTTTTTTTTCATTCCTAGCCCTGTAACAGGTACTTCCAGTGGTCTCCTCTCATCGCTCAATGTGCTGCCTGAGGTGTTTGTTGGAGGCATGGATGACCTGACCCCTGCGACCTTGAGGTCAGGGGTCAGTGTGGGGTTCACGGGCTGCATCCTGTCTCTGTCCATACAGGGATATTCTTACAGGTATGCTGACATGTTTATTTAGTTTTACTTTTTTCTTAAATTGATTGCGATAGATTGATTTGAAATGGACTTACCACAAGTGTGCACGTCCCTGCAAGATACGTCTTATGTTGCAAAGCACGATTTAGTGTAAAGGCCGGTTCAAACTTCATGCGAATGAGAGACGTTATGAAACATTCGCTGCGGAATTCATCGGAGTTATTCGCAGCACGAATACTCCACATGATGTCATGAAATCGCGTTCGCTTTCTCTTTCGCGCAGACTATGAACCAGACTTAACAAACCTTACCCTGTTAGTGGCCAAGTTTTTTCACAGCTTGCAATGCTGCATGCCCACCGGGTATCTTCTAAAATGCATAAACATAAACAGGTATCTTCTAAAATCTCTACAATTTAACTGTTTGATTGAATTTTGAAAACTTTTGTATGTTGTCCTCACTAGTCAATCACAAACCATCCCATGTTATTTTTGACTATACTTGCAAATCGACTTGAAATGTACTCATGACAGGACTTGTGATGAACCTGTGATGGACTGATCTATAAGTTAAGTCTATTTATGTGTTCTTTTCCGTCAAGTTTCAACCAATCAGAGGCCCTGAGCGGAGCCAACGTGGCCCAGTGTGATCAGAATCTCTGCGAGGCCCAGCCCTGCCTGAACGGCGCGCAGTGCCTGCCGTCACCAGGCTCCTACACCTGCCAATGCCCCACGGGATACCACGGCATCCACTGCGGACAGTCCCACGATGGGTGCTTTGAGAACACCCAGTGCGCCAGTGGCTCGACATGCCTGGCCGTGGGGAACGCCTTCCGCTGCGTGTGCCCGTTCAACCGGACCGGGGAGTTTTGTGGGGAGGAGCAGGGTAGGTCTTCCAAGAGTTGCAGGCTGTTGAAATTGATATTCATTTATTTGGTTTTTTTATTCATTTCGTGGGCAAGCCTTAACACTTACAATCTGGTTAGCATTTGAGCCCTCCATTAAAAAAATTAATTAAAATCATCAACAAGTGAGAAACAGAACACAAGGAAAAATAACCACAAATTAAACAAACAATCTTACTGGCTCTAAAAACTAGTCTACCCTTTTGAAACAAAAATATGAAAGAAAAAGGATTGAAAAAAAGGCAAGCGAAATGGCACGAATAAATAGTAGCCACTGGCTAAAGTGAAAATGCATATTGTATAACATTGAATGAAAAATATATAAAATATTTAATCGCCACACTACTTAACATTAAATGAGAAGTTTTAAAATGGGCCAAATGTTTGGACAAATCTGTGTCTCAGATATTGTTAAATATTAACTCAAAACAGGGCTAATGTCGCTCAAAAAGGGGGTGGGGTTTTTTTTCAGAACATTTCTTGCTTATGTAAAAATAAGCTAAATACAGAGAGTATTTATAAAAATTGAAATAGAAATGCCCCTGGTCAACAGTACAAGGTTTAAAAGAGATTAATAAGGGGAAATCTGTAACACATAATGCATCATATGTGTAAATCAAATCTATAAATAATTATAATGCATCATTTTAATAAACAATCCTGTTCATTCTGTTTTCTTTCATCAACATCAGATCTGACCAATCTCAGCCCTAGTTTCAATGGCTCCTCCCACCTGACCTTTGACCCTGTGACGGCAGCCAGTCAGCAGACCAGCATCAGCTTAACCTTCCGCCCGTCAGCCAATGACGGCCTCTTGATCTACACAGGGGAGAGCCGGTCCGGTGGGGATTTCCTGGCTCTGGGCATGCTGGGAGGCGTGGTGCAACTCAGATATAACCTAGGTGAGTCGGATGAAGGAACCAATTTCATCAACTTTCCTGGGAAAAAAATGTTGTTTAAAAAGTTTTCCTATTCAGCAAATTTTATATTGGGTTTTGCCCTTGCAAACGTATTTTTTTATAAACACTGCATACTCGGTGTTGTCACGAGTGATTGTAAGAAAAAATTCACAAGCTTACTCGGTGAGACTCAAACCCACAATCTCCTGCTTACACGTGTAGACATCTTGACCACTCCAGCACTGAGTTTGCCAAACCTGACTTGGCAGTTGTTACTACACGCAACTTTTTTCGATGGAATTTTGTCTTAGGGCTATGCATTTTTCAATAATTTAGTATTGGATTATTCTAACTTTATCTCTATTGAATGTTGAAATGCACTGATAAAGTGTACCTAGACATACGCCAGCCAAATTTTTCGTGTTCGAATGGTTGTGGAGAATTGACAAAAATCTTATTAAAGTAATATATCGAAGAGTTAGATACCTGATGGATTTTTAAAAAGAAATTGAGTTAATATGCCCCATTGGAGCTCTCAAATCTTACGCAAAAGTGGCTTTCACCAAAAGTGTGGCCTTTGGCAAAAAGAATTTTAAAATATGATACAAAAGAACATTATGGACGGTTTTCACTTGAATCAGTTCACAAACGCACAAGCAAAAGATCTCAAGTTACTCGAGACTCATTACATTTGTTCTCATATCACAGATGTTAGCACGGCCATCCTCACTAGTCAAGCCATCGCCTTAGACCAGTGGCACACGGCATCCCTTCAGCGCAATGGTCACTCAGCTGACCTGTACGTGGACGACCAATCGATCACTTACCAGGGTAGTGGTCTTGCCGGGCTGACCGTTACCGGCCCGCTGTACGTGGGTGGGGCTCCGGACTATGGTCAGCTGCATGTGGACGCAGGTTTCTTTACGGGATTCCAAGGATGTATGCAAGATTTACAGGTAAATAAATAAAAGAAATTTTGGGGGCTATTCATCCTTACTCGCAGCAGAAGCTGCGTTGCGAAGGACGCATCTACAATATGGTCGAGCCGAAGGCAAAAGGAGCCCTAGGCCGCCGCCATATGGCCAATGGCTTAGCATTGAGCACAGCCAGATCAAAAATGTTGATTTTTACAAAGGGAGAAAAACAGGAGAACCCAGAGAAAAAAAAACTTGTAGCACAGAACAGAATCAACAAACTCTACTCACATAATAACCCAAGCTAGGATTCAAACTTTACGCACTGTGCCATCCATGCCACCTGAGGATCATAGACAAGGCTTATCAAACAAACAAGAAAGAATTTGTTTGTGATGTGTGAAAGGGCAAGTTTGGCTACGACTGTCTGATCACACATGTGGAGTACAGTGCCGTGGTCTCGTGGTCTGGCGCTTTGAATTTGTGGTCTGCAGGTTATTCTGCGGGTAATTCTGCGGGTTGTGGATGTGGCTATGGTGCATGGTCCTTGGGCAAGGCACTTTGTCACTCACTGCTTCTCCCCACCCAGGAGTAAATGGGTACCTGTGAGGGCAGAGATGGTTATTGTGGTTGATTGTAGCTGCTTTGAGCCGAAATGGCAGCATCCAGCTGTATACTCCCCAGGGAGCTGAAATAGTATTTGGTATGTTTTATTGGTCCAATGATCTGGGGTAATAATGATGTAAAGCACTTTGATCTTAGTTAAAAGTGCTATGGAAGATCCATTATTATTGTTTGTTTTTTATAAAGATTTGAGGATTTTCACAATCCACCACATGCATGTAAATCCATTCATTTCTCTGTTTTTGATTCCACTTCAGGTGGGCGGAACCAGTGCCACGCCCATCCTCTGGCAGACAGCCATCGGTGGTGTTGACATCGGTCAGTGTGCCTACAGTCCCTGTACCCCCAACCCCTGCCTGCGTGGTGGGCAGTGCCTGGTGGTGGATGACAGTACGTTCCAATGCAGCTGCACTGTGGGTTGGACCGGAACCACATGCGAAATAGGTAGGAACTATCATGAAGTGGTCATACTAAAGCCATTCATTGTTATTGAAACATAACAGTAAAGCAAATGAGCAAAGTTTATGTGAAAAAGCTTTCAGTGAGCAAAATGTGAGTTCCTAATTTGAACAGAAAAAAAAACCTACACTGAAGAATGTGAGCCTAAAGCAACATCATAGCAATAGAACCTCAGTTGTCAGGAAAACCATGAAAATTGGAAAAGTGCATTTAATCACAACTGGATATCTCATTGTTTGCATACATCTCAAAGGAATGGATACAAGGGCGGATGGGGGGGGGGGGGGGGTGAACGGGGGCCATGCCCCCTTCCCCAAACGAACCCAATTTTTAATTTTTTTTTAAAGGAAACATGCAGTCCAAAATTTACATAACGTATTTTATTTTATATATACATTCATTTATGTGTATTAAATGTGAATTAAAAGCAGAACTGGTTCTGGTGTACATTTAGTGTGGTAATTTGCCATCCAAAATTGAACCCCCCCTTTTTGATTTTCGCGGCAACTCCCAATGAGGGCGCTGTTCATTACGTAAACGAAGGCAGAGAAATCCAGGGCCCGTAAATGACGTCTGGGTACGAGACGGATTAGCGAAGCAGACGGATTAGCGAAGCCACTGTGCTTTGTGTATGTGCAGCCGCCGCGTACGCGTACGTGGCATTATGCACACGTACGAATGTGTCTACATATACATGTACATGCACATGTGGACGTGCCACGGTGCAACCGTTGTCGAATGAAACAAGGACGACCGTCATGACCGTGAAAGTTCCGAAGACTCTTCCTCTTCTTTCCTTAGCGAATCCGATGAAAATGGTACAGATTCGTCCGATTCGAATCAGAGTTCTAATGATTCAGACACTGACTCAATGTTTTTTAGGAGCATGCCCAAGTTGCTGTACAGACCAGCATCAAAGCACGACAGTGCAGCGCAGAGGGCCGCGAACTCACTGGGCCCAGACCACATTGCTCTGGTATTTACCTTCACTTTGGCTCTCCAAATGCTCCGATATTTCGGATTTACTGGAAACAAATGAAGGCTTACTCCATCCTTTGTAGTTTTGCTACACCCAGCAGCCACACACCTTGTCGGCATGGCCGAAAATCAGGTGTTATTTCTCCTCGATTCCGAACGAAACACCAGAAAAACTTTCAGTGCCGCAATGTATGTACATGTATTATGATGCACACCGCAATGCCGGTGCCCCCTGCAGCGCGGCAAGTCTCTGCCTTGATTTGCGACATACCCCTCGCGAAGTTTTATGTTAATGAAGCTTCCCTTTGTGGGGCGGAGTAGTTTGACCAAACATGTTCACAAATTATTTTCCCCCATTTATCCCAGAAAAAAAACACCGCTATACACAAAATATTGTTAAGAACATCATCCTTTATTGATTTAAGCAAAAAAAATGCAATCAAAATTTTATTTCATGTTCCCTTTAAGTGGCGTCGCAATAAAGGTAGGTACTGCGTACACTAACATCTTTTCCTCAAAAAAAAATTGTAAAAGTGGTCAGAAACTGCCTCAGATCGCACCACAGAGCATCTAGAATTCAAAAAAAAATTGTTGGGCCCATTTTTGGGGGGACCAAAATATTTTTTTTGGCCCCCCAAAAAATGTGTTCTGGATCCACCCTTGAATGGATATTGGAACAAACTATGTTCCAGTGTAAACTTAATGTCATAACCCTTTAAATGAACATTCTCTTCATTTTTTTCTCATCTTACAGCTACCAGCGTGACCATCCCATCTTTCTCTCCTCCTTCCTATCTCGCGTACTCCTTCATTCTCATCCCTTCCACCACCACCCGCATCCGTATGGAGTTCAAGCCCACGGCTAGCGACGGCGTGCTGTTCTGGAACGCTGACAGTAACGACTACATCGGGATCGGACTGGTGGAGAACTACGTACATTTCACGTTTGATCTGGGCTCAGGTATTTGTAATCTTTGTGATGACGGATTAGTGTTTCAGCCCCTACACTATCCAATTTTCTTGTGATTTTCACTTGTGTTTTAATATAATTTGTGTTATACAACTCCTGAATAAATCTCTGTCATCGGATTGGTGGGTCTTTGATCACCTGTCATTGAATTTATTATCCTAACCCGCTTCCTGGCCGCATCCCAAAAAAATAGAAGTTTCATTCAGTGGTAAATAAAAGTTCCATTGTTCCATGCGTGTGCAAAAGGACTTGGGTCTGATGCCACAACAGTAATGCCTTACAATCGTCACAATATTTGTGTGGTTGTTTCATGGCTCGTTGGGATGCAAATAAAAAAATGTAGAAATGATTTATCGTATACCTGTACATCGACGGGCTATGCTTTGTAAATTGTAACTTTCCGGCTTTGAAAAGCATCATATTTTGTAATGACGAAATTTGCTAGTTAACAGGTAAATCTGTTTTATAAAGGAATGTTTTGCCTTGTTTTTGAGTTTGAATATTGAAATTCTACCTTTGAATGTTACATATACAATGTGTAAAGTCAGTGGAGAGTCAAGTTTCTTTGTAACAAGTGTGAACCTGTTATGGAAACGCTTTTGACCTAGGAAGCGCATGACATGCATCTACGATAGCAAATAACACCATGTCAAGTCTGGTGCTTAAAGGAGATTTGCGTAATTCTTTTCCAGGCCAAGCCAACATCATCAGCGGCACCGCGGTCACTGTCGGCCAGTGGCATGAGATCTACGCCGTCCGGGAGTCGGTCAACGGTCAGCTGACACTAGACAACCAGCTGACCATGTCCACCGGTCAGTCTCAGGGCCAAAGCATCGGTCTGAGCGCTGGGGCCATGACCTATGTGGGAGGGTACGGCCAGGGAGTGGTCATACCGAGCAGAGCTAGGATAACTGGAGGTAATTTTTGACAAGCTTTTTTGTTGACATCCATGTACCCTTACTGTACCAAAGCGAATTATATGAGGCATTCATCTATTGTATGAATTGTGAACAACTTGCCTCTTTTGCTTTAGGTTTCTCGGGTTGCATTCGGCGGTTGGAGGTCAACGACCAGCCCCAGCCTTTAGACCGACCCCAGGAAGGTCAAGGGCTATCTGAGTGTCAAGACGACAGTCCCTGCAATCTCAACCACGCCTGCGTCAACGGTGCCACTTGCCTGGATGATGCTGTAGACAGCAAGGGTTACCGGTGTAGCTGTCTACCAGGCTACACAGGCAAGTTTGTGATGTCCGAATAATAAACTCCATGCACTTCCCCCCCCCCCCCCCCCCGGACTTACAAAGATAGAGTTAAGGGACACCACTGGAAGGTAGTACTCTTGAATGTATTAGCAACGATACCCCTGGAGCTCACACAAAGATGATATGGGTCTGTGCGCACTAAGAATACAATTTTTCGGACATGATTTGCACCAAAAGCATGCCACCAGTTGGGAGCCCGCGCAACAGATGTGAAAGCGCCTACTTGGTTATACATGAACTTGCCTTGAGGTCACTAAAAATGGCATCAGTACTTACTACAAATCCACTGAGATACCGACTGGTCTGTGTTATTCTCCATGTCATTTATTGAGGAGTCAGGTTGGCGTAGCGGTACTTTCCTTGCCTTCCACCGCTGTGACCCGGGTTCGATTCCTGCCTGGGCCAATATGTGGATTGGGTTTTCAGTCCCTGCTCAATTCCGTGGGTTTCCCCCAGAATATCTTCGGGGCTTTTCCTCCCACCTCTAAAACTGTAATTGCTTCTCATTGTCTTCTCTCTACAGGTTTCCTCAGGCTTGCGAGCTGCAGTGCCTAGGGTACTTTTGAGGAATCCTTGGTTTCATTACCAGAAAGAAATAAAGTGAAAGATAAAAATTTGTATCAGGTATTAACTTGTTCACTTATGTTGACTTAATTCATGTTTCCATTGTCATTTACAGGAGAGTTTTGTGAGACCACACCCTGCCAGTCACTCCCAGCTGCCAGCCAATGCCAAAATGGCGGCACGTGTTACCATAACAACAACGGACAAGCTACCTGCCTCTGCACACTGCAGTATACGGGAGCCACTTGTACTGACAGTGAGTGGCTACCGTATTCTTCATCACGATTAAAAGTTATACATCGGGGCCCAATTTCACGGTGCTGTTTAGCAGGAAATGCTGCTTACCAAATTTAAGTGCTGAGCAGTAACAAGCTGAGAACCAGTCATTGGCAATATTGTATGAATTTTAACTGGTAACATGTTTCAACTATAAAGCAAACTTTTGTTTTTCAAAATGCCCATTCATTTCGCAGCCAATCTTCCCTGACACCAAATTTTCTTCACATTCGCTTTCACCTGAAGTACGAACCAGCCTCTATGCAGATTTCTGAGTGAAGCAGCCACTTGAAATTGGCCCTGGTTTGGGCGGGATTTTTGTGGATTTCAAACCGTAGAGCTTTTTTTTGTGCTGAGGCTAGTCATGACTTTAAGTCTTGTGATAAATGTTCCTGTTTTGTTTTCTTACAGGCCTGACATACACCACACCACAGTTTATGGGCCGGAGCTATTTGGAATTTTCATCGGAGGTTATTGCCAGGTATGTCATCCTTACGTGCCTGTACGTGTCCATCTTTTCAAACCGTGGACGAAAAATACCAGAGAACAAAAGAGAACAATATCGTCCACAATTCCCAGCATACGTCCGCGATTAGGGTCGTGTACAAAACCGATGGGAGTCTTCCTAAAAAGTTAGTGTACAAACAAAAGAGGGACAATATGACATCCATGATCGACGGTGAACACACGTTTGTGTGTCCGTGTTTACATGCATTACCACACAAGCAATATACACTCAGAAGCCTTGAAGACATCAAGAAAAAAGACATTTGTAAAAACAATCCTCCTTAAAGTTTATAAAATCATAAAATCTTGCAAGTACTATTTGCCTAGTTCAAACCGATGACTGCTCGACAGTGCCTTTAATGTTTAATTTTGTCCCATTGTGCACTGTAGGTAAAACAGATTTTCACATCCAAGAGAAGTTTTTGTGTTGCTAAATGCTTGAATGATGCAGATCAATATTGTGCAAAGTTTGTTGGTAAACATGTTTGCATTTGTTTGAAATTTCCAAAGTAATACCACCCTCTAAAATCACCTTTAATACATTTAACATATTAAAGCCATGTTCTTCTTATTTTTCTTGATATATTGTATCGTTTGCTGTTAAATATTTTTAAATACCCATTTTTTTTTCTATTATTTTCCAGTGCTTTTTCGTCCAACCAGTTCAGCGTGACCTTCCGCACCAGCGACCCCTCAGCCAACAGCCTGATCCTGTGGTTCGGCGCAAGCACCAGCGACGATTTCATCGCGTTTGGAATCAAGAACCAGCGGGCAGAGTTCCGCTACGATCTCGGTGACGGTGTGGGCATGGCAAGGGCTAACAGTATCCCCATCAACAGCAACATGTGGTACAGCGTCACCATCATGAGGCAAGTCAATTTTAGGGCATTTGTGAAACCTTGTCTCTAGCTCCAGATGCAGGACATTTTAGGGCCGTGACTTAATTTAAACGAGGACTCTGGCTCCATTTGCTACATGCTGTGCTAAAGAATGATAACAAATGCTTATTTCCACTGGGTTTCCTTCCAAATAATTCCAAAAACCAGGGATTTAGTTGAAGCTGGAGTTGAGGCCGGGCTTTCGATAAGCTGGGACCAAGTGTGGCATTGTCAAGTCGTTTCGAATTTGAAAATATACTGTAAAGTTATAGAGTTGTTCCTCATGAGTCAAATCACAAGTTGGTTCGCAAGTTGAAAAAGAGGTCAAGGGATGAACATTGCTATAAAGGAATGCTTTTTTGTTGGAGCTTGTCATAGCTTGTCACCTGGGATATGACTTGTGATTGGACTTGGGATGTGACTTGTGATTGTCTTGTGACAACTTGATCACAAGTTTAATTGTTATACTGAAATAACCATGGACCATATACTGAAATATGAGGTGGTGTGCCAGGAATTACTTTCTTGTGTGTGGTCTTTATAGCTCTTGGTCTTTTGATGAAAATGAAATAAATATATTAGGGGGGGGGGGGTGTTGCTAATTGTCCTTACTTGCAGCAAAACTGAACTGTGAAGAATGCAGCTACAATATGGTTGAACTGAAAGCATGTAAAGGTGCTTTAGGCAGGTGCCATAGAACCCATGTGTTACCACAGAGCACAGCCAGATCAAAAGTGTTGATTTTTGCAGAGGGAGGAAAACCCGAAAACCTGTAAAAAAAAAAACTCGTTGCACGGGAGAAAAACAACGAACAGCTCTACTAAAATATGACCAGAGCCGGGAATTGAACCTGGGCCACAGCAGTGAGAGGCTAGTGCTGTATGCACTGGCCCACCCATGCCACCCTATGAAAAGCGATCTTGGAATTTTGACAAAAATTAGTGGTGGAAGTATACACGTATTTGTACTGGGCTCAGAGTGAAAATAAAATAAATATATTTAAAGCGATCTTGGAATTTTGACAAAAATTAGTGGTGAAAGTATACACGTATTTGTACTGGGCTCAGAGTGGAGTCGGAGTTCCGGTTTGTTTTTGCAAATATCTGTACATGTCTGGCATACTGGTGTCGTCCTTGTGTCATCTTTTAAGTCCTACAAGTCAGGGGCCCAAAATCATGAAGCCGGAGCCTAGAGCCAAAGCTGGTGACAAAACCCAGGCTTGGAAAAGCCCATACAAAAGTTTACGGCACTGTTCACTCACACAACTAGGTCATTATAAGAATTTTTCTGACTGTTGGATTGCTTCTATTATCAACCCATTGTAGATTTGGCCGAACGTCTACCATGACAATACAGGACCTGAACCAGAACTCACAGACTGTGACAGCGCAGAGCCCCGGCACGCAGTCAGGACTAAACGCATTTGGCAGCCTGCTGTACTTGGGTAAGAATCCAAACGTAATCATCCGGGGTCCCAATTTTATGGATCAGAAAGAGAGTCTGCTCGACAAAATCATGTGCTAAGCAACCAGTTAGAGGTGGTAAACTTTCCATGGCATTTTGGCCATTACCCTTTTTTGCTGTTAAGAAAATATTTACCGAGTTTAGCAAATGTCTGCGCTTGGAACTTGTGGGGAATTATCCCCTTAGGTGCTGTGATTTTTATAAACTTTTCAATTTTGTTTCCAAATGAATTTTCAAAGAATATGATGTCTTTGAACATTTTTGAATGAATAAACATTTTAGCAAAGAGGCAGTGATTCCTTAATTAAGAAAGAGCTTAGTATGCTGGGCTTGTTTAATGCTGCAGCTTGCTTGGCCCAAGTTGGGCGTTGCACCTGGTCTTTGCAGTATGCGTACACACACAGTCATGCACGCACTGAAGTGGTACGAGTGCTAGCATAGCACGTGCTGCACTTTGGGCAATGATAGAATTCAAGGCTGGCTTGTGATGGCAAAGTGTGTTGAGGATATCGACTAAATTCCGACTTAAGCTTCCCGTTCCTAATTCAGAAGCTGAATTGAAAAAAGGGGTATTTTAGCAAGGACTGATTTTTTTTAGTTTAATATCTCATTGGAAAGTCATAACTTTTGTAATGCTACAAACAAACGATCGATGCAATTTTTATATTTTTTTTTAATTTCAGAAACATTTTTTCCATTGCTACAACATTTCATTTTACATTCATCTTTTCCCTTTCCTATGTTTTCCAGGTGGATACCCTGACGACATATCACAGCTGACCGGCGGCTACTTTGACAGTGGCCTTATCGGATGCATCACTCAGCTTAGTACGGCCCTCAATCCTGCTAGCCAGTCCCTGGTAGCGGTCAGCCTAAACAGTGACCCGACCAACGGGGCCGGCATTGCTAACTGCCCGTAACTCAAAGGGTCACGAGTGGCCCGCCAACTTTTATCATTGCGAGGGCCTAAAGCTGCTCTTTCCTAGCTACATGTATTTTGGAGTTTCACCCGGAGAAAAAGTAAAGTTTGTTTTTAATGGCATGTAGGATCATTTGCAACACTCAAAAACAAATGGTATTATTGATTCTAAGTAAATAAAAGTATGAAACATCCTGTGAAATGCGATGCCTGGAATGCTGTCTTTCTAAAGATTAGAGGAATTTTGTGTCAGTATTAACAATGGTTAAGACCTTAGGATCGCTGAGAACAAACATTTTTTCTCAAATACTGTTAATTTGTTAAACGGTCAAGAGCTGGATGTTGACTTCAAGCGTACGCTCAGGTACTATGTATGTATTACTTTCCCCAACGACAAAGCCGACACTCCGGCACTCCCTGTGACCCATGGGTTCTATGACAGATTCCACAAGCTGCACATAGACCGTTAAAATTGAACAGCGTTGTTTTTATGAATTGGGCCATTTCATTAAATTACGATAATTGCAAATGATCCTATATGCCTTGAAAGTGTGATTTTTTTTTCTGAATTGAATATTTTGAAGAGCATGGAAAATATTGCTTAGCTAATTTTTGTGTTAAGCAAAATTCGGCAGAGAACCAGTTCTGGGCCAAATTCTTTACAAACATGTTTAAATGGGAACCTGTTTTTGCTAAGCAAATATTTTCTATGCTTAGCACATTTCTGTGGTTAGCAGTTCCTTGAAATTGGAATAGAATCCTGGTCTTGTAAGTAACTGCCTTTGACTTGTATTTTACTCGGCCCAGTGATTCTTGCTGTGCGAGGACGTCATCCAAGGTTGAAATTTGTGTAGAGAGTTCACTAACGAAACTTTCTTATTAAGGGAATGAATAAGCCAGTGCTTTGAGGCAGCATGGATTTAGGTATGGTATTTCTGGTATTTGCAAGTAACGCAATGATTCCTAAACAAAGGTTCATGATCGTTTTGATCTTGTTCTCATTAAAAAAATTTACGAAGGCCTCAATTGGAACAGACTTTTATGGACAGAATTCTTGCTTTCAAATATCAGAATCAAAACTAAATATATGCCTAAAGTACTGTTTGCTTAATGTTTGTATTGAATAACATTCCTTTTTAAACTCGTGCTCATGTACTTAATGTGAAGGTTTGGAAAACTATTTAAATTTGTACTCGGTTTTAAACCAATTTGACATTTTAAACCAAGATTTTTCCAAAAGGTTTTTAATATATCTGCACATTTCCTTCAGCTGAAATGAGTGATGTCTGTGTTTTTTATACTCTATTTTTGATATTGCCGTCCCAATGTTGCTTGAAATTCTCGTCAAGAAGGGACACAGTGACACACAGGGTAAGAGTTAGGGGAGGAGACACACAGTGTAAGAAAGATGTGGACAATTATGCCATCTTAGTTGCATTCCCCGTGCTGTTATCAAGTTTCACCCTGAAAATGGATTTCATCTCTAACTTGCATTTTTTTTAGCAAAACAAAAGTTATTCTTAAATGAGACATCAACCGAAAAAAAATTGGCCCATGTTTTAATAGTTGTCAAGTTACTACTTTACAGTTCATCTGATTGGCTGCCAGACCATTCTGTTCTCACGGGGTAGGCTGGTTCCCGCCCCTAAAATCAGTATTAATAATGTAAGGAGCCAGTCTGCTCGCAAAGTGGATCTGTTTGTGCCAAAAACAAAAACCTTTCTGCAAACGGTTACAGACATCCAAAAAAGGAGTTTTAACTAGTTCATGTCGGATAAAATTGATACACGCAAAGTTTTTGCAGTATCGGAACAGATGACGGATAAACACGCAATAATAAGACCGGAAATATCTGTCAGCGTCCCGCTCGCAGCATGCGAGGCTGGAAATATCAGGGTGTGCTACCCGCACATGACGGCCTGAACCCGTCTGGCATTGAGGTTCATGAAAAACAATCCCGCCCCTGGGTCCGGTCAATAGGGAGGTTTCGCAAACCAACGGATACGTTTACACTTACGCTTAGCTATCCGTATCCGTTTTTTTACTTACGTGTAGCGAGCGAGATATGCGTGTCGTCTGCACGTTTAGCGGATAGTGAGCGGCGTATGACGTCATACGTGCAGACGACACGCATATCTCGCTCGCTACACGTAAGTAAAAAACGGATACGGATAGCTAACCGTAAGTGTATCCGTTCACTTTCGAAACCTCCCTTTTGTCAAAATAATCCCGGCGCGAAGTGGTTAATGGTTGGAATAAAACATACAAGTTGAAAATGTATTACAAAAAATTGAGTTATTTTTGGAAAGCACGGGGAATGCACTTTTGATATCATGTACATGTATTTTATAAATTAGATTTTTTGAAAGTTGCATGCTGTTTGAAAGAGTGTTCATGTATTCAAATTTCAGTGTCATCATAGAACGTGTGTGCATGATTGAGTGATTGTGCTCAGATTTTCTAATATTTTTATATACTTAATATTTTACACTTTGTATTCATCGTGTGGGATTTTTATTAACCACTTTGGGCTTTCACTGTTTTTAGTTCTACTTAAAAAAATATTCATGAATTGCTGCCCAATGCCCAGTGATCGTGTTCCATGTAAACAGCTGGTTTTGATGAAATAACTTGTACTGCTTAAAATCTTGGAATGTACTAAACGTAAGATAATACATTGATATGTGGTAATGCAGGCATTACTCGTATCACTGCCTTCTGTATTTGGAAGTTCAGCATTATTTTTTTTCTCCAAAATATAATTTTGCCGTTACGTTAAACTATTGGAATATGTGGTACGTTTGTTTAAAACTGTAAGCGAAAGGGCTGTTATGGTAAGAAATTGGATAAGGTCAAATAATGTCCAGTCATAAGTTGAATCATCCCGCAAATTTATATTTCCTTCTTTGAGAATGTCTCTCAGAGAACCCACGTTAAGTATTTTTGATGGGAAAGTTTGTTCATGAGAAAAGAACAATGATGTTACACCATTATTATTACTTTAGTCAACTACAAATGTACAGTGTAGTTACATTACAGCATTTTAAAGAACGGCGGACGTCGAACTGCCACAGTAGCCTAGTGGATAGTGAGATGAACTATGAACCGAAAAAGATGCGGTACCTGTTTCAAAATCTACTTGTGCTCATTTTTCATCAACTAATTTTCTTCTCCAACTTAATCGTTTGGATTATTTAAATTAAGGGAAAAGAAAAGTCCGAGAACCTAGGTGTCTTGAAGTGATCCCATCCAAACTACTGAACACGGGTCGTCTGAGAGACGTTCTCAAAGTAGGAAGTATTGATCTACAATCATCCCAGGTTCAGACTTTTGTTCCAGAGTCGCGTTCAAGTAAAATATATTAGGGAGTGACGCAAGTTGATCCAGATGAATTTTGCTTTTTAATAAACAAGCAAACTAAAGGCATCAATCTAGCCATTGCCTTGACTGATGCCTGAGAATCAAAATGCTTATTAAATGCTCTGAACTAGTGCAACAGTCAATCTTTGAATGTGTTTGTAACTGTTGCAACAGTCGAACTTATTTGCATCTTTCCAATAAATAAGTTCGCTGGGACTCTGAAATGCAGTGTGAAGTCGGTGTAAGTTACTCTGTGCTTTCACTTAATTTTTTCATCATGTCATAATTCAGTGAATATTTTTTACAGGGTGGACGTCAATTGTGAACATTTTGAAACAGCAAGAGGCTTTATTTTACATTGGAATGAAATTACATTCAAATTGTTTGCGTCACTTTTTATGCATGCAGTACTTCATGCACTGACCGTTTAAATGTATTTATATCGAGGCTTGTGTATAATGAACGAACTTTTGAATATCATGTGATGATGTCACATGGATACTGTGCCTTACTTTGTGCTCATATACTGTAACAAATAAATGTGTGTTTTATATCTACTGTGCATGGACTTTTGCAACATTCTTTTCAAGTCTTGACTCTTTTTGTTTGATAATATAGAGGTTGTCTTATGCATTTTGCTAGACGCATACGGAAACGCGTAATTCAAACTTCGCGTTCAAGTTCCTGTGTGCGGATAAAAACCTTTTTAAAAGTTGAAATATACTAATGTTTAATGACATAAACTGTTTAAGTCTATTGACTTTGATAGTAGATTATTTGACATTGGGCACATTTCTTTTATCAATCTTTTACATTTTGGGTGTGTGAAAAAGACAGTAGATTTAAAAAAAACAAGCCGCGTCGCCAGTGGCGTCACCAGACTTTTCAGTCTGAGGGGGCACAGGGGGGCACCAGCATTTGATGGGGGGCACTTAGGTGGATACGGATCGCCGTCCTGGGGGAGGGGTCTAAGGGGAGGGGGTGCCCCCCTCCCCTTTGGAAAATTTTCGCATACGGAGGATGGGCTAGATGCAAAATGGTGCCACATTTGATGCTAAATTCGATCTGAAGATATCTCAAGAAATTGCTATTTTTGAGGTAATGATTTTAACAACGCGCAGAATTTTGCAGAGGATAGGGGGGCACCAGCATTTGATGGGGGGGGGGGGGCACTAGGTTTTCCAGGGGGGGGGGGGCACGTGCCCCCCCTGGCAAGCTCCATACCAGAAACTGGAGACTTCTTTTTTTGGCTTAACCTTGCTTTTTTAGTGAAATTTTGCAAAGTTAGATGTTACGACAAATTTCAAAGGGGTTAACCTCCCATTTTTTTAAAATCGAAAATCGGAAAAAAATCAAATGTTTCTGGAAAATTGCAGATTGTAAGGGATTAACCTTGCTTTTTGAATAAGATTGGGGAAAATTAGATGTTCATGAAAAAAATTCAAACTGTAAGGGGTTAACCTTGCATTTTTTTTTGCAAAATAGGACACAATCAGATGATTCTGGAAAATTGCAGATTGTCAGGGCTTAACCTTGTATTTCTAGCAAAATTGGGCAAAAAGAAATGTTTATGAAAAATTTTAAATTGTACATCTTGTTTGTTTAGTAAAATTTGGCAAAATCAGATTTGTATGAAAAATCTAAGATGGTAAGGGGTTTACCTTGCTTTTTTAGCAAAATTTGGAGCATATTTTACTAAAATCGGGCAAAATCAGATGCTTCTAAAAAATCCAGATGTAAAGTTTCCGCAAAAACAGCTGTTGAAAAAGAGCCCAACGTTGAACTTTACTGAGTCTGAGGTCTATCGAGGGGACGATCCTTATTTCAAATCCCGGAGATTCGCTGACAGTCTCTATTTTTCTTTTTAAGAAAGTCGAAATAGCTGAAGAGGGAGGGGAGAATCTGTTTGTGCCCAGATACAAAGAGTAGAAACCTACGCGTCTGCCTTTTGTAAATACACAATTGCGGTGTTCATTGTTGCGTAATGATCCGCCTAGCACACGACTGTTTTGCACATTAGGCTGTGTTATGCAGCTTCCTAACAAACCAAACACACTGGGCTCATTATATCGACTTGTTTTTACCCATTAAGGTAAAGCAAATGGACCCAGTAATCTTCCTGGCGCGTTTGCTCACCTACAAAGACAACTTTTCTCAGTTTAAGGAAAATTCTAAGGTAACGAAATGGCCGAGTGGTTACGATTCGTCGTCCACAGTTAGCGGGGTCCCGGGTTCGAATCCCGCTGGTGTCTTTTTGGTTTTTAACGTATGAGTTCAATTATTCACTATAAGAGATTTAATTTCCCGTCGTAAAGTACCAACAGTACCTTAGCTTAATCGGTAAGCACTGCTGCTGGTACTGTCCGCGAGTTCCAGGTTGGCGCCTTCGTACAGGTTCAGGGCATGTGGTCCACTCGGAGGATCAGGGCTTAGGGGCCGCCCTGTTCCTCCCTTAGCTCTTTGCTTTTACATGGTGCCTGGCCCTCCGGGGTTATATGGATGGATAGGGAAGGAAGTGTGTATTGGTCGGGGACGCCGAGACCCCGGAAGAGAACTAAGGGATCGGCTGGGGCATTGTTATGGCTCAGACCGATCCCTGAAAGCTTGACTAGCACATAACTTTTTGATTTTTTTTTACCCTCTATATATATCTTTTATACTTTGGTTTAGTTTGATATCTCATACAGCCGCTCGGCAGGTCTACGGGTAGTATCAAAATTGAAACAAAGGTGTATGTCATAAATCAATGAATATTTCATAATTGACTATAATCAAAACGGAGTCTCGTTTGATCAATTTGACTATCATTATATAATGACGCGATTGCCAATTGACTTAAGAAAAGCCTTAAATTATACTGGGAAAGAATAAAGATGTACATTGTAATATGAATATATTTGTACATCTTTCAAATAACGTGTCTTTAATTGTGGGCATTCCAAACAATACAGTAATTCGCAATAGTAATACTGTAGAATGGTATATGATAGCACGATCAATGCGTCTCTATGCAATTAAAAAAAATATAATTTAGGCGCCTATGTGTGAAATATTCTTTGATTGACTATGAGCATTCCATGCGAATGAGTTAATTCGTAAAATATAGCAACAACAAAAGAGAAAGGAAAAAGAGAAAATTCCTTTACCCTAAAAACTGGAAAAATAATTTGTTTTTAAAAAGTCAATTGGGACACTTCATGTATTGATTTAACAGTTTGCAGTTAACCTTACATTTTAGCAAAATTGGGAAAAATCAGATGTTTCTGGAAAATTGCAGCTTGAAAGGGGTTAACCTTGCATTTTTAGTAAAATTTAGTGGTTATGAAACATTTCAAATTGTAAGAGGTGAACCTTGCATTTGTAGTAAAATTTGACAAAATAAGATGTGTATGAAAAATTTCAAAGTGTAAGGGGTTAACCTTTCTTTTTAAGTAAAATTGGGAAAATTTAAATGTTTACGAAAAATCTCAAATTGTAAGGGGTGAACCTTGCATTTTTTAGCAAAATAGGGCAAAATCAGGTGTTTATGGAAAATTTCAGGTGGTAAGGGGTTTACTT